AAAAAATAGAAAATCCGATTTTGCAAAAAATGTAAGGGGGGAGCCCATAAAAATTTCGAAAAAATTTATTTTCTGAAATTTAAAAAAGCTGGTATGCAACTTTGTTATAGCTCTAGAAACATGAAAGAAAACACCTTCCCCGTCAAGATAAAATCGTTTTTGGCCATTTTAGGCACAACTGGGCTCACAAAACAATTGGGCTGCCGTAAGCAAAATGACAGTCTTTGTCATGAAATCCATGCGTCGCGCTGAACGTCAGCGCAATCGACTTCAAACCTAGTTTAATTACTAGTTGCGGCTTTTCAGGCCATCTCCCCCCTCGCGAAGTTATACCCAAGGTTAGCCCCTGCGGTTGTGCCGTGAGAGGAAAACGGAGAGTAGGTTCAGGGTGTTAGTGGGTGAAAGACCCACACTTCGGCTCTCAAAGCTTTACCACTTAAAACAAAACAACCACTTAAAACTTCTTATAAAATGAAATTATGAAATGTCAGACATATTAAAAACACATGTGTTGCATCTAAGATGTGTTGATTTTCTTAAATCAATCAATTTCTGCTTTCTTTTGGCTTCCAAACAGGCAATTGAAAATATAAATGCAAACAAGTCAGCTGTTTTAACAGTGAGAAACGATGAAAAAATGAAACGTTCCGATAACGAAACGATGACAAAAAAATTGTGAAAACCGGAGCACCTAAAACGAAAACGTACGTTTTCGCCCAAAAACGAAAACGAAAAAATAAGTGAAAACCGGAGCCTACACTACATAGACATACATATACATACATATACATACCGCCGTGTGGGTAGCGGCCTTAGAATACTCCCACAGCCCGTCCCTGCTTGTCGTAAGAGGCGACTAAAGGCGACAAGGGGATGTTTCTGCCCGGAGAGGGCCCCTATGGTGGCACGATTCTGACCTCCACTAAGTTGGTTACGATCGGATCAACTCCTCTCTGCTGCAGTTGAAGCAGCTCGAAACCTCCAACAAGGCGTCAGGTATCCCCGGACAGACCATCCACTCTGTGATGCGTCTAGGAAATACGAGAAGGCGACTAAGGCCGAGACGAGTAAGGCCATAGGACTGAAAACTGGACCCCGATGTGGAACGACGACCCATGGGCTGACGATAGCTTGAAATCTTGCTGAAATGGCTGCTTGGCTAATGCTGCTACCGCCCCCGTTCCGTTTAAAAGTGGCAAGTCTCCTAGAACGCTCTCTAATTTGGCACCATTCATTTGGCGGCGCAGGCTCAGATGTAACATTCCTGATCTACGCGGATTCGGCTCTGTACATCTAACCCCATAAGGGCAGATGTCAACCCTAGCATGGCCTCCCTGCTTTGCATAGATAACCATGGAATCACTTAACGCGACTGGGCAAAGATTAGAGACAAAGACTAGGAGTTGGGACCCAACAGAATGAGCGATAATTACGCAACACCCAACGAGAAAGAGGAAGAGTTTGCATTCCAAAGAAAAAGCAAAATCCTTAGATCGCCAGTGGGCGAGCAGGCCCCCCCCGGCAGGGATAAGGACGCGCGCGCCGGGTACTAAGCCTACCCAGACCACGTGCCCGGCACCGGTCAAAGCGGCCGCCGTGGCAAAGATGCCCGAAGTTGCTAATAAGCAAAGAGAGAGGCTTACCGAGGGCGGGTATAGCTCCGAGCCTACCACTAACTCCCTGCAAGCGAGCAGGAAGGTGCACAGGGCTCCGAGACGAGCATTGGTGGAAGCCAATCTGAACGCACAGCGTCAGAGGACTCCTCCAAGCAAGAACGCCCAAACATCGACCAAGAGTTTCGAGGTTCTGGGCGATAAGATCAGGGCCCTCAGAAAAATGCTGGAAGGACGGCGCTCGATCCACCAGCCAATGAGGGACCTGATCGATAGCATCATGGCCCTCTACACGGCGGCAGATGAAGAAAGGGCAGATGGAGAGTCGCCTGCGAGACCCAAGCCATCCGAGGGCAAAAGACCAAGAAGCGACAGAAGTGAAGCAACGTCACAGCCACCGGGTCCCAAGAAGCACAGGGGCCACATAGAGCCCAAGACTAAACCGGAGACCACGGCAACCTCCCAGAATTTGCCTCCCAAGCCACTCCCGGCTGAAAAGCCCACGGGAGGGGATAACTGGAAGAAGGTGGAAAGACGGAAGGCCAAGCCCAAAGCCGCCAGGACCAACACCGCCAAGCGGGATGCGATAGTGGTGAAGGGGACCGAAAACTCCTCCTACGCGGATATCCTGCGCTCGGTGAAGAGCGAACCGTCAATAAAAGACCTCGCGCAGCACGTGAGGGGAATTCGGAAGACAGCAAAAGGGAATCTGCTCTTTGAGCTATCAAGGCTGTCAGATCCGAATACAAGGGCACTGCAAGAAGCCGTAAAAGGCTTCCTTAGCCCGAAAGCTGAGGTCAGAACGCTGACAGAAACGGGTCGAGGTCAGGGACATCGATGAGGTCACCACGGAGGAGGAACTATTGGGGGCATTGTTAACCCAGTTTGGCGAAATTCAAGCCACCAGGTCCAGCATAGTGTCTTACCGGAAAGCTTACGGCGGCACCCAGACCGCGTCCCTAAAGCTTCCAGCAGGCCAAGAAAGGTGAAAAGGCAACGGACCACAAGGCTTACAGTAGTAGGTGCCCATACCTTGAAAAGGCGCTGATGATCTAATAGATGATCTGTATCAACCAACTCAACTTGAACCACTGCGAAGCAGCGCAAGACCTGCTATCACAGAGTGATACCTGAGCGAACCCTACCGTATAAGACCCACCAATACGTGGGCTGGGGACAAACTGCGAAAGGCAGCAACGTGGAGCTGCGGACAACACGCTTCCCCTCTTACAGACATTATGTCTGAAAAGGGATTCATACGAGCTAAAGTAGATTGGCTATATATATATAGTTGCTACTTAGCTCCATCGCTTAGCCTGGAGGAGTTCACAGGCATACTCGACCTACTGGTGACCGACGCGAGAGACAAGCCATGCCTAATCCCCGGCGATTTCAACGCATAAGCGACCGAATGGGGTAGCGTCAGCACTAACCCGAAAGGGAGAGCAGTCCTTGACGCGTTTGCGGCACTGGGGGTAACCCTTCTGAACAGCGGGAGCGAAAACACGTACATTAGAGGTAATGCAGGCTCTGCCATAGACCTGACAGTCGTAAGCAGCACACTTGTACCCAGGACGTCCAGGAATATAAGTAATTGCTACACCCACAGCGATCACCAAGCCGTAATAACCATGATCCACCGTCGAGAGCTCGACTACCCACCAGAGTCACCAGATACAAATCGGAAACCCTCGATAAGGAGGTCTTCGAATACATGCTCCAAGGGCTGCACCCTCGACTCACCGTGCTTCGACCAGGATCTTTTACGCTTTATGTTGTCATATGTGATCCATTTTTGATCAACAGTGACTAACCGATCCAGAAATGAGTCGAGTTTATTACGGTGCAACAGAGATTCGCAGATTGATACACGGTCGAAAAGGTTTTTTTGGGATAACTCATGAGGCACCCATACATCGAGCTTTTTTGTTACATTTTTCGACTTTAAATGCCTATGTAAATTCCGACAACTCCATTGGCTTCTGGGAAGACAATCAAACCTAAACGTATCCAACAAGCTACTAATCTATAAAACAATAATAAGACCAATCTGGACATATGGTATAGAAATATGGGAAACAGCCAGCAAATCCAACCTCAACTTAATACAAAGAGCCCAGTCGAAAATATTAAGAATATTAACTAACTCAGACAGATACACAACAAATGACCACATCCACAGAGAGCTAAGAATACAGACGATCTCAGAGATAATTAAGCAGAATTGCATTATCCACATCCAAAAATTACTTGCGTACCAAAATCATAGCCTAAGAGACCTTCCGAGAAGAGAAGCACAACCACGAAGACTAAAAGGGAGAACTCCCACAGCATTAGCGCATTGGTGCGCAGAATAAAGATAAGTAAATAAAAATAAGCAAAATTAAAAAAGTTATACCAACACAATGGTGTTGGTAATAAGTTAAGCCCACATGTTGTCTTCCAAAACAATTACTTAATATTCTATTGAATAGATGTAATAAATAAAGGGGTTAGAAAAAAAAAAAAAAAAATGCCTATGGACGGTTTCCGTGCTTAGTTGCAGCTCCTCTGAGATGGTTCTAATAGTCACATGACGATCTCGATCCACTATTTCCATGATTTTATCCGTATCAATGGTCACTGGTCGTCCGGAAGGCTTGCCACTTCGGAATCGCCTAAACCACTGTTCGGCGGTTTGAATCGAAAGTTTTGTTATCTCCTAAGACAGCAATAATCTGTCTGCGAGATTCCGCAGCAGTTTTTCTCTGAGCGAAATAAAATTTCAAAATTGCCCGAATCTCTGCGTTTGTGAACTCCATTTCAATCGATTATAATTTTTTAACGTGGAAACTCATGTAAACAAACTATATGTCATTTTAAAGGTGATGATCACAAGCGAAGCGCGAAATTTGAATGTAAAATCCGGTATGTCATTACCAAACAACCTAATATAAACATTATTTTTTTGTAAAATTCCTTATATATTCAAGGTATTCTGTTTTGTTTTTTTTTTTTTAATGAAATCCTGAGGCGACCTTTTCGCCCAATTCTCAAGTCCGTCAGCATATACATACATATGTACTCTGACTTTGGCTCTTCCGCAGCAAATTAAATTGTTTATTAAACAAATATTATTTGTCAACAAACCCAGCTGATTGACAATATGAGTACGGTAGGTGGATTCTGAAGAACCTGGTCACTCTATAAATAATTCTTTTATTTTCTTGCGGACGTATTTTTTAATCTAAGTACTAAACGGTTTAGTGCCCACACCTTATTTTGCATTTATTTTGGACTGTGTGAACACTCTGCATCAATTTTTTCGATTTTCTTTTTGATGAAGTAATGATAATACCTACATATGTTATATTAAAACTTGTTATTTTTTAATTAGTTAAACAATTTAAAAAAAAATAGAAGAAATGTTTTCACTTAAGGTTCTGCCCCAAAACACATTTAAAAATGCCACTGTCATGCGAAGCGTCTGAATAATTTGTATGTGTTGATCGGTTCCGATCAGCTGCTCAGTTCCACCTCGTCATCGGACCGCATAGCATAGCTAACAGAACAAAATCTTCGGCTTATGTTTTGTTGTGCTGGAAAAAACACTAAATTAGTTTTTTGTTAAATTTTTTCGCATATAATTAATTACTTTTGCGTTACTTGGCAATGATTACTCGAATTAATGAAAATGTAAGCAAGTGAAATATGTGTTTAGTTTAATTTAAAACGTCTAAAGAGTACATGTAAATATATGTACATATACAATTGCTTGTGGTTCCAAGTAGAATTAAAGTGCATATGTGTACAAATACAAAAAGAAATATCAATTTATTATTTTATATAGATTTGTTCTTATGTTGAATTGGTACGTGTTCCATTTGATGTTTGCTATCGGTATAATATAGTTGTGCATTTATTACACATTTTTATACAAACGCTACTATACAGTGTACGTATACATACACGTAACACATATGCATATTTATGTAGGTAAATGATATTCGCTTGCGCTGTTCTGTCTGTAAGGGGGAATACTGCACTTTTGACGATGAACTGAAGTTCAAGAGCACAACAATTTATTATGTTAATAAATGATTTTAATTGAATACAATAGAGTGGTCATCAAGTCGGCGCTCTTGTGAAACTCTTACAAACGGTCCTTGCATACACACACACATACACGATCATACATTCATGGCTGTGTGCACATTAGGGTGATCGTTTCTCATTGACGTACATATTTTACTCCCAAGACCAAGACGTTCCCAAAGAATGCAAAATAATCTGGGTTTCAGCTTCGGTTTTTAGAATTCCGTTGCTGCCGCCAGGTCTTCAGAGATCTGTAAGTAGTTTCTGAGTAAGTTAAGCTTTTATGATATTGTAAAAATTTAGCTTAATAAAGCTATCAGAAAGGTACAACCTTTTTGTTAATTGAGAGTACTAACAGTGGTCCATGTCTCGTCTAGAGTTCACATGTATATATGTACATACATATGTACATCAGAAAATCTACCGGCATTAGCAAACAAACAAAGATGTGGATTTTTGTTAGAACAGGTTAGCAGATAAGGATTCTCTTTCTCTTTCTCGCACTAAATGTGCTATTAAGTTCTTCTTTTTAGGGGGGAGTAAACATTACTTTTTCACATAAATCAACAGGTAACCAGGAAGAGCTTTTTTTCTTATTGTGCTATTTTTTAATAGCAATTTATTAATTAAAAAACTCTTCCTGATGATCTTGTGAAATACATAACATTTAAAACGCATATAAATTTTTTTTTGTTTCGAATGACCACCGCCAAACCAATTTTTTTCAAGGCGCTTCAAGAGAAATTAATTGAGAAATAATCATAGTTTAGATATTTTGATGCATTCATAAATTTTGCTCGACATTTACCAATTCGTTACGATTATACATAGCTATTTCCTTTTCTCTCCCTTTTTTTTTTGACTTTGAGGAAAAATTTAATTGCTTGGCAAAATTATATTGCTTTTCAAAAACATGTCAGAAGAATTCTGGTTTGAAATTAAAAAAAAAAAACCCTTTTTTAACTAAGTCAGCTACAGCTGACACTTGCGCTTAATTTATTTAACGATATATTTATAAAAACTAGACCATTTCAGCATTAAACCACGGTTTGATCAAAAATGCTGCCCAATGGGTGCTACGGTTGGAAAGAATACAATAGTCACGAACAATGTCATAACTCCTCAGCTAATGATATTAAGAATTTAAATGAAAAAACTAAACAAAACCAACCGATCCCAGTTATACACTTAAAAGATGAACATAATGACATCGATTTTCCAGTGTTGTTCAGAGTTTTCTGTGACTGCAAAACGAAAACAAAAAGAAACATACGAATGATCAAATTTGGACGTTCAAGATGCCATTTTCTAGTGAGCCGTTGCTTCGCAGTCGCCGCTCTTTTTATTATAGCGGCCACAAACGGCGTTTATGCCCAGACAGAAGGAAAAGGCTTCAGCAACTCTTCCAATGCAGTGTTGAGTAACGAAACAAACATCAGTACAAACATCGTTTCCGTGAGCAAAGAAAGTACCAACGTTTCCGAATCTCCTTCGATCTCCGTGGTGGACCAAATTAATGAAAATACGGCATTATTCCAAATAAAAGTACAAAACAAGCCGCCTGGAATAAAAAGTTCCTCTTTACCAAAGGTATCAGTTTCAGAAGATTTTACGACCGTATCCTTATACCGCAATACTTTACTTAACATAGAAAGTATGCTACAACGTCAGTTACATGAGAAAGCCAAAGTGGATAGTTTGGAGTCAATTAAAATGCACATACTTATGCGATTAAATTTAAAAAAACTTCCCAATATAACAAAACCTATATCAGTTCCACAGACCATACTAGATAACTTTTATAAAGACTATAAAACATCCTTCAAAAACACAGTCAAAAACAATATGGCGAGTACAGTCGAATCTCGCTTATTTCAAAAGTCAACAATTCCGGGAAACTCAAACCAAAATTACACTTATGGCAACGATACCCTGTACGAACCATTTGACGAAAGTTCGTCGTCTCAAATGCAAGGAGATGATGCCAACACTGTTAATGAGTTTAATTTAAAGCGTGGAATGGATTTTAACGAAAATAAAGATGAGAAACCGAACAGCCCGGTTAATAACGACGGGGAGGAATACGAAAGTATTCTTTCACACATTAGCAGTATATACATTTTTCCTGAACGTAAGTACAAAGTTTAACTACTATAATCATCATTCCTATGCCTGATTCACGTATTATAAAATTATTAGGCAACACTGATTTATCGATCGATTTATCGATCGACCGATTCAAATCATGCCTGTGCGATAAAGCAAATTTCCTTTTTCATTATTTTTCCGATCTTTCTTATGGGAGGCTGTATAATAAAGTGGTTTAACATGTATATTTTTTTAAGCCAATTTCTTTACGCAGGCTATTCCTTTTGTTTTAAATCTATCTCGTTGACACTTAATAATTTTGGAACTAGTAAAGACAATTAGACATCCCATAATATATAACCCTAAACATAATCCTTGAAAATAAGTGTATAAAGTAACAGTATTTTTCAAGAATTGATTTTTTAAGTTAATTTGGTTTAATTTTGTCATTTAGAATTTCAACCACATGTACGACACAATCGGAAAACAGATGTTCTTCGGTTTAAAATTGACAGTAGCTACTCGGAAATATCATATGCTACCCTTCATTTATACTTGCGTGGCTGGGACTGGATAAACACCAATCAGCCTGAACTTTTAGAAGAGATAAACGCTCAGCAGAGTAAAGATATTGTTGTGACTATTCACCGTGCTGCAAAACGTACAAATATTACAAGCTTTACTCACACAGTCAAAATGTTCGAATTTCGTCATAAAATTCCCTCTGGACTTGGCCAATGGGTTAACGTTGATTTAAAAACGCTTTTCGATGATATCGGGTCGAAAAGTATCCAAGATATTTTAATAAAAGGAGGAGAATCCTGGATGAAGCCATTGGTGGTGACGACTGATAACACACCAAAGAATCCATTGGTATGAAAGCTCTGAAAATAAAAACAAGTAAAAAAAATAATTTTAAGCCCAACGTTAATTTGAATATTACTTTTCTTTCAAAATTTAAACTAAAAAAAATATAAAGTTGAATTGAATATAAGTTTATGCACCATTTATTACAGTCGAATCCCGATAATTCGTACCCCGATAAATCGAAAATCGCGATAATTCGTAAAAAATTCTGTTCCCTTGAAAAAAATCTCGATAAATCGAATTCCCGTCTAATTCGTAAAAAAAAAGTGATCCCCTTGCCATTTCGAATTGTCGGGACTCGACTGTATTTATATTTAATTAGGGTAAATAATTTGAAAAGTTGAATAACCGTCTTTATTTTTCAGACAGTTCACATAGAAATTGGGTCGAAACAAAAACACCGGAGAAGGCGCAACGTATACATGGATTGCACAGAAAATGATCATGACATGAGATGCTGTCGTTATCCACTAAAAGTCAACTTTACAAGCTTTGGTTGGCATTTTGTAGTAGCGCCAACGTCATTCGATGCGTATTTCTGCAGTGGAGATTGCAAAGTTGGGTACCTAGAGCAATACCCCCACACTCATTTAGCAGCTCTGACGACATCGGCCACCCCGTGTTGCTCGCCGACAAAAATGAGTTCTTTAAGTTTGTTATATTTTGACGACAATCATAATCTGGTTCTAAGTGTTATTCCAAACATGTCTGTCGAGGGCTGCAGCTGTTCCTAGCAAACCATAAAACAACTAAGTGTTTCTATTTAAAACAAGAAATAAATAAATAAATGTATATAAATTAATTAAATGATGAATGCTACCTACTTTTTTCCGAGTAAAACTAAAAGCGTAAATTCGGCAAATGCAAAATATGCAATAATGGCTCACTCAGTTTTTAGTATTATGAGAAACCCATGCTTTTGAATCAAATTTATTAAATTTTTCGTTTTAATTAAAAAACTAATTTGATTTATTTTAAAAACCTATTACGAAGACGGCAACCTTTTGTTCCTTTTGCTTAATGCGTCTTCCGGGTATAACGACGAAAAACCGTCGGTCCCTTGAAAGTCGCTATAACCGGATTCTACTGTATTGTCATGAAGATTTGAGAAAGATGCCAGATGGTTATGTTCCGAGTGAATTGGAGTACCTGCCTGAGACTTGTTGGAATTGTTATAATATATCCGTGTGAGAGGATATGTTATGTGAAGATGAAAGGTCAATATATAGTATGGAATGGTTGTGATGGAGTTGAAATAGGTGGAGTTGAAATAGTTGTTGTTATGCGGTTGTTGTATGACAATATTTAATTGTAATGTTTGAAGATATGATTTTGAGATTGGAGATAACTGCGTTATTGGGCAAGCACAAGTGAAAAACGAAAGGACTATGCTCTTAATCAAAAGGAAATCATAGTGGGAATAACTAGAGTCGAATTTTGAATTGCTGAGATGCAAATGAATAAATTATTAAAATTAATCTGATTATGCAATGATAGTAAAAATTGAAAATAATTTGAATCGTTGAGATCGATGTAAAATAAAGAAAGACTTTAAAATAAAAGGAAAATTTTATGCTTAAGATTATATGTCGAATAAATAAATGGTATTCGGAATTGATGAGCAAAATTAAATAGAAGATATCCTTACTGGTTCATAAAAGTGGAATCTTCGGTTTTACCTCTACGGAGTAAAGGACTTACAAATTTTTACCGACCCCCAGTCACTCACTTTCGCTGTTTTGAATAAAAGCCCAGACATAAGAGATAAAAAGGAAATAAAAAGCCATTTTAAGAGAGTACTACTACAAAAAACAATACCAGAGTATGTGGGGGAAATACTCAACATTGGCTTCTTTTCCATAGACGGAACACTCTTTCTAACATGCGTCTATAAATTTTCAAAATTCCCGCCACCGCATTGTCGACGTTAAGCCCCCATATTATTCATAGAACATTTTTTTCCTTACATAAGACAATTTATTGTGACAACGAAATATCTTAAAATTTGGAAACTATAAAATCAATTCTATTTAATTACTTCAGTATTACTATTTCAAACGTTCCACCTCTCCATGTTACCTCAAACGGTGGTCCACAAGAACAATCTTTAATAACAATCAACGCTAAGGGTTTAACCATTTTTTATTATCTTTTTTTCTTTCCATCTTACTTAGGACAATATTGATCATCTTTGCATTAACGGACAAAATTGGGAACAAAAAAAAATTGAATCAACAGCTAGTAAAAACAGATGAGGAAAAATGGAATAAAATAAATGAACTCGAAACAGATAAAGGGACACACATTTTGGAAATTAATTTAAAAAAATAAAATTGTTATTACAGATTTAAAATTATTCTCAAGGGGTTAACCAAGGCAAAATAAATATTGTTCCAAAATTCTGAAAAACCTAATTTCCTTATTAAGTTCCCAAATCCTTAACTCGCCTTGTAGCTATTGCAGATAATATATACGATGGAACCCTCCGGATCGGATCAAATTAAAATTAATGAAATCCATAATAACGTAAAACCTTAGGCAAGGGCACACAAAGTCACAATATGGATAGATGTTATTTGTTACTAATAAACAATTACACAATTTTATTATTGAAAAATTTTTTATTTAACCGTTTTGTGATACATATTATATATATATATATATATACTATATTTATTTTCATATATTTTTTTTCTTTATTTTCATATATATTTCTCATATAAATTTAAAGGCCTTGGCCTTTAGGTCGGTTTTTTATGTGAGTACTTATCAGTAAAAAGAGTACGCCTATTAAAGTTTGTATATGAAATGTACTTTTAAGATATTATATTTTCTTACGAACACAATACGGAAATTCTCTATTTAAATACTATTAATGGTACCGCATATCTATTTTTTTCTTTGTAGTAAATTAGATATAAATATTTTTATATAGACAAACATTTATTTAAATGTTCATCGTTTTTTTACATTTCTTTTTTTGCATATTTTAGTTTAGTTTTATAATAAAATTACTGTTTTGTTTGCTTTTCTAAATGTTCGTTGTAAATACAATATTTTTTAATCATAAGTCAAATGTAAAAACCTTACAAATTGTATACAAAAATATTTTTTTCCCGATTTTTACGTACGTTTGTATATAATTATAACAAACAATTTTTAACGAAGTTAAATAAAAATATTTTTTACGTATAACAAAAACTAATTAGGCTTAAATTAGAACTACGAAAACATCTTACTGAAGAATTATAATCAATTAGCTATGGCAAAATTTTAAGTGCATCTCTTAATTAATAACCCTTTCGATATTATGTCAACCTTTCGCTAAAACCATTTTGTGGAGTTAAGAAATATCTAAAGAATATTAGCTTTTTCTTTTAAAAACTTTCTCTCACTAAAAGAAAAACTTCAGTAAATTTTTTAACTGTAACCAAACCTTAATAAATGTATAGCACTAAAATTTATTCTCCTGAATTCATTCAGATCGGTTAATATATTTATTAAACTGTTTTTTTTTAGTCTGAAATTTGAAAAATTTATATTTTCAACCAAAAAAAAAACAACTGCGTCTTATTCATCAGAAAAAAGCTTTTTAGGGTTCCAGATTAAGCGTTTAAAAAGCAGCCTAGATTTGTTTAAAAATATCTTGAACGAAAACGATGTAGTTTTAGCAGCTATTTTTATGTTTAAATACTGATTCTATATTTATATGAGAACGCATTGAATTTCTTACAATATTATTCCGTCTTTCAGAGTAATATTTATGGTTGAATAATAATATGTCTTACCATGTAAATGCCAATATTTATGTATAGATATATATGAATATAATAAAAAAAATATATATATATATATTTTTTTAATATATATACACATTTCTTTTCTCATAATCATATTATTTTATAAGTGTATAGAATATATATAAAAGTTATATCTTGCATTTAATTTAATTTTCAAGTAATAAGTATTAAAATAATGTAATCGTTCGTTTTGCGCGATCAATGCTTTATTTACTCTCACTCGTTTGCATTTTGACTGCAGATTTAAATATTAAATTATATACATTTAAAAATATATAAGCGAGCCTCTATTACAATTATTCTGACTAGATTGATCATTTTGAGTCACAATTGAAAATTTGAATAACACAATTCTTAAAAATGTTTAAAATAATCATTGAATTTCATACGTACTACAATATATTGGCTTTTCTAAACGTTTACTCAATTTACATTGTCTTTTAAATATTTAATATGATTGACTATAAATGTATAAGTCTTTTTATTCACATTATTCGTAAGCTTTGTTAAGGTAGTTGTCACATGTGGATAATATATTGTATTTTTAAGTATATAACTAGTTGTATTTGATTTTTCTATTGATATATTTATGTGCCGATCTTAATATTAATGCTATTATATCAGTCAAATTTTATTTTTTCGAGAATTGGTATCATAACATTTACTTTACAGACTCAAACTTTTTTAAAATTACGATTGTTGTAAATGTTTTTTACTTAACGGCATAATGACATACGATTGAGTTTCGACTTTGTTACCAAATTTTGATGAAGAATTGTGTTGTCAATATGTATTAATTTACAGGTTATAAACTAATCACAAAACTAAATAAAACAAATTATTTGAAAATTAAGATATGCAAAATTGTTTAAGTGTTTTTGAAATAACGGGTGATTTTGTTAAAGGTACAGAACTTTAAGTTGCAATAAAACAACCATGGACTATTCGATTGAAATGCATTCCGAAAGATAATCTTTTGGCAATACATTTTGAATATGCATTCTGTCATTTGACCCCCAAGTCTCGCTCGGACGAAGTCTAATCTAGACACAATAATTAATGCTGTTAAATCGGTCGCCGTCTCGAACAGTAGGCCAACTTTAAAATCTATACCTCGAAAATAAATAACCAATAAACAAAAAGAAATGTAAAATGACATATATTTATTATTAAAACTGTCGATAGAATTAATGTGTAAATCTGGTTATTTATCTCGATGTCGGACTTCGCTAGATCGGCTGGCCTAATCATCTCAATAAGAATATATTTTTATACACATTTATAATATATATTTATATTTCTTTTCATTATTTTAATGAACAATTCTTCAAGAAACAGGTTTAGGCAACCATCTTTAAAAAAAAGAAAACAAATTTAGCAGGGTTTTGTATTTATTAAAATATTGATTTAGGGTAAAATGGTTTGTAAGTTGTATTTTTATTTAAACAATTATATCATAAAAAATAGTTTCTTTTTCGTTTTTGTTTTGTAAATGGTAATTTTCGTAAAGGTTTTTCAGTAAAAATCACGGTTATTAAAAACATAAATATTGTTTGTTGTTATACTGTTTCCGTGGTCAAAGCAGTTCAATAAAAACGTTCTATAATCATTTTTTATTATTGGTTCTAACTGTTTGAATAGCCATCAATTAATTTTTTCTCTTAGGTTAGATCATTTCTATGGATTGAAGAATGACAATGTTTTTAAATAATAAAAAATAAAAACTCAATCAAATGGTACTAATTTTTTAATTTTGTTAATATCATATATAGTATACAAGGTATAAAATTAATTTTTTTAATACTGTGTTGCATTGCTCAGAAAATGTGGATTAGCGTAAAACTGTCTTCCCTTACAAGTAAGAGTCGAGTGCCAGGTAAACTTCTCAGATGAATAATTGCATTAAATTTTCGAAAATTAACAACTTAAAATGCTGTACCATTCAAATTATGAAATTATATACCCTTGCTGCCATCGAATATGTCGAACAAAATACATCAAGTCTAAACGACATCGAATCTACTTCGATTTTTTATTCATTTACTATATATTCGACGATTGTTCATATGACAGCTATATTAAAATTTAAGAGTCATTAGAATATAAAAAAAATTATGTTTGTCTGAAGAAAAACAAACGTTAGTTCTTTATAGATTTTTCGATCTTTGCTATGGATAAGGATAAACAACAACTATGCCCGTTTTCAATTTATTTCCATTAGTTCTATATATATTTTTATACCCTTGCAGAGCAAAAGAATTTCAGTTTCAGTCAGAAGTTTGCAATGCAGTGAAGGAGAAACCTCAGACCCCATAAAGTATATAAATTCTTGATCAGCATCACGATCTGAATCCGCGCAAACTAGTCTCTCAGTTTTAAAGCTATCTAGCTGAAACTTTCCCAAAAGTTGTGTAGTTATTGCACGCAGTATATTAGTCGGAACGGGCAGGATCGGCCGACTATAGCCTGATTTTTGGAATATAGAGTTTTCTAATGACTCTTGAATTAAATTTCATCAAAATCGGACGACTATATCATATAGCTGCCACATGAACAATAGTCAAAAATATGGAAAAGTAATAGAAAAAGTCATAGCTGCGATGTTGTTTGGTCTCTATGTATTTTGTTCGACATATTTGATGACTGCAAGGGTATAGCTTCCTTTCTTGTTCGATCTCTCCTAAGGCAGCTAAAATAGTTATCAGATTTTGATACAACCTAATTCGAAATTCGACAGTAGTTGAAAAACAGCATCTGGAAGAAATCAAGTCGATATGATAAAAAACAACGGCATGCGATTTCTTTTTCAATCTCTCGTATGGGAGCTACCCGATATAGTCGGCCGATCCGGCCTGTTCCGACTTATATATTATACTACGTGCAATAACAACACAACTTTTGGTAAAGTTCAGCAAGATAGCTATAAAACGGAAAGACTAGTTTACATAGAAATAGACAGACGGACAGACGTACAGACGGATTTCGATTCAGATCGTGATGCTGAACAAGAATATATAGACGTTGTGGGGTCTGAGGTGTCTCCTTCACTGCACTGCAAACTTCTGACTGAAATTACAATAACCTCTGCAAGGGTATAAAAAGGACTACATTGGCCAACAAGTTCAAATATAGATGTTTAAAATTAGGGATTTCTAATTTAAGAAGGTGAGAACCTGCCATCTTAAATTATAATAAATAAATAATATAACAAATTTAAATATGAAATAAATACATTTTCAATAATTCACTTTGGTTTGGCAACGCGACCGATTTGGTTTCCAATGGCAGTTAAAAAGAAAAGAATATAGCTTCCGCAGTTTAGTTTAGTACTCTTAACCCTTTCGGGACTACTGGGATTCTAAATCCCACCAAAAAAAACGGATTGGAATTATATGTCCCAGGATAAAAGGACGAATTCAGGATTTCCAAGTATGCAGTACATAATTATTTTTAGTCATCTTTCAGAATCTGAAAAAGGATTTTCTCTAACTATCTTGGTTTTCGAAATAAAACCCCGTCCCGAAAGGGTTAAATAATGCGAGGTGCATAAGGGAGCAAGAATATACCCAACCATCTTGGGGATATGAAATTAAATTATAATAAATAAATAATATAACAAATTTAAATATTAATTAGGTACATTTTCAGTATTTTGGTTCGATGAGCGGGATCAATTTGGTTTCCTATGGCAGTTAAAAAAAAGAATATGCACTTAGAACTTGTATGGAGAAAACGACTAGGCTCATCACAAATGTATAAAAACAAAAATTTTTCAAATGCCAGTTCGATAAGCAATAAAGTGTAAAGTAATTCTCTAGTTCAGTCGAAGTTTTCATTAATTTCCCCGATCTCTTAAATGGTAGCTATATGATATAGTCTCATCCGATTTTTATCTTATCGTAAGGAAGAAGAAATAGAAGAAGAATACAATTTTTTAGGGTATCTGTTCAATCTCTCGTATGGGAGCTAGCCGATATTGTTGTCCAATCCGGCGCGTAGGCTCAATAACTGAGACACTAGTTTACATAAAAACAGACAGACGGACAAATGGTGATGCTAATTAGGATATATGTATATATATATTTATAAGTCTCCTTCATTGAAATTAGAATACCCTCTGCTTACAAAAACGCTGAAGAGCAAATCTTAAAAATAAGAAAAGATCTAAACAAAAATGTTTACAAAAAAGCTGTTTACCTAATCTTAATCATTTTAATTTTAAAATATTTAACAACCCTTTTTTTAAAATATATTTTGATTTCGGCGTGTAAGCATGAAACAACGAAAGCTCCAATTCTAAATTCAAACTAAAAAAAAAATAATCTTATTTTAATGCACTTTACGGAAGACACAAAATAAAATTTACCTGTCATTATGTATTCAACGCATTTCAAATCTTTAGATTAATCCTTTAAAATTATCCTAAAATGCGCATGGCATGGTAAACAATAGAATTACAAACTGGGCAAACCGATTCCATGGAAATGCAGATTTGATTGGCGCACTCCATGCAAAACATATTGTGACCGCAGGGAACTAAAGCAGTGGTTACATCATTTTCATTGCAAACAAAACACTCACGATGGATCAAACATTTCTCTGGGTTGGATTGCAGTTGAATTGATTTTGCCTTTTGTGGATTATTGCAAATAGTCGGCTCTTTAGTGTGGTGAAGATTTTGTTTAATTGAAGAGTGTTCGCCCAGACCTAACAGAGAGTCCGTTGGACTGATAGAGATTGTGGGTGAGCAGTGAGCTGTGGGCACAAGATTTGTTGGTTGATTCCAAATGCTTGGCGAGTCGCCTATACCCTCATCGACGTCAATTGAATCACTTATATTTTTCCATATATTTAATATTTCTGGAGGAGTATTGGCGCTGTTGTTTGTACTCTTTGTTGATGTTGTTGAAGAAGCCGATGAACAAGATCTTGTTAAAATATTTGCGTTGGAGTTGGAGTGAATTGATGATGATGTCGATGTGGGAGGACAAAAGGGCAGACTTTTAATGTTTGCATTTCGAAGTACCACATTAGCTTTAGCCAAGGGCATGGACACATCCCTTCCCGTAATCTGTTTATCAGATTCTCCTGTCACCGGTAAAGTGGCCGACACTTCCATGTCAAGAAACTCGGATTTTTGAAAGCAGTTGCTGGAATGATGGCCGTGCAGGGGTTTCAATAAATTGCTCCCGTTTGAAACAATCTTTATTGAATTATTCGTATACTCCTGTGCAGTTGAAATCTCATGTTTGTATATCGACGATAAAATATCTGAATTCAAGTCATCATTGAGTATTTGAGTTAATGAATTTATTGTCGGCAAGGCTGTGAAATCATTTGAATCAACCGATTCACTGCCTTGCAATATAGCATCGCCATTTCCAGATCCAGAGCCAGTTCGTAGAGCAATGTGTGCTTCTATTTGCTTTCGTGCAGTATCTACATTATCTGGCAATCCGGTCACTTCAAAAATTGGTTCTTTTTCGCGAGACGGTGTCACAATGTAGGTTTGAGTTTCTTGTTGAATATGCTTAATAGTTGCACCTTTGGGCCCAACAACAAGGCCAACTACCCGATAAGGTACACGTACCTGTATAGTCACCTGTCCCGGCATACATGGGGGACCAGACTGCATGCGGGAGACCGCACCACCTCCGGAGCCACTTGAACCTCCTACTATACCATTGCTAGGTCCGTCACTCATCGGCTTACGCGATGCGCGAATCAAGCTAAAGTGATCCGCAGCGGAGAGTATTTCCCGCTTTGCCTTGCTGACATCTTCCTTTCGACCAGTCACTACGAATACTGGCTCCTCGCCTCGAACTGGTGTCTTAATATAGGTGTTGGTTTTAGCCCTTAAAGCCTTAATTTTGCAACCTGAAAACGAACAAGAATATTTTATAAAAGTATTTTTTTTTTTTTGCTTTGTTTTGTAGTTAACATAATGAAATTCAATAAGAAAGAAATCTAGCATCGTTGAGTAGGAGCTTATAAGTAGTCTTGAAGTTACCAGAAAAAAAAAAAAAAAAAAAAAAAAATAGTAACAATATGTTGTTAGTTCTATCCTTAAAATTTCTCTATAACTATTATTAATGTACTATTTTGTACTATTGTAGTGCAATCTTTATAAAAATAATATTAAAATATCTATAAATGTATCAAATTACGATTTTTCTATTTATTTTCTAGAATCGGCCAAAATTGTTTCCATGACAGCTTCATGTATATGGTCGACTGATTTTCATGAAATTAAATTTGAAATTCAAGAGTCATTAGAAAACTTCAGTTTCTAAAATAATTTTGTTTCTATGATAACAAGAAAAGAAGCTAGCTTCGGCAATAATAATTCTTTTTTTTTTTTACTTCGAACAATAGAAAATGTTTTACAATTAATCCGTGTTATATCTAGGATCCATAACAAAACTAAACTATTTTTCAAAGTTCTCCAATATCAAAATCTTATTGCCATTACGAAGAAACTATTACTATTATTTCATTAATGTTATCATTTATTCTAGGATCAAGGGCAGATGAAATAAATCCTGTGAAAGATCATCCTCATCATCAAGGCTAAATGGCCTTCTATTACACTGTGCGACAAAATTTGACAAAATCTTTGTTTAAGTTACTTTTTTGATTGTTTTCGGTTAAGGTGCATAAGTTATGCACAAAAATATTTATGCCACCTTCTAAGTGATAGGATTTCTTTTTTTATGATAAATTTTATGAAATTATTATTATGAAAATATTTAACACAAAATATTATTTTTTTTTTTACTTCCAATAAACTATTATTTTTTTTAAAAGTGAAATTTTTTTCTGATTTTTTTTGGATTTTTCAGAGGTATTCTCGCGTAACAAGTTCCATACGTAGTCGCCCAGAGTAAAGAGCTGGGAGAAAAAAATTTTAAAGCATTGTTATAAAAGCCTAACGGTATATTTGCTTAATACATTTTAATTAATAGATATTGAACTTGCATTAACGCTTATAACGGTAAAAAAATATTTTCCCAATATGTGATTATAAGGCTGTGAAATATGCAAAAACACGCGTTTTGGGACATTTGAGTGTGCGTAGAAGCTGATTGGCTATTGATATTAACAAATCCACAAACTTGTATTCTTATTTTGATAAGTATAAGTGAAAAATAAGAAAAAATCAACTTAAACATTTTTTTGTCGCACAGTGTTATTAATAAATATACATTTTTTCGCAAACCTTACTGGGAATCGCATACGATGTGGTTTCAGTTGCCAAAGAAAAAACATAGTTTAGTTAACTTCAGTCGAGAAGCTAACATGAAAAATATTTTTGAAAATTTCTAAGTTTTCGGAGAGAGCAATATTAACTAATAGAAATGGCAGAGCTGTGTTAATGAAAATGATCATCATCATGGGGAGGAAGTTTTACATAAGTCATTCTGATGCAGACCCTTGCTTTTTTTTTTAGAAGTAGTAGCATAGTAGTGAAAAGTGAAAATTTTGAAATTGATTAAATTGTATTTCAAATTCGACAGTAGTTACAAACACCATCAAGAGGAAATCAAGTCGATATGATCAAAACCAACAGAGTAATAATTACTCGCCAGATCTCAATCCGATGGACTACAGTGTGTGGTCAATTTTGGAGTCCAGGGCATGTACTAAACGTACTAAATGTACTAAAAGTCACATAAGAAGAAGAAGACCTGCTAAATTTCCAGAACAGTTAAGGGCTCTGCATCGCAACCTGATGAATATGAGTTAACATAGTAGCTATTTAATAGTTGTGTATTTGCATTTTTCTCAAATATAGTTGAAGACGGTTGCCGATGAGCAACCGAAATATATTGGTCAAAAAACATAAATTGTGTTTTAAATATCACCCAGACTTTGAGCCGGCAAAACACCAAATATTCAATTGGAAAGGTCACTAACACCCACAAAATATAGTTCCTAAAAAATATATGATCAACAATGTAAGTCCGGGTTTACCATGGTGACAACCCTGTATTTTTGTAAAATTCTAGGGAAGTTGAAGGCAACTCTGGAAATTAATGGCATAGTAATAACTGTTATATCAAGGTAGGTTTAATAAAAATTGTGCAGCACTGTTGTGTAATGCAAATTTCAACATTACTTACCCTGTCTACCGACGATTTCGGCGACATGCTCTGAACTGGGGACTGGAACACACTCAGTCATGTTTTGGGACTTCTTTGATCGATCCTCTAAGCTGACAATGCCGGCAGTGGGTAATAGAAGGCAACTCTGTGCCGATGATAACTGTAAGGTGCTTTCTGTTTTAGGGAACTCTGTCACGCAATTGATGGCGCCTGTATCGAAATCATTTTGAGCAGTCGGCGGTTGAGCAGGTTGCGTATAACAGTTTTGACTGTCATTAAATCCGACCAGGGACAGTTCCAGCGCCAATTGTAATGCCCGAGGATCCTCGGACAGTTGAAGAGATGACGTATTGACTTTGTGTTGTTCAGCCATTTCGTGATGCTGTACGGCGTTCGCTTTGTAAATTGACTCCTTCAAGTGCACACGGTTTAAGCTCTTTGGTGAGATTTTAGTCGACATCACAATAGAAGAACCTTTGTGCTTTTTCTTAAGCGAATTGAAATTGGCGGACAGCGAGTAGCTACTGGCACTTGCCTCCTGTGCAATACCACTTTCCGATGGGAAATTCAAGGATGGGATGCAACTAGATGCAGGACCTGAACTCACTTTGTTAAATCCAGTAAATTCCGTGCTTATGTGTGCTGCAGACATATCAGTTGATTATTTAACTTTTAACCGCAAGACGTCCTCATTTGGCCATATTTTTTGCGCAAACACATATTTAATTTTGAATAAAATATTCCTTTATGTGTTGGTACCAACAAAAATGGTAGGTCCTCTTCGTAAAGGAATTTCTGCAAAATATAAAAAACCGAAACTGCACTTGGTATACATACGCATATTTATGGTGGGGAAGCTTTATATATGTGGGATAGTATGGTTATTCAGTATACTCCAGAACATTTATGCACTTTTTTTATTGCTATCCTCTCTAAGGCGTTTACTTACGTTCCAAAAAACTATTTAACAGTTTTCAATGGGTAGAATTAATGTTCTTCCTTTCTATTAAGCCCTTACAATCCAGCGGTTCCACAAAACATACCGAATACCGCGCTCATAACCAACCCCTAACTTACAACTTTTGTGTCACTCACCCCTTGTAACTTCTATTTTGCTCTACCCCTTGGTGAGGCAAAAAAACAATATATATTGTGTACATGCAGCAATTTTGCGCCGATCTTGAAAAATTATGCGATTTCGTTCAATATACCTAATAATCAAGTTATATTTTTTATTGTACTATTTTATATATTTTTTTGTCCGAGGTGAAATGCTAACACCCAAATGAAGTGGCCCAAAATTTACGTGTGTACACTAAAAAACTTGAGTGGTCAGGTATACATTCCGGTATTATTCCGCCACGCCTTTTTTTATAAAAACGCCAAGAAACAAAAAAAAAGCTTTAAACAATCGTTAAGAACAAGATCCTATTGACTTTTTTATTTAACAATAAATTTCAAAAGAATTAATGTTTTTGTTGATAATGCGCACCAGGATCCAATCTAATTTACATTGCCGGCTATCAGAACCAGAAGCGGTTCACAACAAGAAACTACAAATATCGATAACATTTAGTTTAAGGAACCTCTAATGTGTGCCTTCCAAATATTATGTTTACACTAAATCACTTTTAGATCTAAATATCATCACTCCACTGAAACACCCATAAGGAACATAAGTACATTAATAAAGAAATAAAATTAGCACAATTGATCAAATTATGGTCCATTTAGATTTATTTTTGCAAGAGTTTCCATAAAGAAAATTATGTTACTATGTCGGGTCATCCAGCCGCAGCAGATAATTAGTTTCTCTTAATGCGAGCTCTTATCTTCTCGGCATAGCTACCATCGGTCTCTCTCTACCTTTTTCTATCGCTCTCTCGTTGCTTGTTATCTTCGGTAATTGTTTAAAAGTGCGGTTAAAAAAATAAAGTAAAATATGGAAACGGTGTTTTTTTCTAAAACTTCGAAATCCGTTGGCGGAGAGTGAAATTTTTGCACCGTTTTTTTGTTATTAACAATTAAAGATGCGATTTGTAGTACAAATTCGGATCTGAGTGACCGTATTTGCATGTGATGTGCCGATTATTGCAGTCGTCTGGGAGCGGTTTATTGCAAAAGGTTCTCAGCGAGAAACTGGCTTTTTTTTCTTGATTTTCCCTATTTTTCCGTTTTTTTTTTTTTTTGCCATTTTAAACTTGCCTGATCCGTGTCCTTTCGACTTATATACTACCTGCAAAAGCTACCAAACTATAAAGTAAGATTAAAAGGGAAGTTAACTTAGAATAAGAAAGACTGCCCGACTGCATATCTTGACCGACTTTGACTTTTTATACTACTAAAAAGAATTTAGCTGTGTTTATAGATTTAACACCCAGAAAAACAATGACTCAATACTTAAAGCCAAAATTAACTTGATTGATATTTTTATTGTGAATTTTTAATGTATAACCGAATTTTGTTCGGTGGGAATGCTTTGATGAAAGCAAAACCGTAATAAGATTATAACTTCCTATAATGAATATAACACAGGTTTTTTCCATACTGGAAACACAAAAACACTCATAAATAGTAGGCATTTGATCGATATGCACAAGCAGCAAAATAGGACATAACCCTAACATATATGTACACAAAAGATATACATATATATGTACCTGGTATATGTTGCCTTCATGTCAAACTTGGACATGATAAGTGGCTTCAAACGAGATTATTACACAAGTCATTGTCCCTTAGTGCTACCGACACTCGATTTCATTCGTTACTGAAAATTTTAATTTTGTTTAACATACACATTAATTTATGTATAGAATTTGATACATTTGAATTATTAATGTATATTTTACCTTATACGAGTTTGCATGCACACGTCGTGTTACTGTTGAGAATTTTTTCCCTTTCCCAAAGGTAAGCTGCTATTGGCGCCAGAGACAAAACACTTTTTCTTAAATAGGAAGGTAAGCATTTTTGTTATAGCAAACCATCAAGTATATCTTTTTTTGCTTGACATCATATTTATGTATATCTATATGTCGGATGTTGTTTTTTTCATATTGATTAATTTTAAACTTACAAGTTACAAGTTAAGGTCTATGAACGATGAAGAAAAATAAATCTACGGGCATACAAAATTCTAAGTCCATTCGTCTATCAGTCGTTCCACTTTTATATTCTTCACAACATGGTCTTGCTTTCCATACATACTTAGTATCAAATCATTTGAAGCTTTTGGGTGTGTGTGTGTCTTGAGTCACAGAATGCGATAGTCGATGGTCAACGACCAATCATAGATCTTTTAATCATCAACAATGGAATAAACGAGAGATATATAGTCAAAGTCAGCTTCTCTGCCCGATGTCCTGCTTTGACCTTGAAGAGTTTGGTTTTGGCCTGTTTGACGCCATGTTGAGTTGGTGCTATTAGATAGGTTAGAAGCGCTAGACTGACTACCACCAGGTATGGTTACGTTGCTTGCAGTACTCTTTGAGCCAACACTGTTCGTAGATCCTGGTCCACCGTTAGAAGAATTGCTACTCGCCGCAGTACCACTTCCCACAGAGCCCGTACCAGAGCCACCACCGCTAGAAGCATTTGAGACTGACCCTCCTCCGCTAGAACCGAGTAGATTCGAAGTGGTCACACTGGTGGTTGGATTACTGACTCCACCACTGGTCTTGGCGCTGCTATTTCCATTGTTGCCACCACCACTGACACCACTACCGCCGGTGTTTCCATTACCATTACTGTTGTTGCCGTTGCTGCTGTTTCCGGATAGACTAGGCCCCGAGCTGCTGCCACCACTGTTGGATGGGGTGACAGCTCCTCCGCCGGTTCCAGTACTGCTTCCACTGGAACTTGCAGAGGATGCCGTTTGTGGCAAGTGCTGCATTATGTTTTGCACCTCATTCTCGCTCGGAGATTCTGCATATATGGTGGTGTTAGCAAGAACACAGTTGTTTAACGCCATTTGCGCCTTGTTTGCCTCTTCTCGGGTTGCATATTTACATAAGGCAATTCCTTGGTTCAAATATAGGTGAAAGCTTACAAGGGGGCCATGTTGCATACACAGTGTACGTAAAGTAGGTCCATCAATCTAAAATAAAAAAAAAAGCACATTTAAATTAATTATCTACAAAGTGTAACTTTTAAAGAAGATATGCCTTTAAAGCCTAAAGCTTAACCTTTAAAGCTTATCCTTCCTCGAAGTATGTTATTAATACTTATAATAATAAAAAACTAAAAGCAATTACTAATTGAGGAGCAGGATGAATTAATCGTTACTCTTGTTTTAAAACCATCAGGGGCGGATTAAGACAATTTGCCGCCCTAGGCAGTTTTGATTTTGCCGCCCTAGACTGCAGCCTAATTTTCACCTTTATATCATTGTTTTATTGACCTTGTGTTACACGGTTGCATGAATTTCCACATTGAAATTTGGCTTTTTTCAGCAAAGGAACTACTCGAACTACTCGATGGCTGCCGCGAACGCGCGGGAAATTCAAACGCACGGTAATTTTCGGTTATAATGATTGTGCGTTTGAATTTCCGCGTGTTCGCGGCAGCGAAAAGAAGTATATTGAACAATATGTTAAAGTTGAAGACCTTAGAGTAAAAATTTTTTGTGTCTATTAAAAAGTAGTATTTTATGTAGTGTTAACAGTCGAAATTTGCCGCCCCTAAAAATTTGCCGCCCTAGGCAGCTGCCTATGTTGCCTATATGGTAAATCCGCCACTGAAAACCATACCTGTAACAGGCTGGGTATTAATTATGTATACTTACTTATATTATTGATATCATTATTTTACAGTCGAATCCCGATAATTCGTACCCCGCTAAATCGAAAATCGCGATAATTCGTAAAAAATTCTGTTCCCTTGAAAAAAAATCCCTTGAAAAAATTCTCGATAAATCGAATTCCCGTCTAAATCGTAAAAGAAGTGATCCCCTTGCCATTTCGAATTATCGGGACTCGACTGTATATTATTCGATTATATTGTAAGCGTTGGTCACACTTCTGATCTCTCGAGAGAGGATGTGCTCTCTCGAGAGAGTAAGAAGCTAAGCATAAACGGGGGTTGAAAGCTAGCTGCCTGCGAGCAGCGAGTTCAGTTCGTAGGGAGAATCATAAGAGAACACAATAAAGAAGATCCTGATACATACCTGAGCTGTTAGATTTTTGAGAAGCAACCAACTGGAGCCCCAAGATGTATTTCCACTCGTCCACGTTGTATTTGTTGTTTGAACACCACCACTTCGAGCCTGTAGCCAACCATTAGAAGCGCCTGTGACAGCAGATGGGGTTGACGTAGTACAATTTCCTCCATTTCCTCCTGTTTTGTTTGAATTGGGAGTCAATCCTGGTGGCGGACCTCGTTGCGATGATTTGTTTAGGGGGCTTGTCCAAAGCTCAGAAGTGGCTGCACATTGCTGACTATTGTCAGACCAACTGAACGAAACAACATTATTTTGCTTAATCATTTTTATTTTGGTAATTACCTTGGGAAATTTTGGTTAGGATTAAAACTCCAAGTGGACGACGATAAACTTAGCGGCGGCAAATCAGTCGGTGAATTCTTGCCGGTATTGGCAAATATGTCAGCATCTTTTGGCGTCGAATTAATTGATAGTGGAGATCGAGCAACGCTTCCAGGAGTAATGCTGGGATCATCTTCTATGCTTTTGATCTGAGAACCCTTAAAAGCAAAGTTCTGCTTGGATGTGTTTTGGCTTTATCGTATTGAACAGTTTTACCTTCCATGGTTTCCCTGGCTCAAACTCTTGGACCAGGTCGGTGTAGGCAGTTGCAGCTGAAGTTGGCTGTGCAACTGACCAGTCTTTATTCTCGTTATCGGATGAGGGGTCTGGCCATCCGTCCCCAATATTGCGACCAGTTGACCAAGTACTAGGCGACCCGATAATATATATAATATAATTAATTTAATGTATAAAGAAAGCTACATTAGGGGTTCGATGTAGACAAAAAAAATAATCCAAACTTATTCTATGGAACTAACTCAACTATAGTAAATTAATTTGTATCGTTTTTTCTCCAAATTTTACGTTTTAATTAGTGTGCGTTTTAAATACGGAAAATTGTTAATCCAATATTAACAGGAAAAAAACTTTTTTGGCCTAAGAAGCAATGCTAGATACATATGTTTACACATACAGGCAGGCTCCGGTTTTCACTTTTTTTTCTCGTTTTCGTTTTTGGGCGAAAACGTACGTTTTCGTTTTAGGTGCTCCGGTTTTCACAAACTTTTTGTCATCGTTTCGTTATCGGAATGGTTCAAACAGCTGACTTTTTTTGGTCAAAAGTAAACAAAGCGAAAAAATGACTTTTATATTTTCAATTGCCTGTTTTGAAGCCAAAAGAAGGCAGAAATTGATTGATTTAAGAAAATCGAGACATCTTAGATGCAACACATGTGTTTTTAATATGTCTGACGATCGGTAAATTAAGTTGTCTTACTTACATTTTTAAAAGTTCAAATAAGCCTCCATCAGAAATCAGCTGTTTCCCACAATAAGGGGCTGCCACCTTTTTTGCAGCTTTCATTCCACTATTCTCAACCACTTTTTTACTGCACTTTTGCCATTTAAGAAACTAAATTAATCATATTTATTTATAAAAAGCTGATTTAACTATTCTTTACAAGTATTTTTTTCTTCGTTTTCAATTTATAAGTATTTTTAAGTGGTTGTTTCGTTCCACTACAAGTACGGCAGCATTAACGATAACTTTGGCAATAGATTTATCGAGCCTTTAGCAAAACGAAATTTGTTGTTGCCGACGGCAAATATTTTATGTATGAAATCAAGGTGGGGTCAGAAAATAATTATTTAAAAAATAAATACGAATTAGATTGGCCTACTGATGATGTGAAATGAACATCAATAGACCAAGGAGTCAACTATTTTTTTACTTTTGCAATTAAGAACCGTTTTGATGTAGAAAAAGGCATTTACTTTTCATTTCGACAAAAAAAACTTGCCCGTTTTTGAAAACGAAAAAATCTTGTGAAAGTGAAAACGGGAGCACCAATTTTCGTTTTTGAAAACGAAAACGAGAGAATCTTGTGAAAGTGAAAACCGGAGCCTGCCTGTATATACCTGTTATACCTAAAAGACATTTGAGAATAAATCACTTGACAGTTGTTGTCACCATCTTGAACAGTTATGCCAACTTAAAGTTCTATACCTCGAAAAAAAAACACCCATTGTATGCAAAGCCTTCTGCACTATACTTAACGAATGTCTTAACGCCAGTAACAGGTCACTGGGCTTATACGAATCTACCCAAACGGATTGGCAGCACAGTTTAACGAAGAAACCGTTCATTATAGCTATGCATAAGTACTTACCCATCGTTTTGAAGACCTAAAGAACTAATGTTGCTCGAATTGTTCGTTAAGTTTTGTTTAGTTGCACCTGGAGCACGGGAAAATTCCGTACTATCGGAGTTTATATCCTTGTCTAATACTGGAAGCTTCCACTGGTTTAATCGGGACTGTTGATTGGACCCTCCTTGATATCCACTTGGCTGGAAATGAAGTTATTTCATTTTAAGTTATAGGTGTGTAAAAAGTAAATCAAAAATCAATGCTTATCTATGTGATGTTAATTTAACAATTATTTACTTATGTGGTAGATTTGTGTGTATTCATGTACAAAAATTTATCATTAAAGTTTAATATTGAAAACGACTAGATTTATCACAAGCCCCTCTCTTCTGTAGAATTTTTATTCAAAATTATATGATAATAATAACCCGATCTTTGTATAAATAACTTTATTTCAAGCAAAATCCATTTCTTGTTAACAATATCGAAGATAGAACAATTTGTCTTCCTATTCCCTATTATTTATCCTACTGATATACCCTTGTAGAAATTAAATATCTAATTTTTTATATTTTCGACTATTGTTCATATGACAGCTGTATCATTTAGTCGTCCGATTTTGATGAAATTTAAATCGAAAGTCATGAGTACTTTTTTAGGACCGTGAAAGATCGTGAGAAACTTAAAAAATATAATCCTGATAAAAATGTATGTTAATCATGGTTTTTACACCTTTCACATGGTATCAATAGGATATAGACGTTCGAACCCTGCCGTAGTATCTTCCTTCCTAACAAAAGTTTGTATAGAAGCAGACAGACAAGAAAATCATATACAAGTCTTTAGTTTGACCCTATAGATGTGTGGTTTCAGTAAAAACTCTTCTGTTTTTCTTCTAATTTTTCTTACAATTTAAAACGAAATTTTTACGTACCTTATTGATGTTAAGCTCGGAAAAATTGCTTGGCAAGTTATTAATTGCATCGTGGCTTCTTAAATATTCATTGCCTGAGTTGTTTAAGTGTACTGAGGGATGTTGCTGCGGCTGTTGTGGCTGCTGTTGCTGCGAAGTTGGTTGCATATTCTGCTGTTTTACGTAGACAGCCTGTTGTGCATTTATTTGGTTTTGTAAATTCTGAATTTGCTGCTTGTACTTGGATATCGCCACATTCACTGCCATTGGATTCGCATTTCCCCCACGAGCAAGGGATTGCTGTGCTGCTTGGAGATGCTAAAATTGAGCGACATCCGATTAATGATTAAATGATGACGATTTTTCGAAAGATAGATAAAAGTACCTTTATATTGCTAAGAAGTTGATTCAACAGATTAAGAGTTGTCTGTGTTAGCGGTTGAGTCAATATCTGACTAGATATGAAACCACTATGTATGGCCAGCTGAATCTGCTGGCCCAGCATGCGAATTTGTTGTCCCGACGGTTGATTGTTGGTGTTTCCTGCTATATTTACAGAGGCTGCGGCTGCCACTGCTACGTTAGGTGTGTTTTGAGCAAACCCGGCGGACACGCCGGATGAGTTTCCAACCGACTGAGGTCCAACAGCAACGCCGTGTTGGCCTTGATTCAAATACTTTTGCACTTGCAAAGCCGACATGTTTGTATTATTGTTGCCAGCTCCAGTAACAGCAGTACAACCCATGTTACTCATAGGGTTCTGCGAAAAGAAAATGGTTAAGGATAAACCAGATATAATCGACTGTGATTTCTTTTTACTATCTAGGAACGCATTGCTACTATGCCAAAAATAAACGCTTAGAAATTAAAAAAAAAATAAAAACAAAAAAAAAAAAAAATTTCCCAAAAAAAAAAAATTCCCCAAAAAAAATTTTTTCAAAAAAAAAAATAAAAATTTCCCAAAAAAAAAAAAAATTTTTTACAAAAATTTTACAAAAAGAAAAAATTTCCCAAAAAAAAAATTCCCCAAAAAAAAAATAAAAATTTCCCAAAAAAAAAAAATTTTTACAAAAATTTCCCAAAAAAAAAAATCACAAAAATTTCAAAAAAAAAAAAAAAAAAAATTCTGTATAGATTTTTCGATCTTTCCTATGGCAGCTATATGATATAGTTATCCGATTTTGATCAAATTTAATTCGAAGTTTTATAGTAGTTAAAAAAAACACCATCTAGAAGAAATCAAGTCGATATTATCAAAAACTACTATGGGAGCTATCATAAATAAACATCGGGATCGATTCTAATGGTGCTGCTGATCAAGAATATATATATTTTTATGTGGTCCTATTAAAATTATAAGCCCTCTGCAAGGGTATAATGGACGAGAGCAGTTATTTTACATAGTGCACTTACATGAGAATAAGTCATCTGTCCACTGCCGACTGGGTAACGACCGGCAAATCCACCGCTGCTCGTTGAACTTGTGTGGTCGGAATAAGACCCAAGAGACTCCTCATGTCGACGCCAGCCATCAATTGCCAAAGATGAATTGGCGCGAAGCATATCGGCAGCTTCTTCGATGTTCATATTGGCAGTCACTAAGGCCCGTTCCACGTCTTCCTTCTTGAATCCGTTGTCAACAAGAATGCGGTATTGCTTGCTCTGCTTAATCATCTCCGAATTGATAACGTTTACCATTCCCACATTAAGGGCCGATAGCTTTTGCTGCTGTTGAGATTTTCCAATAATCCCACCGTGTGCGCTCCATTCGGATCCCAAGTCAACGCCTTCCACCACACCTACCCCGGCCGTACTGCTCCATCCCGATGAGACACTAGAGGCTGGCAGTTTACTTTGCTTATTTCCCCAACTTACTCCAACAGAGTTTGCTTCGCTCCAAGAGTTTTGTGCCAGTGTCGTGTTGGGTTTTTCATCCACCCAGTTACTACTAGATACACCACTTCCACCTCCACTGGAGGCAGCCACATTGACGTTGTGACTGTCATCGCCCCACGTGGTGACGGCAGCAACAGTATTCCTTCCACTAACATTGTTCGAATGCACCCACATGGCCCCTCCATCGGGCTTGTGTTGCACGCTGCCCACGGTTGCTAAGCGAGCCTGAGGCCCGACAACACTGTTCATAGGATTATTGGGATTGGCACCCACTGGAACACTACTATTGCCAACGCTTGTGCTACCGATTCCGGTACCACCCGACTGAATTTGACCACGCATCAAATGGCCACCACGACCAATTGAATCAGTCATATCCTTCCAGTGACCGCTCGAACCAGGAACACGAGTTTGCTGACCCCACAACGAGGTGCCATCGTCGTAATTGGGAATACTGCGACGCTGAGGCGGTGGCGAAGGCTCTTCCCAACCACTGATCTGCTTTGAAACTTCTTTGGGGCCACTAACGTTGACGCCAACGGCTTGAGCCGGCCCCCACTGTGTTGGTATATTGGCCGAGACAGGAACTGGGCCAGCACCTCCGGGACCGATGCCTGGACCTGATGTTCCTCCAACATTCGTGCTCGCAGTTGCCACATTTTGGCCAACCATTTTGTTAATATTTTGTATCTGATTATGGGACATTTGCGGATGATGGCCCCACATTTCGGATGTGCCATTTAGACGACCGGATATTCCACGGGGATCTCCTCGTATAGGATCACGTGGATCAATCATACGAATATCTCGGGGATCGCTGGTAGCCCCGCCAGAACCATTTCCACCACCACGATGATCAACATTCCGAATATCCATAGAGCCACCCCCAGGCAAAGGACGAATTTCTCGAGGGTCTCCCCATCCGTTTCCAGTGCTGTTGGAGTTTCCGCTACCACCGGCGACGACACCCGTGGCTCCAGTTAAATTGTTTGATCCACTACCTCCTGGAAAAAATTATACACTTACTAATTATGCATTAAACACTAAGTTAAAGTGACTTAGCTTGACTGATAAATGTAAAAAAAAAAAAAAAAACGTTGATGGACAGAAGCTACTTCATAAATTCAGAACAAGATGATAAATATTATTATAACATCCTAATCATTAATTTTTGTGTGCATGATTCGGATTGAAACAATTTAGGTCTATGTTATTACCAGTTGATCCGAGTCCAACGCCTACTACACCTTGACCCCATTGAGGTCCGCCAGAAGAGACTACACCTCCTTGGCCAACATTGACTCCACCTTGGATTACTCCCACTGTAGCTCCAGATGCTGCGTTGCTACCCGATCCTCCTGTCCACACACTGCTACTGTCGGCTCCATCATCATCCTCTCCCCAAGTTCCGCCTAGGTTAGAAGAAGGTGTATGACCCCAAGACGGCTTTGGAACTTGTTGAGTAGTTGGCTGACCGCCGTTTCTTAAATTGGACTCCCAAAGATCTGTGCCGTTGTTAATACTTGGCTTCCACATGGGCGGTCCTGCACCATCTTTGTTAGTTGGTTCTGGAGAGCTGGGAACTTCCCAATTGGTATCTTGGTTGACATGCTGACAACCCCAGCCATCCTGGGAAAATAGCGCTTCGCGCATAGTGCTCAAGTGCTCTAACTGATCGTAAGGTTCTAAAGTTGCATTACCAACTAATCCAGCATCGATGTAACTTTCAGCGTCATTATCGTAAGCACTTATCGCAATTTTTCTGGACTCGAGGTTGGTTAGAAATGGAATGACTTAACAGTTACCTTTGTGCTCGGCAAACCAAAAATGTAATAACCTTGCAGTTAAATCTGAAAATTCATAAAAAGACGATTTATTTACATTACATTATTTTATCAGTTATTGGGCTTCCTTAAATCCCCTCTATATAATATAATTTCTTAGAATTTTTTCAGAATTAATATAAACTAAGTGAAGACTACAAATAAGAGAATATAATATTCATATTAGTAACTATTGCAATATTTTTGTTTAAGTGATTATGTTAACATGATTCTTTGCGGACGATGTTCTCTTAGAAGTCTTGACATTGAATTAAATTTTATGAAAATCGAAGGACTAAATCATACAGCTGTCATTGGAAAAATCGAAAAATCCATATAAAATTTTTGAAAAAAATCTAACGTCTTTAATATAACTCGAGCATGATTTTTTGAATATTGAGTTTTTGACGACAATTAAAAAAAAGATTAAGATTTTTTAAATACATAAAGGCTAAATAATATCGAAGCTATGTCGATTTTTCTATTAAGTTTCTATATTTCCGATGGTAGTCATTAGGAAACTCTATATTCCAAAAATTATGCCTGTCTGATGAAAAACAACGACTCTATTATTTAATTTCCGTTAATTTTGTATAGATTTATCGATCTTTCCTATGGCAGCTATACGAAATAGTTATCTGATTGTGATAAAATTTTATTCGAAATTCGATAGTGGTTAAAAAACACCATCTGGAAGAAATCAAGTCGATATGAATTAAAAATATGAATTTTTGAGATACACATTCACGGACCATTATGTTATAATAATCATATTTTAAGGTCTTTTTCTTAGACCACATTTAAAATACAAAAAAAAAAAAAATTTTTTTTTATTTCAGAGAGGTCTATGTCGATTTGGTTATTAATTTCATTTTTATGTAAAAAATGAAAAAAATTATTGGAAAAATAGGCAAAAATAGAGAAGTACTATTCAGTAGAGCTCATTGATAAACGTAATGATCGAACTAATTTAAGGAAAATACTGTAACGATACATTTTGTAATGAGTCTATTCCTTTTATAGACGTATATTTTAAATGCAAGAGTGTAAAGGTGTATCTGCATCAGCTCAACGCAATTATTATATTTTTTATAATTTATAAATTGGTGGTTAATCAAAGACAATTTAACACTATTTATGTATGTATGTATATTGAAAAGTTACATTCAAAACTGTATGAACGTCATTATGTCGCTGCACTACCAGGGTTGCTGCACAACAGGCAGATTTTCCCTTTTGTAAACATACATTTATACTTTTTTATTAAATAAAAAATTGTACACATTTATTTATATGGAAAACAAATGGGCCACATTCCAATATTATTTTAGCACATATAAGCCATTTCAGACATACATACACGTATACTTCACGCATGTATACACCATTGTTTAGGTTAAAAAAAAAAATACGTAGAATTTGTTTGACAACTCTGGTAGGCAGCCATTATTGACGCAATCACCCAATTTTAAGTCTACTTTAACTAACTTTGCACTCGCCAGTGAGCAACGTAAAGTTTTATTTTGATGCTTATTCTAATGTTACGAATACCTGCTATATATTTATAATTTATAAAAATGTCTTTAGATAATTTATTAGTATCAAACACATGTATATACATTGTATGCACATTATTTTCTGTACACTATGTGCCGAAGGCACTTTTATTAATTAGTATTTTCGTGTCTCTGAATGTAAAATTACAAATGAAGATCGAATAAAAACCCACCAAAGGCTATCCTTTATTTGGCACTGTTTTAAAATGTTTTGCACTTCAACATTTTTTTATGCAAATATACCGGAGGAGATTAATAGAAAATTTCGCATATACCAAATGAGAAGTTGATTTTCTCTATATAAGTATATACGTATGTATGATTGTGTATGTATGCTTGCCAAGCCACTCTAACGATTTCACAAAGTGTGTATGTGTAGAAAAACACACACTCGTTTGACAATTAAGTACAATGTTTCACATTTCACTAAACTTGTATCCTTTTTTTGTTTTTAGAAAAGTAAAAACTAATTTAAATTAAAAGTATTCGTCTTTTTTTTTGGCAATAAAATATTTTTTCTGAGCACGTTAAACGACGAGGACGGTAAAACTGTATTGTGTATTAAATGAACCCATACAGCTATAATAATGCCCGGTCAATATTGCCACCTAGTCGAAATCAGAGCGTTGGATTTCAACTTAGTGCTAGGTGAACAACCAATTTATATTAGCAATGCAAGCCATTTAATATATTATAAGTACAATATTGTTATGAAGGTTGGTTTTAATAACGGCAACATTATGGGGGAAAATTTAAAAATTTAACAGATGCTTATACGTTATATAAAATATTTATAGCGTGGCAACTCTTAATATTTTACAAATTAACATGTGAATAATCATAACTTTTAATGCATGTATACACAACGAATGTATTTCACACTTATCCACAAACACGTATGCGAATAATTTCGCTTAGATTTTAAAGACATATAGGTTATGCTTATCTAGGTTATGTACGCAAGTTTCTATACCGTTCATTCTTGTAGCATACATGCCTTTCTTTTACTTTTTTATTTCGGTCTGCAAGAGAGCGCTAACACAATGAGAGTTATATTCTTGCGGTACTAAAGGTTTTCAATGCTTCTTGTTTGAATGACAAAGCGATTGTTTTTTTACACGCACACAAAAACATCCAGAATAGTGCTAATTCATTTTAACTCACGATCTTGAGTTAGTAAGTACCTATAGGACGCTCTCGCTCTCTCTTTTCATCTAAAACGCCAAGCAATTTAATGTATTGGTATATCGATACTTTCGAAAAGGAATCGATTTTAATTCATGTGTTGTTCACCAGAATTATAACGTTTTCACACAGACACAAGAAAATTAGTGCGAAAAGGCAAAAAAACTTAATAAATTATTTAATTAAAATAATATCATAATTAAAACAATCATATTTTGGTCAATCAATTCCGCAAGATGCCAAGGGGATCACCTGTTTTACGAATTAGACGGGAATTCGATTTATGGAGATTTCTATTTAACGGGGCTCAATAATGAAAGAGTCGAATAAACGGGGTTTTTACATTTCACATCATTTTTACATACATACGTATTTAACTTTATTAAAATTAAACAAACATTATAAGTATGTACATTCATTTGAACGTTTTTTTAAATTAAAGGAAAATTAAACAAAAACATAAAATTATAACAGCGAGAGAAACACCAAATTCATAATGCATAGCGTCAAAAAGGCGGCATATCTGTCTGCAAAATCTAACGGTGCTTTAACTACAAAAAATAATTTATTATAAATTGTATTTTTCTTTTACTCTTTTATTTACGGCACATAAGGACTCTCATAGATACAGTAAATGTTCACCATAGGCACGCTAGAAGCATCAACTTATTTGGCTCCGCATTAAAAATCGTAGCCGGTACTCCAGATTTCGATAACTTCGAGAAAAATAAATTCCCGCAGAAATAAAGAACATAGAATCAGAAAATAGGCAGATAAATATTAGCACAAAGACCCAAGAAGAGATAGATAGATTTTTCGCAGTTTATTAGGGCAGCTATATGGTAAAGTAATCTTTAACCTATGTTCTATTTATTTTGACAGACTACCATTAGGGTATTTTGATAAAACGATTTCAGAAACTATATTGAATCTTTGTGTTTTTTTTAATAGATTTGTTTACAGACTACGGTGAAATGAAAAGAATTAAGACTGAACTAGAATGTTAAAAAAAGTAGGATTAAACGATTTTGCTTAAAATATATTCGCTCCCTATTTGCTATTTTTTGTATATTATATTGTATATTCATTAAGCAAATTTTACCAATTACTAAGAAAGTCAAATCCCTTAGGGACTTGCAAATCGGGCGTTAAAAGTTTAGCATTCTCTTCTTGACATACGTCTTTATATTCTATTTCATTATCAGACAAATCGGTTGAAATACTGCTTTTTGATCCAAATGTTAAAAGTAATTGCAACTGTTCAGTTGAATTAAAATAGTCATCATTATTATAAATTGATATACTTTTTTTTGCCTTTATCACTTATGTTACATTTATTTCCACTTTGGTTCACGTCGTCATTAACTTGGCTTTGGAGGCAGCCAATTTGTTGTTTTTTCGGACTATTCGTCGTTAATTTTAAATGAGCGGATTTTGTTACATCAATAGGAACTTTGAAAAGAGAAATATTAGCTACTTCTTTTGATGGTAAGTTTATTTGCGATTTTGATCGGAAACTGAAGGGAAATGAATGTTCATCACGACAATCTCTGATATTTTCGTCATGCAATATTTTTAATCCAACATTTTGGTAAATATATGTGTGCAAATCCTGACCATTAAATGAATATATAAAGTCACTATAAAAAGATCTCTGTTCTCCGTTTTTTGAAGTTTCTTTTCCTAATTGTGGTTTTCCTGATATACCGTCTCTTTTATATATATTGTAGTACTTAGTAGATATATCAGGATGTATTAATTGGCTGTTTAGTATTTGTTCTTGTTCATTAAGAGTAAGTGTAAGCCATGCATCTCGACTGAATGCAGATTTAACTCGATTTACATCCTGCGTTATTTTTACAGAAATGGAATTCAGCTGTGAGAAGTAAGTCTGGAATCTTTCATGGGCTGACATCTTTAACCTGTAAGTAAACTAATTTAAAGTTAGTACATAAATAAAACAGAAAAAATTTGTTATAGGGTATAGTTATACCCTCCAATGGATATTGGCGGGCATGGTCTCCACACATACATACATACATACAATATAATGTACATACATATGTACATAGATTGAAATGTTTATGCTTATCAGGATTTTAAGTACTTTATTGAATTGTAAGCAATTATTCCAAGCTGTTTTTTACAGTGTTAGAACTCTGAACAGATGTATACATATATTTTTTTTAACTGTACTGTAATCACTTTAATAAATCGTAAATTATCTATCTTTATTTCCTTGCAAATTTAAATGAATACAACCTTAACATTTCGGAACAAAACGAGATATCTGGTTATTGTCGTAGTATCAAGTGTGCAATGAAAACCGAATTAAACTACATGTATTTACGTTTAACACCCAAGTGCATTTCTGAGTCTTTATAAATTTTCTTACCCCCAATTTAAAAGATATGCGTAATAATCGCATACAAAATTTTAAGCTTGGCTTGAGCTTGCTTCCGACTAATAGTTGCCATAAAAATACTTGTGTTATTTATGTGATTAATGTTTTCGTATTGTATTGTCTGCAGATTTGCAAAGTTGTTTATAACTAAGGATGGAACGCAACCATCAATAAGCACTAAACAATAGAGCTGGGAAAAAATCGATGTCAACATCGATTACATCGATTCTTTTTTTAAGCCGATGCATCGATTTGGTTTTCAGGGAATCGATGTATAGAAGGCCTAAAAAAAAACCAAAAAACAGTTGATAAGCTAATTTTTGCAAGCAAAAACCAATGGCTAACAGAAATTTAAATGCTTTGCTTATTTTGAAAACCATTATTTTTATTCATTTTCCTTCTTGTTCTTATTTTTGTTTTTTAACTTTTTTAAGTTCATAGTTAAGTTTACTTTTCATAATTTTTAAGATTTGATCTCACTGATATAAAAATAAATTTTTTTTTTTGGTTTAATCGATTTAAATCGATGTTTTTTTCTAAAAAATCGAAAAGAATCGATGCACTGAGAATCGATTTTTCCCCAGCTCTACTACAAAGAGCAGCAGCAGAGTGGCGACAGAATTTTTTTCATATTCGTTTTTCGAACTTCGTTTGACAATGCCAATCGGAGTAATTTTAGAACTGAAGCGTAGTGAGCCTTAGCCATCGTAGGGACACCAATCTTTGAAGAAATGCCCAAGTGTCTTATCCAAATTCATGTCAAAGCTCTATGAGATCACTATCACTATGACATTTTATTTAAAATAAATAGCTTCCACAAAATATTTTTTTAAATTATTTAAAATTTATTTATATGCTGCTCATATTAATACATCAATGAAAACTGTTTTCAGGAATGGGATTACGCTAACAAATAACTAGTATAGGAACAATTATTAACGAAATTTCTAAGCAGAAAGATGACAATATTTCATGTCGGTTCATAAATTGTCAAAACTTAGACCATTGTCTAGTCCAAATAAAAAAAAACAATAAAAAATAAGACATTTTTACAATATTATGAATTATAAATGTTGGTTATGCACTAATAAGAATGTACCCTAAAATTGTAGTCTCTAAGTTTCCTTAGTCATGACAACCAAACAAGTTTTAAAATTGTTGCGACTAAACGTATTTAAAAATATTAGTTTTATACTATACTTAAACAAAATAGGAGAAAAATGTAACTGTAGCTATTGTTGATGCTGATTTGTCTGATGATTCCGTTTCTCACGAGCCCGTTCAATGTGTCGCTTTCGTTCTTCTTTTGTCCAATAACGACCAATTTTAACTTCAGACACTGTATCCTCCTCCGTTGTGGCTATTTCGTTACAGCGCACGTTCTTCCGAATAGTAACTTGAGGGCGATTACGAACTGGCCGCTTTACAATGTATCGAGTTCCATCTGGGCGTCTTTTGACCTTCCATACCATTGGAATTTCGTCACTATTTTCGCAGTTAAGCAGTGTAGCATTTTGTTTTGAACTGGTGGAGCTATGGAATTGATTTTTAACCTATTTTTATAAAATTAATTTTATTAAAACACATATCAAATCATATAAATCATTAATTCGAGATTCGAGAGTCATTAAAAAACTTAATATTCAAAAAATTATGCTTATCTGACGAAAAACATCGATGTTATTTTTTTTTTTCTCTTGATTTCCGTTAAGTCTATATAGATCTTTCGATATTTTCTATGAGATTTATATGATTTTTTTTTTTTGGGTTCAAGTATATTTAAAAAACTCGGAATTGATTTTTAACCTATTTTTATAAATTTAATTTAAAAAAATATATAAAATCATAAATATCATAAATTCGAAATTCCAGTCATAAGAAAACTCTATATTCCAAAAATGATGCTTGTCTGATAAAAAAACATTTTTTCCCGTTTATATTCTATATAGATTTTCGATCTCTCCTATACGAAATAGCTATCCGATCAAGGAGGGGCAGCTCTTACCTCTTGGCTACTTACAAAGTGGTAGCTACTCAAATTTGGTGCGTTAAACTGTGGGCAAGGACTAAACGATTCCTCAGGATGTTTAACTCTCAATAATTTGAGGTCGCCGTTAAGTTGAATGTTCTCGTATTTTGCCTTACTTTGACTTTCTGAAATATTGATCATTAGTAAAATTTTTCAACTAAATAACACTAATTTAAACCGAATTAATGAACTTAAGTTAAGTAAATTACATTTGCATACCGGTCACATATGCTGTTTCCAAATTGGACGAACAGAGGCCGATGCGACCAGATTTTCCAAAAGGTAACAGTAACATACTGCTTACAGCAGTTGTATCAAAAGCTTCTCTGGGTCCATCGATCAACGTGCTCTCTAGCTTGTGCATGGCAGAGATGTCGTCATTTACGTTTCCAGTATTTTGATGGGGCGATGCGCTGTTATTTGAGTCACCGGTATTGTAGGCACTTGATGAGTTATCAACTTCTTCTCCAAGAGCCACATTTCTGGTAGCAATATTATTTGGTCCATAACCGCTATATGGAACACCGCTACTGCTCGAATGGCTAGTGTTGGTTAACGTGCTGCGCAAAGTAAAAACGCGACTGCAAGTTGGTTGCTGGGCAAATTTAAGTGGAGGGGGGCGACCAATAAGCGTGTGTAAAGTTCTAGGATACTGTGGTTTTAAGCCCAACCACTGAGCAACTCGCTGAGTTTGTTGCTGCATAGTCGTTTCTAAAGCTTGGGCTGGTGTCGTCACTTTTGAGGATGCACCTGATTCTATAGAATTCTTTCCGCTTGAGCTTTGGTACGGCGAACAGTAGAGTGGTTCAGATTCAGAATCCTCGGGAATGGTTTCATAGATGTGCTCGTTTTCGTCATACTGATATTGACGATGAATATGGTTTTGGTTTAAAGATTGATTTAGAGTTTTTCGCTGATCCAAACTTGCCTCTGGGCAAAGCTTTATTTTGCTAGTTGAGTTTTTACATTCTTCAAACTTTTTTTTTGGCAACGACGATGTATTAACATTAAAATCTGATAAATTCTGTTCACTTGTTGAGTGACTACTTTTGGATGAATGTACTCCGGTTTCATTAGATATTTCTTCTAAGGACTGCACGTGACTTAATAATACCTTATCCAATTTATCCACAACATTCGTGTAATCATCTGGTAAAAATGTATTGTCGTACTCAAAATTAATGTCCTCTTCGTCGTCATCTTCCTGTTTAAATCAGTTAAAAAGAAGATAAAATATATATTTCAACCTAAGCTTTTCTAGTTCTTTTCCAGTGCTTAATTAATATTCGTTGATATTGTTACAGGTATATTAAAAAAATAATACAATTAGAGACATGGTGCTATTCTTACTGCACCAAAAAGAAAAACTGGTTTAAAACATTTAAATCAATGAAATATTTTAATTAAGTACTGTTTGATGAAAAACCAAGCTTACAGGGTACACTATTCGACTAACTAGAAGCGTAACTGCGCTGTTACTTTCCGCTATCTGAGTTTCTACCTCCTCCTGGTCTTTAACGTCCATCCCGTTAATGCGAAGGATCTGGTCACCCTGTCGCAGACGCCCATCTCGATGAGCTACACTTTCCGGTTGTATGTGACTAATAAATACGTCTTCGCATTGATCTAAGTCGTTGTACAGAATATGATCTTTATTCGTACCAATGCTTGACGACTGAAATCCAGAGGAGCAAACAACTAAACCAATTTGATCGCTGGTTGCGTTATTAGCAGCTTTTATAAGCGTTACTTCCTGTTATATAAGAATACAAAGATAATTAGTTTTGAGGATATATCGCCCAATCAACTTAATACATGAGTTAGAAGTATTTGCATAGTTATACTTATTATTATTATACTTAATTATAATTTAAGGCATAATGAGACCCCCTACAAGCCCATTCCGAATATGTATGTATTTTCTTGATCACATTATGATATTATCTCCTGCAAAACGGTTTGACATAAAAACCTAATAAAATAACCACAACTTCGGAAAAAAATGCAAATGCGTACTAAGATCGAATTAGGACCCCAAAATGGATCTAAAATGATGACGTCATAGCCCCGAATCAAAAAATAAGACAGATCGAAAAAATATATAGAAATGTTATAACATATTTGCTTTTTATCCCACGAACATGAGTTTTAGAAAAACGAGTTTTCTTTAACTACCCATGAAAGGTCGAAAAATAATTAAATCACGCTTTCCGACACTTTTTTATTATTAATGTTTAGGTCCCGAGGTAGCTCCTTAAAATAAAAAAAACTTTTTAGCCCATTTTTAGGAAAAGCCCCTAAAGCACAATTTTACAGATTTCACAAAGGAAATTTTCGCAAAAGGCCCTCGATGAAACCATCGTCACACTCCACATTCCATCTGACACACACGCATAAAAAGCGTATAAGCCATCGATGAATCAATAATGACGATGAATTTTTTTTACAAACAAATCGATTGGTTAATAAAATCTGCTATATACCTCAATGTCGATTTCCGGTTCCAAACACTGCTCAAACAAGTGGTGTTCTCGCTCAATGAAGTGATCGGTTAGCGTCTGAACTAAGTCGTGGTCCTTTAAGACGTCGTCCTGGTCGACTGAGGCTTGGGTTTGTGTTTCCTTCGATGCGGCATAAACCGTGGAGCATCCTGAACTTTCTTCATGGTTAAGAGTCCGTAGAGTCAAAATAACTGGATTTTTAGTTGTAATTTCACCCGAAGCAGCTAGAGTCGTTGACGGGCTGGTGTTCACTTGTTGAGAGGCACTGTTAGTTGTTGTCGACGCAGAAATGATTGCGTCTTTTGGCTTTTCAGTTAAATTAGAAATCTGTTTTTTGCATTTATTTGAATGCAAAACGTTTGAACTGGCTTTGTCCACATCTGGCAGTTTGGTATTGGCATCTTGTTTACATTCTAAATTAAAAGCACTATGCTTTTGTCTGCATAACTCAACTACCAGGGTTTCTTTAGCTTGCAGGAACTTTTGAACCGCTTCATACCATGTCAAATTACTTATATCGTAACCATTAATCTAAAAAAAAGAGAATGAGATACAAGGCAAGACAGGAAATATGATTCATGGGTCAGATAATATATTATAGTAAACTTACTTTCAACACGACATATTCGTACTCAACTTCGACAACGCAACTATTCATATTGCTGTCTTATTTCTAAAAACTCATTGTATGTTTTCATTTAATTGTGTACATATTTTTTCGGATGCTAAATGTGTGGCCAGACTGAAGTAGCAGTGAGACCGCAAATTTATCGATAATCTGGTTTTCAGATTTGAAAATATACCTTTTACACTTTGATATTATTTTATTTATATAACAATAGAAGCCAGTGATGCAAATTTGGGACACTTACAAGTCAAGGGAAACCCCCTAAAAAAAGAATGCCCAGAGAATAAAATTTAGGGGAACCCCAGCATAGTGACTGCACAATTTCCTGACTGTACATAAAATGTACTTTTGACGCTGGATAAGCCGCTGCTGTAATTGTTGTAGAATAATAACCCAAAATATTTGTTAAAGTTTTATATTTTCACTGGTTGTGCTGGTGTATTATAATGTTAATGTATTTAATTTTGTATTAATGTATTTCTGTTTTTCATTCAGTTTCTTTATGTGTAACTTGACCGAAATTACAAAAAAAAAACTCGATAATCCAAATAAATACCAAAAAAGTTATATATTTGGTGCAACAGATCGATCAAGGTTTATATTTTTGAGGACAACTTCAAATCAATTGGTTTTTCACGCAGTTGTTTTTGATCAGATTGTCTTGATTTCTTCCAGATGGTGCTTTCTACCTACTTAAATTTCGAATTAAATTTGATCAAAATCGGAAAGCTCTATCATATAGCTGCCATAGGAAATACCCTTGAGTCGCTAAAAAATTTCATAAATATCGGACAACTATATATCATACAGATGCTCTAGAAAGATCAAAAAATCTATATAGAATTGACGGAATAAAATAACATAATTGTTTTTGGAAATAAGACTTAACGACTCTTGAATTTCGAATTAAATTTGATAAAAATCGGACGACTATATCATATGGTATAGCTGTGATATGAACAATCGGCGAAAATATGGAAATTAATAGAAAAATAGTAAAAGGTTCGATGTTGTTCTGCCTTTATGTATTTTGTTCGACATTTTTAATGACTGCAGGGGTATATACAATTTGACCAACCAAGGCTAAACGGGCCTAGATGTTCTGTATCCATAAATAATTTAAAATTTTTGAATTTTTTTTTTTGAAAACTTTTTTGTTACTATAAGTAAATAGAAAACTCTCCAGCAGAAGGTAAAAGGCTTAAAGTTGAATGTCAGGGTTGTAACGATGTTTTGGCTATGCCAGAAGCTGAGGATCGAGGGATCCTGTTCACCCCCGCCGTCGTCGCCAGTGCCCTTCCCCTTCTGGTGCCATGCGTCGCCCACCGCCCACGAACCTCCAGTGTCCCTGGATCTCTCAGCTCCGTCGTCTACCGCCCAGTGTGCCTGGAATTTTTAGCATGCACTGGGACGGCTGCGGCGGGAGCCAGTCGTCGCCAGTGCCCTAAGCTTTCAAGTTTTATTTTACTCAGCGAAGCTTACTATTTCAGTGTGTATTGGGTATCCCACAGTCAAGTAAAGCAATGACAACTAACATTTTTTTCCTTGTATTCTATAAACATTTGTCCGGCTTCGGCAGTAGGAAAAAAACGAAAACAGAAAGACATTTTACCCAGTCGTGTTCTTAATGCTCTGTAGGAGTGCTCGTAATGTATCCTATAAAAAGCGTTTTCGTTTTACTTGAGTTGATTTCGTACACTATTGGAGTTCCTCCCTTAGTAAGAGTTGGTGAGACGCTGTAGTCGTTTTGTTAAAAATATTTTAATACATTTTTTTGAAGGCGCAATATTTTCAAACCAGCCCGGGAAATATAACTCGGAATTGGCGTTTAGATTCGCGGTGCATAGATTAAATCTGGATAAAAGTCTCTTACCAGAGACTACCGTAGATTACTACATTGAATACGTTAACAGATTTGACTCATTTGAAACCGTTCAAAAAGGTAATCTAATTTAAAAAAAATAAAAAAATTTTGTTTTTTAATTTAAAAAAAAATTAACCCACCGTTCTTTTATACTAGTGTGCAAACTTGTACGTGATGGTGTTCAGGCTGTTTTTAGCCCAACTGACTCGGTTTTGGCGACTCATATAAATTCAATTTGTGATGCCCTAGACATTCCAAACATAGGCCGGTCCGCTCATAACTTTTCTATCAACCTGTACCCATCACAGCAATACGTAAATCAGGCTTTTATTGATGTTATACACTTTTTAAATTGGACCCGCTTCGGAATTTTGCATGAACGAGAATATGGTAAGTCATTATTCAGGTAGTCATTATTTTAATATTCAAGATTGCATTTTCGACCTTATAAAGTACAAGCGGCTCACACCCACGAATGGAAAGCCGAAAAGTGATAGGGATAGAGTGAAAGAGTGAGTGAGAAGGCGAGTGATAGAGAATTCACTTTGTGTAGACTTTGCCGGATGATTGCGCCAAAGGATGCACTGAATTTTTCCTTCGACTTTTTCTGGCACTGGTGTAGCAAAAGTTTTCATACTGCCACCCTACACAACATTAGGTTATTGCCTGGAGAAGTTTACCTAAAGTTTGCATAAAGGACCAAGATGCAAATAGAATTAATTATAAATTTCCATTGTTTCGCTTTGCATCCAATACACTTTTAGCACTTTGGGTCACTCAAAGGCTCGAGTTTGCCGTAATTACCGAGTTTACTATTGTATTGGGCTTTAGTCAAGCCCTTCTAATTTGTCTCTTAACCTAAGGAAACTTCTTATATTCTACAATATTTCTTTTACTCATTAAGTAGGATTGAGTTATTATATATCGTTTTCACTTACCCCGCATATCCTGAACATAATTTCCTGTATTTACCCTGTAATCCAAGCGGCGTACTTCCTTCAGATTATTTGGGATTTAAAAAGTTGGCCTTCCACCTTGTTCAACATTGTTATACAGCCTTATAATCACATATTGGGAAAATATTTTTTCATCGTTATAAGCGTTCATGCAAGTTCAATATCTATTAACTAAAATGTATCAAGTAAATATACTGTTAGGCTTTTATCACAATGCTTTAAAATTTTTTTCTCCCAGGCTGGGGCGGATTAAGACAATTAGCCGCCCTAGGCAGTTTTGATTTTGCCGCCCTATACTGCAGCCTAATTTTCACCTTTAACAGTCATAGTAGTGTTAACAGTCGAAATTTGCCCCCCCTAAAAATTTGCCGCCCTAGGCAGCTGCCTATGTTGGCTACACGGTAAATCCGCCACTGCTCCCAGCTCTATAGTCTGGGCGACTACGTATGGAACTTGTTACGCGAGGATACCTCTGGAAAAACCAAAAAAATCAGGAAAAAAATTCACTTTTAAAAAAATAATAGTTTATTAAAAGTAAAAAAAAAAAACACCGATAGCACTCCGGGAGTGCCGGCAGAAGTGAAAACTTCAATATTAACATTGTGTTTAATTATAAATATAAAAGTACTATCATTTATGAGAGAAGTAGAATACAATGTTTATTTATTGCGCTATCGTACACAAACATGGCAATTTTTATGTTGTTATTTATAATATGTATTACTAGCAAACCCCGGCAAACGTTGTTTTGCCACCATATGACTTTATAATTTCTGTGCAAAATTTACTCAGTTCTAGACTTATGTAGAAAGCATGAATTGAATGTAAGAATTGACTTCAGAAACACGTTAGAATCTGGATCCGTGCCGATAAGTAAGCCGTTCAATGGTTCAGGTGGTGTTTCAATTTCTGGTAGTTGCACTTTTCCTGACGCGCACCACATCCCAGCTGGCTCATTTTTAAATTTCAGAGCATGACAATGCGCACATTCCTTGTCCATAGCTCCAATTACCACTTTTGAGTGAGCATATTACTCAATATCGGGCTCATACTGGAATGCTAGACGCAGTAATGAATTATATATATGTAAATGCTCGATGTACCTGTTGTCGTTGATGGTCATTTGTTCTGCCTCTATTGACTGTGACACGGCGTGGATGTCGTTGTTCTAACCTTCTGACTTCATTGCGTTCAGCTCGTGTATCTTCTGGCTCTTCTTGATGCAATTGCTCTATTCTTTCGGATCTTCTATTTCGCATGTATCGAGATCTACTTGTATCACGGCTCAAAGTACCCGCTTTGCGTTTTCTTGGCATAGCTCACTGGACAAAACACTCATAAATAGAATTAATGATTTTACTTAATGATGAAGGATTTTTGCCCCAGTTTTAATTGATTTAAAATGCTATGGTAGCGTGTTTTTGTCAGTGTGATGAGGTAAAAACTCACTTTATATGCGATTTTTGGTATGTCGAACACGATTTAAGAGGATGAAAAATAGACGTTGGGAAATTGTCAGACTTACTCAATACGCTCACAAAATTTTATGACAATCGGTATAGCCGTTTCGGAGGAGTAAGGTCACAAAAACTGTGACACGAGAATTTTATATATTAGATTTCGTTATTTATATATTACATTAAATTTTATCTCTCAGAAAAATCAACCTCCATCCATAATTTCGACGACTTTTACACCATCGTAATTATCAGAATCATCATCGCAAATTTTTACAACTGATACAATTGGTTTATGATAACTGAAGTAAGAAACAAACAGTTTTGATTCGAACCTATTTAAGTATAAGTACAAGGTAGTCTCGTCGGCTTTTTTTTTCCCCCTATTGGGCACTACAATGAGTGCGAGTGAGAGGGTGTTTTCCCGTAAGTGCGAAAGAAACAGAAGAAGATGATGTCGTTTTACCCTTATGCTGTGCACGGGGCTTAAAAAGGACTGTTATATGACCATAAGTATTCATTTTTCCGAAATTTTTGGTTTTTACACAAAGCTGCCCTTCATATGCTGTATAATTGTACCATGACTCAGGCCATGGTATAATAACTACAAGTTAGTCTCGACGCCGGCAGATGAGTTCGGGTTTAGTCCCCTATCGCCTCAGTACGCTCGGGTTTTCGTAGAGAGAGGTTGTACGCGGACGATTTTTTCTCAAAACGTTAACCCTTGTGTGCTTATGAAAAATACTTTTTGCAATAATTGCAACAAGCAGATACAAGGCGTAACATAGATTATTGTACAAAAATGTATAAAAGGGCGGACAATATGGGAGCGAGTCCTAAAGGGCAGCTTTGATTGAAAACCAAAAATTACGAAACAATTAATTCTTATTGTCATATAAAAGTCCTCCTTAAACCCCATACACAGCATAAGGGTGGCAATTTGCCCCGGGCCCGGGCTTATGGGTGCCCCGCGCGATATGATATATGATATATATGATGATATGTAAGGATTGACAATCTCCCAAAATTGAATTTTTAGCCCGGGCCCCAGACTACCTCTGTGCGCCCCTGCAAGGTAGTCTCGACCATGGTAGAATTATACAATGTGACGCCCCAATTTGGGCCCCACAATTTTTACATGGATATATTTCTTATTTTTCCTTCTTAGAGTTAAGACCGTGGAATTAGTATTAAGTTCATTAAGTTTTCCAGTATTTTAGTCTAAGCTAAGTACAAATCAAACGAGCATCACTGGCAGCAAGAGCGGGGAGAGTACGACGGCGTGGAGAACCGAGCAGAGGCCAGCGCAAGCATCGATCCCCGAGCAGAGGCGTACAGCCTCTGCTCCCGCTTGCGTGCCACGCCCCTTTCCCTGCCCACGTGGAAACCCGGTGATCGCAGCCAGGCGCACAGACTCTGCTCCCGCTTGCGTGCCACGCCCCTTTCCCTGCCCACGTGGAAACCCGGTGATCGCAGCCAGGCGCACAGCCTCTGCTCCCGCTTGTGTGCCACGCCCCCTTTTCCTGCCCCACGTGGAACCCGGTGATCGCAGCCAGGCGCCCGGCCTCTGCTCCCGCTGGCGTGCCACGCCCTTCCCCTGCCCACGTGGAACCCGGTGATCGCAGCCAGGCGCACAGCCTCTGCTCCCGCTTGCGTGCCACGCCCCTTTCCCTGCCCACGTGGAAACCCGGTGATCGCAGCCAGGCGCACAGCCTCTGCTCCCGCTTGTGTGCCACGCCCCCTTTTCCTGCCCCACGTGGAACCCGGTGATCGCAGCCAGGCGCCCAGCCTCTGCTCCCGCTTGCATGCCACGCCCTTCCCCTGCCCACGTGGAACCCGGTGACCGCAGCCAGGCGTCCAGCCTCTGCTCCCGCTTGCGTGCCACGCCCCGTCCCCACGTGGAACCCGGTGATCGCAGCCAGGCGCACAACCTCTGCTCCCGCTTGCGTGCCACGCCCCGTCCCTGCGTGTACCCCGGCGACCGCAGCCCGGCGTCCTGCCGCTGCTCCCGCGTGTGTGCCGCTTCCGGCGACCACAGCCAGGCGCCCAGCCTCTGTGCCCGAGAGTGAACCGCTACCAATTACCCTGGCAACTGCTACCGGCGACCAGCCTCAGTTGTTTTCCATATTTTCCCGCCTTTGCCATCCACACTACCGTGAGTCCGACTCCTCCATCTCCGTCGGCTCACCCTCTATCAAAATTTCCGATAGTCCCGCAGATATAAATTTTCTGTAAGCGATCCTGGACAGACTGAGTCATATCCCAGCCAGGAAACTACTTTACAACAAGGTAGTCTCGTCGGCTGCAAAATCGTTCGGGTTTTTTCCCCCTATCGACCCGAACGCTCGGGTTTTCGTAGGAAAACACTCTTTCTCTCGCTCTAATTGTAGTGTCGATAGGGGACTGACGAGCCGTCGAGACTACCTTGTATAATTGTACCATGACTCAGGCGCGGTAGAAAGAGTGGGAGATACTAGTTCCTCTCCCTTTCCCACGATCTTACGCATAACGGGACTCTGACGCGAGTTTGAAAGTTTTTACCTATACAAAAAAGTGCTCAGCGCCGCTAAAGAAGTTTTCACTTCAAAAAAAAATAATATTTTGTGTTAATTATTTTCATAATAATAATTTCATAAAATTTACCATGAGAAAAGAAATCGTATCACTTTAAAGGTGGCGTAGATATTTTTCTGCATAATTTATGCACCTTAACCGAAAACAATCAAAAAAGTAACTTAAACAAAGATTTTGTTAATTTTTGTCGCACAGTGTTATATAGGAATACATGAATAATTTAAGAAATTTATTTATACGCCGACAAGGTCCGCCTATAATGCTAAATAAAAATAGTGGGAGGAACCAGAACTAAAGGGGCACTCAAAATGTTTTTAAATTTCTAGTTTCTCTAATATTACTTTTATGTCGATAATCAGTATATTTTAAGGATGCAAGTTTTATAGGTAAATAAATTTAGATTTTTAACATTTTTATAGGAATTATAAACTTACATCAGCTTTCCCGGTCTGTTCGAAGTGAAATACACATGCGACAAGTTTCTCGAGAGTCTTACCTGTCAGCATTAAACGAATTTAAAAACAAGGAAATTCACAATATTATTATTGATACTAACTCGGACGATATAACAGTTATGTTAAAAAATGTAAGTGAATATTATATGTTTAAATTATGTTATAAAACAAGAGAACCGTACCGAGGTCTACCTGCAGATTATGCATCGCTATTCAGGATCGAACTTAGAGTTTGTTTTAAGCTTTTTATGTTAATATTCGCTTTTTTTGAACGTTATTTATAGATATTACAGCAGCAAATGAATGAATACAAATACCATTACTTGTTTACTACCTTTGACTTGGAGACTTATGACCTGGAAGACTTTAAATATAACTTTGTGAACATAACGTCGTTTAGATTGGTCGACATAGGAGATGTCGGTGTAAAACAAATTTTGAAGGATATAGGATCCTATAGTCACCATGTCTTTCAAAAACCATATGTAAATCAGCATCTTAAAAACATAGATTTTCTTGAGGTGAGTTAAATTGAAGATGTGGATAATATATGAACGATATTTATAAGAAAAAATTGTAGTCAGAACCAGCTTTAATGTTCGATTCAGTGTACGTGTTCGCCATTGGATTGCAGACATTGGAGCAATCACACACCTTGAACCTAACGAACTTAAACTGTGAAGAGGAAAATCCATGGAACGGTGGCCTCAGCCTAATCAATTACTTGAATGCGGTAGGTTTTGGACGTATTTTACGTATTCTTGTTATCTAATCTAATTATGTTATATCATAATGTAGTATATGTAGTACTAACTAACTATTTTTTTTTACGTATTTTCCTTTAGGTTGAATGGAGAGGTCTTACAGGTCCTATTCAATTTAAGGAAGGACAGCGAGTCCAGTTTAAGTTGGATCTTATAAAGTTAAAACAACATTCTGTTGTAAAAGTTGGGGAGTGGACTCCACATGGGCATCTAAACATTACCGAACCATCAATGTTTTTTGATTCTGGGTCCATGAATGTGACACTCGTAGTCATAACAATACTGGTCTGTAAATAGAACTATAAAAAATATGTTTTTAAATTGTTGTAGAATTATTCTTCAGGAAACTCCCTATGTAATGATGCATTATGGGAAAAATTTTACGGGCAACGAGCGATTTTATGGATTTTGTGTTGATATATTGGAAACCATTTCTCACGAGGTTGGTTTTGACTACATATTGGACTTGGTACCTGATAGAAAGTATGGTGCCAAAGACCCAGAATCTGGTGAATGGAATGGAATGGTCGCTCAACTGATGAAATATGTTCGTAAAGTAATTTGTGTTTGTCGACTAACCTTTAACCTTTTATAAATATTTAGAAAGCAGACTTGGCCGTTGGCTCTATGACTATTACATATGCAAGAGAAAGTGTTATTGATTTTACCAAACCATTTATGAATTTGGGAATAAGTATTTTATTTAAGGTTCAAAATGTCATATATTTGTTGGATATAAATAAATTTAGATTTCTTTTAAGGTCCCGACCCCGGAGCCAACAAGACTGTTCTCCTTTATGAATCCATTGGCAATAGAAATCTGGATATATGTGCTGATTGCGTATTTTCTCGTATCCATATGTATATATATTGTGGGAAAACTTTCGCCTATCGAGTGGAAATATATTTACCCCTGCGACCTAGATAATATTTCAATTGGCAACCAGTTTTCTCTCACTGACAGCTTTTGGTTTACCATTGAAACACTTATGCAGCAGTCAACCGATATTTATCCAAGAGCTCTATCAACAAGAATAATAAGCAGTGTCTGGGGTTTTTTTTCGCTGATTATAGTAGCATCTTACACGGCTAATTTGGCTGCCTTTTTGACCACTGAGCGTATGATTAACCCCATCGAAAACGCAGAAGATTTGGCTTCTCAAACGGAGATATCTTACGGCACTTTAGATAGCGGATCTACGATGACATTTTTTCGGGTAAGTAATAGAAACTTTGGTAACATTTCTTACTGAATTCACTTGCCAGGACTCAATGATAGAAACATACAAAAAAATGTGGAGGAGCATGGACAATAAGAATCCCTCAGCATTCACCTCTACATATGAGGACGGTATAAAACGAGTGAACCAGGGCAATTATGCGTACTTGATGGAGTCTACGATGCTTGATTATATAGTGCAGAGAGACTGCAATTTGACACAAATCGGAGGATTGTTGGATACAAAAGGTAAGCAATTTTTAATAAGCCAAATTTCCATTTATAGCATTTTTTTTTGGTAATTTTTCGATCTTATACAAAATTGTTTTTATTGGTATATTATTAGCAGTACTACAGAGGTTTTCCTTAAAAAAGTCACAGTTTTTTTAATTTATAAATAATTCTCTTCAACATTAATAGTATTGGATCTTTAAAAAAAAATATTTTGGTAATAGATAAGAGCCACTTCTTATTACTTATCTGTTTGATTTGTTCCTTATTAATTCTTTTAAACTTACCATAACAAAATACTTGTTCATAAATACTTCCAATTTTTTAAGGGTATGGTATCGCAACACCAAAAGGCTCACCTTGGCGCGATAAAATTTCGTTGGCTATACTTGAGCTTCAGGAAAAGGGCGATATTCAAATGCTGTATGACAAGTGGTGGAAAAATACTGATGAAACATGCACCCGCAGAAGCTTTAGCAAACAATCTAAAGCAAATGCCCTTGGACTAGAAAGTATTGGTAGGTATTATCATTTACTAAACAACACAAAATCAATGTCCGAGGGTCCTTGGTTTATGGCATATTCAGAGAATGGCGATGAGGATTAGGATGAATGATATTGCCAAATATCCTAGCTTCCTTTTTTGTTTTTTAAATACTTCTTAGTTGTTTTTCAAGCAAGTCTAAAAAGTCTTTTTCAAGAACCTTTGGTACGTCTTCGGACTTCGAAGTAATTTTATAGTCAATGTTACTTTAATGTTAAACATTTTTTGATTCCACAGGTGGTGTGTTTGTGGTTTTAATATCTGGCATTTTGGTGGCTGCGGTTGTGGCGTTTTTTGAATTCTGGTATAATTTTCGATACCAACAGAAATCTAGACCGAATCAACAGAGCGTCAACCATTGTTCCGCACTGGAAAAAGAATGGACTTACACCCCACCAAAGCGTTGCTTCTGGATCGAATTTCTTGAAGAACTACGATATGCCTCTTGGTGTATGAACAAGCAAAAAAGACCTGAACTGAATCGAGTTTGTAGTGAGTGTAAGATTCCGTGAAACTATTTTGGCGATTTCAACTTAGTTTTAAAATTTTGTAAGTTTTAAAGTTTTTAAACTTCAGTTTCTTTAACAATTGAATGTTACTAAATATGATCAAATGTTTCTTATAACAAAACGAGAACTTGTTGCATTACGTGTTAAAATAAATGATTGCATAAAATATTTTTAACCAACATTTTTTTTGGCTTTTTAATTTTTAAAATTAATTTTTAACCCGAGGGGAAAAAAATCTTCTAAATGCATAGCTAGATTCAGTGGATATCCGCTTTATTTGACACATATAGCAAGGCTTAGATATTTTATCAATGAAATACAGAAATATTCTTAAAGCACTATTAGGACATATGATATAAATAAATATTCAAGCAAATATATTTTTATATACATTTATGTATATCTTTAAACTTAAATAAAACGAATTTAATTTCATTGTAGGAATTGCGATTCTTATTTCTAAACACTTATAAAGTTTAAAATGCCTTCTTATCTTCAGATAATAATGAAAATATATCAGTTTATGAAAATCTTTATGAGTCTGCCTTATATGTGCTTTTTACATTTTCAAAATTAAATATAAGTTCTGTTGCTTTTATTATGTATGTATCAAGTAACCTACACTAATGGATGACAGCTGGCACAGGCTAGCCAAGAATTTATTAATTTTTTAATTTATTTTTAAATCCTGCATTATGGTCATGTAGATTTACTTCACTTCTGAGTAAGTACCACATAAAATACTCTAATAATCATTAAAAACATAGAATCTTGTGTTGCTTGCTTAGACTAGATTTTAGGTTATAAGAAAAAAATTATAATATTTATGAAATTAGCAAAACTTTTCATTCCAAAAATTAAGGTTTAAATTGATAATTCTTAGGAGCTAGTAAAAGTTGTCTTAGTTTAAATTATTGAAAAAGATTAACAGATTAATTGGTATCAAATGCAGCTGTATAAATTGGTCAACAAGAAGGGTCTTAAAACTTTATGAGATAAATTTAAAAGTCTATAGAGAATTGAATTCAATCTCCTTAGCGTACGCCTCTCTCTGCATTTTCTCACGTAACCTGGATACATCCTCGTCTATTCGAACTATAGCACGAATTTTCTTAAAAAGATTTAAAAATTGAATTATATGTATGTAAGTTTTAAGGGATCAAGTTAGGTTACCTCACTCAGGTCCCCAGAAGTTCGCCTCCATAGCCAGACCATATATAATGGAATATAAAGCATGGATGACAATGCCGTAAACCAGCCAAAAGCGTGCGCCCACCAAGGATAGCTGTAGTCCAAGTATTTAATTGGAGTCCACTGCACTATATTAAAGAAAAAGACGCCCTACAAACAGACAATATGATTGAAGGACGTTTCTGGGGATTTTAGTAAGATATTTACCAAGCATATAGCAGGAGTGGTGACGCACCAACAGAACTTCCACCATACTGTGGGATAGTATCCGATCATATCCTTAATACCATCATAAAATCTATCGACTCCATAGCACCAGGATATTGAGACGCACTCGAAGAATATTAGCCATAGCAAGCAAAAGCCGCTCACTGCGTACGAATCCAGTATTTGGAATATATACATCCCGCCCTAAAAATCATCACACACTTTTTAAATCACTGTAAGAACATATAAGACCACTCATCTTACTTGGGTAATACAGGTTAGGCCCACTAAATAGCTAAGTGCGCAGACAATGGCAATGAAGATTTCTTTGCGTTTGCGAAGCAGTTGCGGCCATTCGTCAATAATTGCAGTGATAAAACCCTCCATTGTACAAAATTGCGAGTCCAATCCAATAAGCAGGAGCATGAAAAAAAAGAGGCACGACCACATGGGTGAGCCAGGCAACTGCAGTACTGCCGATGGATAAACAAGGAATGCTAGGCCAGGTCCTGAGGCAGCCACCTCGGCGACAGGGCGCTGCTGTTCGTGAGCCATAAATCCGATTACAGAAAAAATTACAAATCCAGCAAACATACTGGTGCTGGAATTCACTGTGCAGACAATCAGTGCATCCCTAGAAGTTATTGAATTATAAACATATATTAGCAAAGAATCTGTTAATGCGTAAAGAAACGTACTTATACACATTGTTGGTAAACTTGTTGTAACTGCCTAATGCTACCAAAGTACCCAGTCCAAGCCCATATGAGAAAAATATCTGCGTGACTGCATCAATCCAGACCTGAAAGACACAAAAATATGTTTGACTTCACTCTAAAACAAACTAGCATGTGAGCTACTTATACTAAAATGTTTAAAACAAAATTGTTTATTGTAGTATAATAGTCTAAATTAATTTTTTTTTCCATTTTTACACAAACGACCAAGAGAGTTTTTGAGATGTTAGATGCAATGTGAGAATAAAAACAAAAAATATGAAAAATATTTGGACCTAATTATAAGCTGAGAATTTTATTATTTATTGCTTTAGCTACTGCAGAATAGAAAATAAAAAAAAAAAATCTATTTTTCTGAAGAGCCTCGTTGCGTACTATGTCTTACTATCTCCACTTTGGGTAATATTACAAATCATCTTTAAAACTAAGAAATTAGGAAACTTAAGTTGATGACATATTGTTTTTAATGACCATATAGTTTATAAAGAGATCTTTTTAGGCTGCAATTTTTTTTAAATTATACAATGCTCTTCTGGTCTGTCATGGTTTTCTAGTAAGTTATTTATAAAATACTTTAACTGTTTTAATATGTATGTTAATTATTATGCACAAACCTCCGAATTAGACAACTTTGAAAAGTTGGGAATTATATAAAATTTAATGCCTTCCAAAGCTCCTGGTAAAGTAATTCCACGAATTAGAAGAACAGTCAGAAGAACGTAGGGAAAAAGAGCAGTAAAATATACTACTTTCCCAGTCCATTTTACTCCTTTCCAGATGCAAAAGTAGCAGAGGATCCATACGAGCAATAATGTTCCGGCCAATTCCCAGCGAATATTTCCAATCTCTTCAATGCCATGTGAAATTTGAAGTGCACGACGCCTTTAACCACGAGGTTTAAAGATTAATAAAAAAGAAAGTGAAGTTTAAAATGATTACACATGTATTTAAATTTACATACTCCCAAAATTCCTTAACTGGATCTGTGAGTTCTGAAGATGTGATGTTTACAGCAGACACGGAGCAAACCCTTTTCGCCGCTCCATCAATTATCTTATCCCAGCAATTTAAATTTTTCCTTTCATACTGACTAACACAACTGATTGTGTTCCACCAATTGTTACATGTCCTCCAAGGTACATCTGAAAAATTGTTTTTACTTTTTCAGTTAAATAATGTTGTTATTTACTTAATCAGAGTTTACAGACCTGCTCTCATCGACATAAAGAAGTAAAATACCGCCCAAGCCAGAATAACAATATAGTAGACATTCATCCAACAGGACATTACGGCAGCCGCGTATCCAATGCCTTGAAAAAAACACAATATTTAAAAGAAAAAGTTAGTTGTAATTAAAGAGTAATCTTATATATTCTGCACAAACTGACTCAATAATATAAATTCTGGTATTGTGGTTTTCGAAGCTCAAATTGTTCCTTTTGTTTCCTATTGTCTTATATAGTCAATCTCTCTGGGAATTTTTTATTAATTTATTTATTTAGAAATAACTATAGTCAGAACGAATTATTTTCTTATTTTAATTAAAGTATAAAAAGTCGATACTGCAAACATTATATTGGCAAAACAAAAGGCAGATTAAAATTTTAAATCTTACCTTTGAATATGGGGGCAATTTTAAATACGCCAAGTCCACCAATGGTCAGCATTTGACCAAGAGCTAGTTCCATAAAAAACATCGGAATTCCAGCTAAAAACAACGTTATTATATATGGTAATATAAATGCTCCGCCTCCATTTTTATAGCACAAATAGGGAAATCGCCAAACGTTTCCAAGCCCAATTGCTAATCCTACTACTGACAGTATAAAATCCATTTTGGAGGACCACGATCCACGTTCGGGCAGTTGTTCCATTTTAACCAACTGAAACCAAAATAAAAATTGTTGATAATAGCGTCATTCTTTTTAAAATTAATTCTAATTAAATCTATATTAAAATTGAACAAGGGAGGGCTTGGGTGTTTCGGTATCAAAATTGCCACTTCGGAATCGCCTAAACCACTGTTCGGCGGTTTGAATAGAAAGTTTGTTATCTCCTAAGACAGCAATAATCTAATATATTAAATATATTTTTCGACTTTTCCTATGCCAGCTATATGATAGAGTTATCCGATTTTGATCAAATTTAATCCGAAATTCAATAGTAGCCAGAACACGCCATCTGACAGAAATCAAGTCGATATTATCAAAAACAACGACCTGATAATTTTTTATTTCATTCTCTCTCGTATGGGAGCTATCCTATTATATAGGGTTTTTTTTATCAAAACTCCTTTCTGCACTAACCTGCTGTTTATTAAATGTTTCCTTGGCTGTTGGTGGGTTGCACTGTAAACTGGATGAGTGCCCCAGTTCTATGTTCATTTCACAAGATTCAGGCTTGCGACTTTCTTCTCCCCCGTCACCATCGTTTGCGCTGTACATTCTTTTATCGTTGTCTTTTCAATAAAATATTTACAAAATATTAAGGACCACAGATGGATAAGCTAGGATAATTGAACACGGCAGCTGCAAGCAGACTTTTCTATTCGGGTTCCAACTCGTCGTCGACAGAATGACGCGTTATCACACGAAAAGCACCCTCACAGGTCACTTGCTTTTATTAAACTGAGTATAAAGAGCACCTAAAATGTTGATCTGCTTTTCAAACCAATGAGGTACCATAATAACACAAGTGCAGTTTAAATAAAAGGGGGCTAGTCGGTTGACGTTTCACATACAATTTAATTTAATAATGATTTAGATGAGGGTTCTGCCCGAGGCCCCTTAAATTATGGATATACGGGGACAGTGGTAACTCAATATTAAAGCACACTAAAGCGGTGTCCGACGAACAGGATTGCACGATTTGAGATCTACTGTCATGAATGTAGGTGTCCCCCACAAAACAATTCTTAGCAATTTACTGACCCATTTTATATATTTCTTAATTATTGGTGTTGTGTACATGTGCAAAATATTTGTATGCTGTATATGAGATTTAAGAGATGAAAACGCTGAATATCGCACTGCGAAAATTCTAAAATTTTCAAAATTATACCTAAGATTATAAAAAATGTTCAAAGTAATTTTTAGATTTTTTACGTTTTGGGCAAAAAAGTGTATTTTACTCATTCACACGGAACAAATTATATAAAATATTTTTGTGTAGCCCGTTTGTAAAACCCTTATTATTCGTTATGCAGACTAATCTAATATTTTAACAAATTTTTTCTATCGTAAAAAATGTGCATACTTATAGGTTATTGCATTTCTATTGGGTTTTTGACTTAAGCATTATCTTTCGTTTATTTTTGATACTTTTTATTTGATTTTATTTTATTAAATCAAAAAGAAATTCTTTATCTCAGTTCTCTAGTGTATTTCGCAGATACAACTTAAGTCGACTCAAATCTTTAGTTTAAAATCTTTTCCTATTGCTAATCCGATTATTATAAATATACTGTCAGCAAATAAATATTTTTTTTATTACTTTTACTCGCAGCACCCCATTAAGAATATATATTCTTGATAATAATCATCAGACGATATCTTAAAAACAATTTAAGCTAGAATATTGAAATTGAAAATTCTGATTCTAGCAGTGAATATCTGAGTAAAAGTATCTGATAGTAAGGACACCCGAAAAAAGTGTTCTCTCTTAATGTAAATAAATTGATCGATCTTTCCTAAGTCACTTTATAATCGAAAAAATATAATATAAATATATAACTTTACAAACAAATTTTGTTACATTAAAATATTGCGATTTTTTAATATTTGTATATAGATTTGCGATCTGTTCAATAACTACACAATTTGTGGAACAATTTCATCGAGATGGCTTTAAAATTGGTGGACTTCTTTACATAGAAACAAAAACAAAAGATCGATTCAGATTGGAATGCTATATATACATAGTTTATGGGATCTCAGGTGTCACCTTCAATGCGTTTAAATTAATTAATTTAAATTATAATACCCTCGCAAGGGTATACAAATATGCATAACTAAATATATATAAAATAAAAGCATGTGGAAGATTTGGACAGAATATATGTATATCAACTTTGAATCTTCTATCTTTCTAGCGATCTTCCCTTCTTGCTTTTTATTATAAAAAATAAAACTCGATTGAATAGCTGACCCTTACATATTTTTTAAATATTAATATTTAAGTTATTTGTCATTTTCTAAATTGATAAATTATTTTCAAGATGAGTCTGTCTGTACTTACCTGCTGTTTATTTAAAGTACCCTTGGTTAGTGGAGGGTTGCACTGTAAACTTGACGAGGTCCCCAGTTCTGTGTCCATTTCTATAGATTCAGGCTTGCGACTTTCTTCTCCCCCGTCACCGTCGTTTGCGCTGTACATTCTCTTATCGTTATCGTTTCAATTAAAAATTTATTTATTATCAATTATTTATAAATATATTTGAAATATAAAGGACCACAGATGGATATTCTAGGACAACCAAACACGGCAGGTGCAGGCTGACTTTTCTTTGCAGGTTCAAACTCGTCGTCGACAGAATGGCGCGTAATCACAAAAAATACGCCTTTGCAGGTCCCTTGCTTTTATTAAACTGAGTATAAAAACCATCTAAAATTTTGATCTGCTTTTCAAACCAATATGGTACATTGCCGCTTAAATATTAGGGGTCTAGTTGGTTGACACTCTCCACAGAATTTAATTTAATAATGATTTAGGATGAGGGTTCTGTCCGAGCTTCATAAAAGTATGGATATACGGGCACGGTGGTAACTCAACATTAGTGCACACTACAGCGGTGTTCAAAGAATAAGTGTGCATAATTTGGGATATACTGTAATGAATGTACATAGGTGCCCCTCACAAAACAACGCTTATCAATTTAGTGACCCATTTTAAATATTTGTTATTTATCAGTGTTGTGTGCATGTATGTGTTTGCATAGCCAACGAGAGTTCCGAACTGCAACTAAAACATTTATACAACTTTATAAATTAAAGGACAGTAAATGAATTGTAAACTGATTTTTAAAATTGTGGAGCGGTATACTATTCCCAGCCACGAAGGCCCATGTATTTATTATTATTAGTTAAGCTGCCAAGAAGATCGAAGTGTTGTTGAGCGCTTAGGGCCTACCTGATCATTTAAACATTAATAATAATAATTGGCCATCACAACCCTTGACGGGTCACAGCCTGTTGCACGATTCGCCTCCACGCATCCCTGTCCTGGGGCGCCTTCGCCGGTTGGCAGCACCGGATGTAGAGAGGGCTCATTTAAATATTACTGCCCAAAAATAGCGTCGGTTGGCAGCACCGGATGTAGACAGGGCTCATTTAAATATTACTGCCCTTAAAAAGCGTCGTTCAAATGCGATCCTGATTTAAGCTAACTAAAAAAGGAACAAAATAGCATAGCATAGCACATAGCCTGATCATTTAAATATTAATAATAATAATTGGCCATCACAACCCCTGACGGGTCACAGCGTTTTGCACGATTCGCCTCCACGCATCCCTGTCCTTTGGCGGTTGGCAGCACCGGATGTAGACAGGGCACATTTAAATATTACTGCCCTTAAATAGCGTCGGTCAAAATCGATCCTGATTTAAGCTAACTAAAAAAGTAACAAAAAAAATATTATAAATTTTCCTTAAAGGGGAACCTGGAAAGACTATGCTTACCTTAGACAGAAAAGTTCCCTAAAAAACAAATTTCATGGTCTGGCCTCCAAACTAAAGACACTTTCACGGTAGAGTTTTTGTATGAAACTGATTTTATTGTGTCTGGTGTTCGATTTATATAGGAAAACATTTGTATGATTCTATGGGCTGCGTTTGCTATCAAAGAGTTATCTTTGACCTCCACACAGTAATCTTTTGGTGAAACCTAAATTTTTAGACTCAACTGGAAGTTAATTAATACCATTGGACTCCAAGCCACTTTAGGAATTTATTTTATCTCACTTATATGTGATACCGATATTGTCCCTTGATCTTCAAGCTGAATACTGTGATGATCAATATCGTTATTTGTTCGTTAAGGTTTTGAATGGATGAAGCTTTTTCTTTATTGTATAAACTTCTTTATAACGTGTGTGTGAGCAACTAAAGTCCCTTTCCAGGTGTAAATACAAAAAATATAATACTATTTCGAATAAAAGCCAACATAATTTTAAAGTAGCTTGAAAAACATTGTTAACATTTTGTTGTCACAAACGAGAGCATGTAATTTCAATTTCCTTTCTTTCTTAGGAATTGTAAATAAAGCTTTACAAAATACGCAAACGTAAATATTTGCCCAGAGGAATAAATGATACCAAAGTTGAATGAACGGAAAACGCTTCATGTCCTTTTGAAGTTCCTGTGGGGTTTAATGACGTCGTGAATTAAGAGGGCTGTTCAAAATGTTGTTGATTATCTGTTTTTTAACTCTGGAAATACATATATACATATGTATGTATGGAAGTATACCTTTTGGTGTCGGAGTTGTCCTCTTCACTGACTAAAATAAAAACACCATCTGCATGGGTATAAAAAATAGATACATATTAGTGTTCGAGTATACCTATGCCCACAGCCATAGCCATATTCAGGAGGGCCAGAAGAATTTGGCATATGTAGTTTCACACCAAAATATGTACATATGTATGTACATAAGTTCCCGTTCGATCCATCCCGAAAGAAAAAACGCACGTATTCGGAATGCATGCTGAGCGGAAGTTTAATCGTGAAAATGTAATGTAAAAATGTATGTACATTTTGGAAGCAGCCACCCAGCGGGAAAAAGATGTGGAAGATATGCTATTTTCCAGAGGTTTCTTCATACAAGCGGAGGGGCAAAAACCCCCTTCACCCCTTACATTTTTGCCGTCTTGTATACACTGCTTTTTGTCCTGAATATGATATATCCCCTACCCTACGCCTGCTAAAAGAAGTTGGTTGTCACAAATCCCAATCCCTGAGCCTGCTAAAAGAAGAAGAATTTCCAGTACTCTCGAAACCTAAAACCTACTTCCAAAAACCTACTTCTCACTTTCCCGCTGGGAAAGTACAACGTGCTGGCTTGTTTGTGTTTGTGTTTATGAAAGCAAATGTCCAGAGGGTTTGCATGAGTGTGTGTGTATATCGGACTGTTTTCATTGCTGCTGTTAAGTAAGCATTTGCTGCTGAGAAGTATTTTAGTTGAATTTGAAGCAACGCCCGAACAGGTTTAGCGCGAATGTGTTTAGGAATGTTAATAATAGTGTAAACGAGACGGAAATATGCAAACCTTTTTGAGAAACAGTGATCATTTATTTACTTTTACCAAAAGTAGTTTGTATAGTTGTATTAAATTATTAATAAAAAGAATTCCTGGATTGAAAGAGAGGAAATGATAAAATAGATCGCTCTAAACAAAACAATGTGGATGTAAACATTTTTTTATAGATAATATGTACATATACGTTTATGGACGTATGTATACATATGTACATGCATATATGTATTCCTATAGTAGAAGAAAAGGCCAACAATATTGGGGAGCGAAACGACCTTACTAATAATAATTTCTCAAAAAGTTTGTTGGTCATGTGGAGAAAACATGATAATATACATTGAACCAAACTTTACGCCGCAAAGCAAACCAGCAACAGAATTTTGTGGCCTATTTACTTGTATATGCAAGGCGAGAAACTCGAAAGTAAAAAAATTTGGAACTTTCAGAGAGGAAACCACATTGTTTTTTAGTATTATTTTGCAAATATACTTCTACCACTCCCAAACTTTAAAACATACGGTATGTTTTAAAAATATCAAACCAAAACTTGACGTAGTCTACACAAAGTCTCAAAAGTACTCAAGAATATGGTTTATTTTGATTTTATTGCTGCCAACTTTGCATGAAATCAATGGTCATGAAATGTCCGGCCAAACGTCAAATTTAAATGGAATATTTTCATCCCGTAAGCAATATGATAATAGCCAATTATCCTCATCGCCGCCGAAAAATCTCACCATTAAAGCTGAGAGCGTCAGAACCTACCAACTACAACTAAGAATCCAAACCAAAATATCACGTACGGAAAAGAATCTCAACAATTTATTCAAAAGGATAAGACTGCAACGAAGAGGCTCAGTTCATAATGCCAGTTTAAAAAACACATCTTACTTAAATAATCAGGAAACAGCTGTTGAACCGAGAAATACGTTAACAATTAACGGAAGAAAGACCAGAGAAATCGGAGACATTCTGTTGGGAGAAAGAACCGTTAATAAGCAGCCGCACAAAAAGCCAAATTCAAAGCAAATAGATGCAGAAAAGCTAAAGCGCCTTATTTTAAAAGGCCTTGGTATGAAAAAAATTCCAGATATGAGAAAGGTAATAATAAATAATAAAGTAAATAATAAACAAGCTAGACCGGTAATGTCGCATCTTTTATTTATTTACAGGTTAATATAAGCCAAGTTGAGTATTCCAACAAATATATAGAATACCTGAACCGTCTAAAAAGTGGCCACGAAAAGAGTGATAGCTATTTTAATAACTACTTAGGACCTTCTTCCGTAAGAGACCTACATTTGTTGAGTATTGTTTCAAACAAATTTAACGACATAAGCAACAAACGATGGCGTCATAAAAGATCACTTAAAACCAAAAAAAGAAAAAATAAAGCTGTCGAAATTGGGCAACAGGACAAAACGAACATACTTTTACACTTCCCATTGACAAATTTAAAAAATGAAAATTTCCATTATGACAAAATTGACGAAGCCAATGTTAGGCTTATGCTTCTTTATAGCTCATCCCTGGCAACGAACTCTAGAAACTCTAGAAATCGAAAATTCAGTCACATTTATAGAAATAACAGTTCAAAGGATAATATAAGAAACTGTAATTTTGGTTTTGTTAACGCTAATCAATCCAAAAAGGCCAAAAGTCGGCATTTAGTTCTTAAAGTCTATCAACGTCTTTCAGCGAACAGACGAGCTTTACTAACGTCCCGAAAAATCGAATTCGAAAATATTGGCTACGAAGAAACTCGGACTCAGTGGATAGAGTTCGACGTAACGAAAGCTGTTCGTTGTTGGTTGAACAATAGCCACGAAAATTTGGGTATAGAAATTCAATGTGATAAGTGCAAAAGCGTAGGTGCTCGAATACTTAGTGACTCTAGCCCGAAGTCATCGCAGTCGTCATCAGCGAAATCTTCAGCCTCAAACGATGAACACTTTAACCTTATGCCAGTTCTAAATATAATTGTACACGGTGCCTTAAGAACCGAACGGGAAGGTGACTCGGACGTCCATCACATCCTGTTGTCCAATAATAGAAGCGGTGAATATGTTCATCACCAATCGATCCACGATGCCTCTTGGGCAAAAGACTCGTGGAACAACAATTGTTACAAATTACACCAACGGTGCTGTAGAAATCAGTTAAATGTAGCCTTTAGAGACATTAAGGGTTTTGAGTTTATATTGCAGCCCAAGGTATTTGATGCAGGCTATTGCCAAGGACGATGCCCACCACGTCATAATCCGGCCCATCATCACGCCCTGCTGCAAAGTCTTATATGGCAAAAGGACCACACGCTAGCACCCCGTCCGTGTTGTACACCCTCAAAGCTTGAAGTGCTCGAAATTTTGCACGTTGACGAAAATAACAGCAATAAGCTAAAGATTTCCACCTGGAGTGATATGCAAGTTCTAGAATGTGCCTGCTCTTAAACAAAATGAAATAATATTATTATACATACAACTTTTACCTAAATGTCTTTTTATTCATACAAATTATTTTAAGGTATTCATTTTTGTACCACTTTTAACGAATATTTAAATAAATATTAGTATTTTGTTCAAAAATACGAAAGCAAGATTTTTATTGGCATAGATCGAGAAAGTCTTCAAATAGGAATTTGTAAGTGCAAAAAGATCAAGTCTACAGAGTGTTGAAGATGACTTCAACAGACTGTCCAAGTGCAATATCAGCGGAAGGTAAATGTCTAGGAAAATACCAATTTAAGATGGGAAGCAAAGAAGTGACAATCGCTTTAGGAATGTCATGGAAGCCGCAAATGGATATATTTTGCTTCCGTTTTGATCTACCAAAATCCGAAGCTACCACCCAGAGTTAAATCATTTCCATTACACTGTGCGACAAAATTTAACAAAATCTTTGTTTAAGTTACTTTTTTGATTGTTTTCGGTTAAGGTGCATAAATTATGCACAAAAATATTTATACCACCTTTTAAGTGATACGATTTCTATTTTCACGGTAAATTTTATGAAATTATTATTATGAAAATAATTAACACAAAATATTTTTTTTTTTTACTTTCAATAAACTATTATTTTTTTTAAAAGTGAATTTTTTTCCTGATTTTTTTTGGCTTTTTCAGAGGTATCCTCGCGTAACAAGTTCCATACGTAGTCGCCCAGAGTATAGAGCTGGGAGAAAAAAGCGTTCATTATAACGGTGAAAAAATATTTTCCCAATATGTGATTATAAGGCTGTGAAATATGCAAAAACGCGCGTTTTTGAGACATTTGAGTGTGCGTAAAAGCTGATTGGCTATTGATATTAACAAATCCACAAACTTATATTCTTATTTTGATTAGTAGAAGTGAAAAATAATAAAAAATCAACCTTAACATTTTTTTGTCGCACAGTGTTATTGCAAGTTTTCACGATCTACTTAGACTTTTAACTCCAATCATTATAAGATACAAAATGTTCGTACAAGTACTTTGGATTGAGCCTGATTTACTCATATTTAATCAGTGAGATCATATTGCTCGGTCCGCGATGAGGGAGGCTTACCCAGATCCTACGACCCGACCGGTGAGCTTTTGGTAGCAAAGGTGTACAAAAGGCCCAAGTGCCTTTTATGTTCCATGAATCTGACCAAAACTATAGTACCCTCCACAAGGATATAATAACCGTCTGCACGCCAGATATGTCTGCACGAGTGTACCTTTATTAATTTGTTTTTAAATATTATACGCAAAATAAGCCATGGATTAAAGTCTGAAAATATAATAATGTTGTTTATGTCACTTTTATCACAACAAAAATTTGAAAAAAATTGCAATTAAAGCGACTCTATGCTTTTACAATTAGATTACAAAATTGTGTGATAAATAATTAGAAACAAAAGTAACTAATGGTATAAGCAAAATAAAAGTTTTTTCTATTATAAATATTCTAAAGTTCTGGTTTACAGAACCTATAAAATCCTTAAACTATGTAATGTGTTCCTGTGTTTTTGTATCTCACATGTGTCATTTATGTATTTATAAATATATTATGTATATGTACATCTTACATAACTAATATGAAATAGATCGGTTAGATTATGGTGTCCAGCTGCCGGGCTTGATGCAATATCTTTTTCTGATGACCCACCAAGGTAATCCCCATATCTGACAGCTGTTGAGCTGTTAACCTTGAAATCTGAAAGGGCAAGTTCTGGTAATTACCTTGTACAATAAACCTTGGACTTCATTTTACCAACCTGTTGAGCATTAACTAAATTAGCCTCTTTAAAATGCTGACAGTATCTTGACATTTTAATGGTTTCCAACCAAAGATCAGTGCTTATAAATATATTTTGACCACGCTGTGTATCCAAAATATGGGTACCGTCTGATTCGGGTGAGCTTCGAGTTGTCAGTAATGACTGCGGTTGTCTAGCCAAGTTGTCAAGGGTAGAAACGATGCTTGCAAATGTCGGGCGATGAGTTCGTTGCTTTTGCCAGCAATCCAACATAAGCTGATATAGGGCCTCTGGACAGTCCATCGGAGCCGGTAAGCGATAGCCTTTCTCAATACTCTTTATTACGTCCTTAAACCGAACAGTAGTTTAAAGTATAACCATGTAATAAATCATTTTAAGTTAGTTCTTACCTGATTTGACCAGTTCCAATATGGACGTTCTCCGTAGGACATAACCTCCCACAAGACCACTCCATAGGACCAAACATCCGAGGCCGAAGTGAACTTTCTAAAAGCAATTGCTTCGGGCGCAGTCCAGCGAACAGGAATTTTGCCACCCTGTAAATATAATAAGAGTTTATGGAAAAAATACTTTAAATACACATTTTTCCCTTTTAGGAATATGTAGTTTAAATATGTTGAACAAAAAGTTGTGTAACTAGAGGTCCTGTGTCCGCTTCGCTGGTCAACGCAGTTTAACAACATTTTTCAAATATATGGAAGTATAGAAAGGTGGTGATTTAACATTTTTCCAGTTTGACTTTTCCACTTGCGCAGGACAATCCAGCCGTTTCTCTTTTAAACTTTAACGCACTGCAATATCGGTATAATGTCACCATTGGTCCAATATCTAAATTTTCATTATCACTGTAGAGATCTCCAATGATCTCCATGTGCTCATTTGTCTTTCTTCGCTTAAGTTTTGTGAATATACTTGTTGCTGGCTTGGATGTCTGCGTCCTCTAAGCATTTTGGGCTATGGACAGAGTGGTGAATTTATCCTCAAATGCACGATCCACATAATTTTCACAGTTCAACTTAAATTCAATAAAAATTCTTTTTTTTTCACAATTTCACAGTGAACACAATACCCGTTTGTCCATGAAATTAACTGAGCAGAGAACACTAAGGTTTGCATAATATGTGAAAAAAAAACTTAATTCACTTAAAAATTATAAATGAAAACCACAAAAATTGAGTTAAAATTCTATGGTAGCGTATTTGTCACAAATTATAGCCTATTTTACTCCACGATAATGAAGCTTTCTATCGGTGAACTAATTTTTTAAATCCGATTAGTAGTTCCGGAGCCTATTTGTTGCAAACAAACAAATTTTACCTCTTTATAATATTAGTATAGATAGTAATATAATTAGTAATAAAGGGTCAGTAAACTAAGCAATGTACTTGACTTTCGAGAATAAGAAACATGAAGACATCATCTGTATAATGAAATGGAATACATACCCGTGTTGTATATGCATCGCTTGCATTTTCAATTTCTCGTGATAGCCCAAAATCTGCTATTTTGCAAATTAATTGGGCATTGACAAGAACGTTACGAGCCGCCAAGTCTCTGTGTACATAATTCATATCACTTAAATAAGCCATTCCGCTGGAAATGCCACGCAGCATTACTATTAGCTGTAAGGTTTGGAATTTCCCATCATTCACACGAAGAAAGGTGTCCAAGCTGCCGTTTTCCATATACTCAGTAATAATCATAACTGGGTTTGAACGTGTTACTACTCCCTGTAGATAAATAACATTTGGATGATCAAACTGTCCCATGATGGAAGCCTCTGTCAAGAAGTCACATCGCGCTTTTTCCGAAGACCCTGGTAAGATTTAAGAGAGGTTTAGTTTATATTTCTTTTCCGCTTTTATTTCAGCTAAAATGCCTACCTGGTTTTAATGTTTTTATTGCCACGTCAATGTCCTGTACGAAATTAGGAGGTATCTTCAAACGACCACGGCAAACATCGCCAAACTCTCCTCCGCCTAAGTAATATTTCGTTTATTTTTATTGGTAAACAACTACGAATATATTTCGAATTCTTACCGATAATAGCTTCAATTGTTATGTAGTTTGCATCTATTTCCCGAGCGAATTCCCTTATCGCCTGGTTCGGATCTTCGTACGTATGCGGATCTACGTAGCTTCTGCTGTTACCAAACAAAGGCGTCGTCACTAAAAACACAATAATAAATAAAAGGCTTGATTAAACTACTAGTAATCGTGATTCATGTTAAAATTGAAAAATTGTTATTTTTTTGTTTAGTTTCTGTATTTATTCAGTAACTATGGCGTTAATGATGGGGTAAATAAAACCCCATTTGATAATGTAATGGTGTGAGTACCGATGCAGCACCTAATGGTTGATATTTGTATCTTAGTATGTCAGAGATTGTAAATCTTTTCAATTAAAATTTTAGTAGTAGTTAAAGATGTGGTAACGAATAAGATAAGGCTTTTGCATAAGTTCCATTGCCTACCCTTAACTAAAATAATAATACTTATTTAAAGTATTTAAGTAATTTTTCAAATCTTTCAATGACATTTTAAACAATGGTTTAACCACAAAGACTAATATATATTTATAAATAATCTTGAAAAGCATGCAACTCAGCCAATAACCACTTAAACAGACTTAGAAATAGCGCAAACATATAAATTTACAAAAAGATATACCGTTTAAGCGAAGGGTTTTGACAATTGGAGTTGTATCCATAGAATTAACTAAAAATAAAAATAAGAATGTTTTATTGAAAATGTGATAAATATAGATTAGCAATTCATTAAGTCGGCGTCCGACTAGATTATTTTTTCGATAGTTAGTTGAGGTAGTTAGTTTTTCAAAAGAAAGTTATTTATATAAAAAAAAAGTATTCATAAGTGAATTGTGTCCATTTTAAGCGTTTCCCTATGTCTCCAATGGAAATTTTCTACATCGTTTTCAAGTGGAAAATATTTTTTTTTAGCTAAAATATTTTTTTTTAATATCACAATAAAGAGAGCATTTGCTTGGAAGTAATCTGTAATCGGTTTTTGGGCATGCAATACAAGTTGGTTTTTTTTTTTTTTGCGGCGACATGAGTCTTATAATTTTATTATTTCAATTATGAGCACATCCTTAATGGGTAAAGTCGGCTAAACTGTCCTAAGTACGGAGAAGAACTATCAGTAAAGCACCTACTAGATACATCAGAACAAACCTATACGGTCTACCAACTCCAAACTATTATTATCTTTCAAAAGGATATGTAAAATTATAGATCAAATGTAAACACCCCTATCTTATATATAAAAATGAATCGCAAAATGTGTTGGTAAGCGCATCACATGAAAACGGCTTGACCGATTTGGCTGAAAATTGGTAGGGAGATAGCTTAGAACAAGAAGAAGGTTGTAGCATAAGAAAATTATGGGAAAACCTTCTGGAAAAGTCGCTAGCGGCTTAACAGATGTACACAATGTTGTATGTAATTACGCAATCGTTCTTATGGGGTAGGCAGTAGGCATTTGGTTTTAAGTAAAAAGGTTTGCTTTATCAAAGTTTTTATAAAAAAAAGTGTTTTGTTTGTGAGTAGTGAAAAAATAATGCCTGCTATAAGACGAAGCAATTTAGGTAGAAGAACCAGAAATGCTACAAACCAGTCTAATTACCGATCTAATCGTACTGCACAAGAACGTGAATATGTAAATGAACGTGAAAGAATTCGGATATCACAAACGCGTGAAGCGCGAGCGCGACATTCAACTAATAATCGCGCAAGTTTGAATCGAGCTGCTTTCAGTTACGATGTGTCAATTGACTACAGTAACTACCAATGTGTTGTTATTGGTTTTATGAACTACGTTTGCTCAAACTGTAAGGCATTAAAATACAAAAACGAAGCCAAAGGATTGTGTTGCGCAAATGGTAAAGTGAAATTGATACCATTGGATCCACCACCAGAACCATTGTACTCATTGGTTTCAGGAATAGGAACAGAATCTATACACTTTTTGACACATATCCAACAATATAACAATTGTTTTCAAATGTCTTCATTTGGGGCAACAAATGTAGTTCGGGAAAATTTTATGCCAACTTTCAACATTCATCAGGTTGAATCAAACCAAACTTCGATCTGAAGAGTATATTCACCTTCGAGATGCGATTAATACTGATGGAAATGCACAGAATGTCGGTCGGATGACTATTCTTCCATCAACATACATCGGAAGCCCACGGCATATGCACGAATATGCTCAAGATGCCATGTCGTATGTTCGTCATTATGGTACAGCAGATTTGTTCATCACATTTACATGCAATCCGCAATGGATAGAAATCAAGCAGGAGTTATTCTCTGGGCAATCACCCATTGATCGTCATGATATTACAGCCAGAGTCTTTAGACAAAAGTTAAAATCTTTAATGGATTTCATCGTAAAACATAATGTGTTTGGTGAGACACGCTGCTGGATGTATTCTGTGGAGTGGCAGAAACGAGGATTGCCACATGCACACATTTTGATTTGGTTGGTTGAAAAGATAAGGCCAAATGAAGTTGATGCAGTGATATCAGCTGAAATCCCTAATGTACAAGTAGATCCTGGATTGCATGAGGTAGTTATCAAAAACATGATACATCTAGAGAACCCATGTTTCTCACATGGTCAATTGTATGTTGCCTGTTCCCGTGTTGGAAAACCATCAGATTTGTTTATCTATGCGCCAGGTAATCAAACAAAAAACATCGTATACCACAAAGCACTACAATGATAATAATAAAAATTATGATTCACATGATTAACAATAAAGCGATTACATACTTTTAAATCCTTATATATGTTTTATTAAATTATTTTTTATTCACAACGCCCTATTATAGGGTGACGGTTCTGTTTAGGAGATTTTTTTTAAATACGTAGGCACAAAAACTGCCACATTACAAATCTTTTTGACAGGACGAAGTCTGTCGGGTCAACTAGTTAATTATGAAAATCTTCTCATCAAATGTCAAATTACAGATATAAATGTAACAAAATTGTTATCAATTGTCGAGTCTATGGCCACAGTACCTAGTTACTCCTTTCCCTAAATTAGTTATTCAGGCAGGCTCCGGTTTTCACTTTTTTTTTCTCGTTTTCGTTTTGGGCGAAAACGTACGTTTTCGTTTTTGGTGCTCCGGTTTTCACAAACTTTTTGTCATCGTTTCGTTATCGGAATGGTTCAAACAGCTGACTTTTTTGGTCAAAAGTAAACAAAGCGAAAAAATGACTTTTATATTTTCAATTGCCTGTTTTGAAGCCAAAAGAAGGCAGAAATTGATTGATTTAAGAAAATCGAGACATTTTAGATGCAGCACATGTGTTTTTAGTATGTCTGATGATCGGTAAATTAAGTTGTCTTACTTACATTTTTAAAAGTTCAAAAAAGCCTCCATCAGAAATCAGCTGTTTCCCACAATAAGGGGCTGCCACCTGTTTTGCAGCTTTCATTCCACTATTCTCAACCACATTTTTTTACTGCACTTTTGCCATTTAAGAAACTAAATTAATCATATTTATTTATAAAAAGCTTATTTAACTTTTCTTTACAAATATTTTTTTCTTCGTTTTCATTTTATAAGTATTTTTAAGTGGTTTTTTTGTTCCACAACAAGTACGGCAGCATTGACGATAACTTTTGGCAATAGATTTATCGGCCCCTTAGCAAAACGAAATTTGTTGTTGCCGACGGCAAATATTTTATGTATGAAATCAAGGTGGGGTCAGAAAATAATTATTTAAAAAATAAATACGAATTAGATTGACCTACTGATGATGTGAAATGAACATCAATAGACCAAGAAGTCAACTATTTTTTTCCTTTTGCAATTAAGAACCGATTTAATGTAGAAAAAGGCATTTACTTTTCATTTCGACAAAAAAAACTTGCCCGTTTTTGAAAACGAAAAAGTCTTGTGAAAGTGAAAACGGGAGCACCAATTTTCGTTTTTGAAAACGAAAACGAGAGAATCTTGTGAAAGTGAAATCCGGAGCCTGCCTGTATATATTGTAAATGCGATTTATGGATAATGGCTAATAACGAAATAAAATAAATAATTTTACAAATTTAATGACACATTCTTGAACTACTTTTGAATTATATTGGAAGAAATTTTTACTGAAAAATATTAATAAATAAGCTTGTGACGGTGAATCTCCAGAAACGCCTTGAAAATACTATAAGTGGTTTAGCGGTGAACATTATAACTCGATTCGCCTGAGACGCGTTCGGGTGGTGTTGGAAGTTAAAGACTGGGCATGGGTCTGTAGCTTGGCCTGATATTTATATTTCCTGAATTTATAGCTAAACAATTTCATCGCGTTTAGGTCGAGTTTAGTTATTAATGGTTAAAACCTTCTTGAAGTGACGCATCAACTATGGTTTGTCGATTTTAAAATGTACGTCAAAACTATTGAGAGTTTTCATGGGTCAGAGGTCAATGATGTCATAATTTTGTTTTATTAATATTTTGTATAGATCTTTCGAGCTTCCCTACAATAGGATAATTTAATTTTATATCGATTTCTTAATCTTTCCTATGGCGGCTATATAATATAGTCATCAGATTTTCATAAAATTAAATTAATTTGAAAACTAGAAAGGTAGCTAGCTTCGGCGAGCCGCAGCTTATATACCCTTGCAGCCATCAAACATATGTCCAACAAAATAGAAGAAGACGATGACGATTTTTCTATATTTTCTATAAATTTAAAAATTATTCACTATCACTATCTAGCACTATCTAATTTCGAATTAAATTTTATCAAAATCGGATAACTATTTCGTATAGCTGCAATATGAGAGATTGAAAAAAATATATATAGAAATTAATGGAAATAAATATATAACGTTGTTGGTTTTTCAAGTTTTTTATAACCCTTGAATTGAAAAAAACTTTCATAAAAATCGGACAACTATATCATAAAGCTGCCATACGAACAATAGTTCAACATATGTACAATTTATGGGAAAATCGTCATAGCTTCGATGTTGTCTATCGGTATAATCGATTTGGGGTAATCGACTTGAATTGTAGTTAAACAGTTAGAAAAATAACTTACCCTCATTGCTAGCGTAATCCATCGGTAAGGGCAAATGAGTCGTCGACTTTTTATCTAGTTCGTCCTGATGTTTTGATCTCATAAAATAGACTGTGCCTATTATAAATAATACTAGGAACAGGACGCCCGTCACAATGGCACCAGCAATAAATCGTATTTGCACCGAATCATCGTAAGCTGTTATTTAAGACATTATTAACATTAGTATTGACACTTAAAATCAACGTATAGAATAGTTCAATTTACCTGTGCCTTCGGATTGAAGAGTTTGGGCATAAATCATATTACTGTAAGAACCAAACCCATTTATGGTTTTGCAGCGGACTTGGAATCCATACTCTGTGTTTTCCAACAGGCCATCTATATGTGCTTTGGTTTCTTTTGTATTTAAAGCTGTCTTGTTTATGGCATCTAATTCCACCTTGGGAAACCAACGCACTTCATAAAACTCAAGTGGAGAATCACTTTGGACAGGCTTGTCCCATTCTAGATCGGCATCCCTGCTAGTTATGGCCAATATACGTAAGTTAAAAACTGCCGAGAACAAAACTGACTCAGTTGTAAAAACTATGTCGGCGTGGCTAGTCTTTATTTCATTCAAATCCAATGGAGTGTTTGAAAGCGACGTATTAGGATAGGTAATATCATCAAATGCCATTAAAGACGATTCGTTGGAGTGCCGTTTTGAATCCACAAGATACGTGACGCTATTGGTTGCGTGTATCTGCACAGTGTACGTGGTGACTGGTTCAAGGTTTGTTAAAGTTATTTTGGTTTCGTTGAATGTGTCAGTCGAGGGATTGTACATTACATTTGAACTGCACATATTGCATCGGATCTTATATACAACATCTCTATGATACTTTGGATGTGTTTCATTCTTCGTTGGGGCACTCCAAGATATTATGGCACTTGTTTGGTCAACAAACAACAACGTAACATTTATAGGTGCTCCTGGCGGACTATAGCATGGCATATGTCGGCCATCATTTGGATGTCTGTAGTATCCTGGCGTACACTTGCAAAATGGTGATCCTGTTTTCGTAGAATTTGAATTGGGCGGACAAGGCGTACATTTTGATACTTCTTGAGACTTGAATGTTCCAAGAGGACATTCTGAAAAAAAAAAAAGAAAAACAATGATGAACAACTGGTCAAGACGGTCTGTAACATTGAATTACATTAGAATCCGCTTATAGCGTCTTTCAAGGGACCGACGAGTTTTCGTCGTTATACCCCGAAGACGCACTAAGCAAAAGGATATAAGTGTATAAGTCTGTCTGGGGACCAATCAAGCCATCGAGTTTTCGTCGCAATACCCAGACGGACACTATAAGCGGAGTCGTTAAAACAGGATTCTACTGTATTTGGAAAATTTATATTTGGAAAAGTTAATAGTAGTTGTTTGAGTTTTTACCCTTCAAGAAAAAGCAAATTAACAATATACAGACCTAACAATATGCAGGTCGTTTAAAACTACTGTTAAGCCAACCTAAGTGAATAGCATCACCAACCAACAGGTCACTGTTAACAGTGACAACTCATACTACCCTGCAGGTCTGGCTGTCATTTGGTGACTCGCGGCATTTAAGCAATCGTGTGTGTAGGAAAGAAAAAGGGATATTCCTAAGTTTTCCTCTCTTTCTCACTCTTATAATACAATCGTTGCTTGATGCTAAAGTTCTTCATATATTGGATATAATATATATATAAACTTATATATATAATACATTTAATATATACAATATTATTTAAATTATTGAACCAAGGTAACCATGACATAACATTGATTACAAATATTGATAGAATATAACTCGCGTGTAATTAAAAAAGTCATATATAATATGTAATAATAAAAAATATTTTTTATACCATTTCAAGGAAGTCGGACACAAAACAGACGCTGCCCTACGAATATTCGTCAGAAGCCATTTTAAGTTGTAACCACATATAAAGGGTTAACAAATACTTTCGAATTTCATATTATTTATCAACTTATCTTTTATGTTATAAAATAAGATATTTTAATAAAATTAAACAAGAAATAAATATATACATATTTAAAAAGTTTACGAGTTGGCTATAAATTTAAATTTGGACTAACGTCTAGATTAATACTGACCTGTGCAAGTTTTATTTAAATCATTTGGTTCATAGCCGGCCTTGCAACGACAGCCACCGGTAAGAATGGTCCACTTCCCGTCACCTTTGCATAAGTAGGTTGGGGTCTCATAGGGTTCAGCGTTTTCAACGCAAGTTCCATTCTGTTTCTCGATAATAGTAATTTCTCTTCCAGTTGGCGTTTCATTAAAATGAGCGAAATTCTCAGTAACCGCTGGACAAGTGATATAATAGACTTTTACGGCCAGAACACTGATACAAGCGCCTTGATCTCTAAAGGCAAAGTAAACGCCTTTTTGTTAACGGCTATGCTTTTGACCTCGGTATTTATATCCACATCGGAGTTCTGATTAAAGCGGCCCTCTCCAGCAGCGATGCGAGCAATGAGTCTGTAACTTTCTGTTTGCCACGGAGGGGGCTCTCGGGTGGCAGCGTCGAACTCGTAAAAGAGTAAACTGAAAGTTTCCTTGCAGGACAGCGCATTTCCTGAAAATTGAAAAAGAAATAGTATTAGAATTAAAAAAACTCTTCCTGATTACCTGCGCATTTATGTGGAGAATTTGTGTTAAAAATTTTAAAAGGATCGGTTCAGAAGATTTGGAGTTCTGATGTTCACCGACTTTCAAAATAACGTTTTCGGGAAAATCGATTTAAATTATTTTTATACGTCAAAATACGACCAAATTCGATGGTTTAAAACGTTGTAACTACGTTAGTTTGACTCTTAAATGACTCAAAATTTTTACACAATATTCTCGACATATTGATTTTTTAGAAAAAAAAAAAAAAAATAAATAAATAAAAAATGTTTAAAACCGCATTAGCGCACTGAAACAGGAGCAATAAGTACCTGTCCCACCAAGGGACTGGAAGTTCTCATTTAATTATTTCTTCGTGTTTATTTTTCAAAATATTTTTGAATGTATTCAAACAATCGGTAAGTCTGGAATTGGTAGACTAAAATTAAACTTTGTAATAGTGAATTATTTAATGATCAAACACCAAACACGAGCTCAGACTGAAATGCTATAGTATGTACAGTACACATTGGAATGATTACGCAATATTTTCAGAACTATTGTGTAGCGCATCGTACAGAAGGTTTTACCGAAAAAAAAGGAAAAATAAAAATAATAAGATTTACGACCTACAGTTCTGATACAACAATTGAAATAGGAATCTGTATATAAGAAAATGAAATTCTTATCGGGATGATTGGCTAATTTTTTTTTATTTTGTTCGTGATAGTCTGCAGGAAGGGAATTGGAAGGGATATAATAAGTTAGTTGTTTTTATTATACACTGAAACTTATTTACATTTACATTTTACATTTACACAACTTTTAATGAAGTTTTCAACGAGAGTTGCAGTTAGTGACTAGTTTACAGAGAAACAGACGAAATAGATTTAGATGGTGATGCTGATCTAGAACATGTATTTCTTATAGAATCTGACTGTAATTATAGTACTTTCTGCAAAGGTTTAAAGATTATTGAGTATAGTTACCTGGGAATAAAGAACAGTCGCGTATTGTGAACTGAATTTCAATGTAAAGTCGGTTTGCTGGCCCACGATCGATAAATGGTGACCACAGCCAGTTATTAACGTTGTTATAAGCAACATCGCAAACTACATAGCTTCTCCAATTAATACCTTTCACAAAATCTGTAAATGACTCTTCAACCCACTGAAAGTAGTTGAAAATAATTGAAAATATTAGTAACTTTGTTTTTATTTGTAAGAAACAAGAGTTACTAAAGGTCATCCATCGCTTATATTGTAGGGTTTCATTATACTTGCAGTTAAAAATATATAGTTCAGGATTTCTTAAATCTAAAGCTTGTTGAGAACAAGGTCTGTTATATTTTATCTGGAGATTTTTCTATTCATTTTCCATATTTTCGACTTTTGTTCGTATGGCAGCTATCTCCGATTTTGGTGAATGTTTTTGAGCATTTGTCTGATGTTTTTGATCAGACAAGCATGATTTTTAGAATATAGTTTTCTAATAACACTCGAATTTCGAATTAAATTTCATAAAAATTGGACGACTATATCATGTAGCTTGTTCAGGCCTCTCCCGCTCTCCCTCTCCCGGAGCTTCTCCCCACACCGCATTCTCCCTCTCCCGAAACTTCGAGAGCGGGAGAGGCCTGAACATGGCTGTTATATTAACAATCGTCAAAAATATAAAAAAAAATCGACATAGCTTCGATGTTGTTTAGCCCTTATTTTTTTTGATCGACATATTTGATGACTGCAAGGGTATATAAGCTAAAATCTCCCCGTCTAACGATCTTAATGTTTTGCAAATAACTTAGGAACTTGTTACGTACCCCAGGCGTCTGGGCTTGAGGACCATATGGATACCTGGTCCACTCCAAAGTAGCTTCTCTGGTTGTATCCAACAAAACAACTGCAGAACGTTAACAACTTTTAAGTGATGTGGTTCTCTGGTTAGAAATAAAATTTATGAGAATAACGTACCTTGATCTGCATGCGTCAATTTTAGGTAGATCATTAATACAAGCAATATTATGCCTTTTAATGGCATTTTGGAAACAATTCGATATCTACATTTCGTTTTTATTGGTGCTTGAAGTACGTTTATCCCATATTGAAGTGTGCTTATGATTAGATTTTGTATGGAAGTCAGATTTGTATCCAAGGGTTTTCGTTTTATTAAATGGTTTGCTACACCTCTGTCAACAAAATTGCATTTGGATGCCATTTTCGTTTTTCAGTACTTTTCAGAGGACTTTTATTTAGATTTTACTACTCCAGTTCGAATGGTCGCAAATGTATGCGAAATGTATAATTTTGGTAACATTATACGTTATTGGTGTTTCTGGCGCAGGCTTGAAAGTAGAAAAAATATATTATTTCTCGGTTAAAAACAAATTAAATATTTTAAATTTTAAATTCAAATAGTTTTAAATGCAAGCTTATATGTACATATGTATGTGTCTTCGTTGGTACCGATATACCTGCATTTTCTTCAGCAACACACAAATGTATGTACACTTACGTTATCATATGGATACAAATTGATGGCTTGTAGGATGCTATTCAGCTCAAGGGACGCTTACTTTGATTTAGCTTTAACACTATTGTCATTATAGATTTAGAAGCTAACTAAAGATTAGATTTTAATTATTCAAGAAGTCAAAGTAATTTGAGTTTATAACTTTATTTCAACCCTAATTTACAGAATACATGCTCGGCAGTATACTGTGAGCTCTACGCGAGTTTCCAAATGTATGTGCTAAGTATGGATTTTTATTTGTTAAAAATAACTTTAACGTTTGTTATTAATGTTAACATACAAAGAATGTGTAGTGCACTTCCAAAATATCCCTTTTATCAAGTATTATTAATAAATACTCCACTATTTAGATGCTATCCAGGTGAATATTTTATGTTAGGATACCTACTATCGATATCAAATAATATCGAACCTACGGTCACACTGAAATTAAACGTATATTTATTAGCGTAAAACTTGGAACGCTGCATAAGGGCCATTGTTTCTAGAGCTATAACAAAGTTGCATACCAGCTTTTTTAAATTTCAGAAAATAATTTTTGTTCGAAATTTTTATGGGCTCCCCCCTTACAGTTTTTGCAAAATCGGATCGTCCATTTTTTCGTACCTTTTTTTCGGTAAAACCTGCATAAAATGGCCAAAAACGATTTTATCTTGACGAGGAAGGTGTTTTCTTTCATGTTTCTAGAGATATAACAAAGTTGCATACCAGTTTTTTTAAATTTCAGAAAATAAATTTTCTGATTCTGATTCCGATTCCGATTTTTTCTAAAAAATCGAAATTTTTCCCCCTTACAATTTTTGCAAAATCGGATTTTCCATTTTTTTGCCCCTTTCAAAATTTGCACAAAATGCATCCCAGCACATTCAGCTTCCTTTCTTGTTTTGAAATTTTTTTCTGGACTGAAGGGTATTTAAAAAACTAGAAGTTCTAAAAATCATGGTCGTGGGATACAAAAAAAAAACACGTTATAATCTTTTTTATTACAGTAGAATCCTGTTATAACGACTCCGCTTATAGTGTCCGTCCGGGTATTGCTACGAAAACCCCGACTTATACACTTAAATCCTTCTGCTTAGAGCGTCTTCCGGGTATAACGACGAAAAATCGTCGGTCCCTTGAAAGTCGCTATAAGCGGATTCTACTGTATTTATAAATATATTTTTCGATCTTTCCTATGGCAGCTATATGATAGAGTTATTCCGATTCTGATCATGATGCTGATCAAGATTATATACTTTATGAGGTGTCTCCTTTACTGAGTTTCAAACTTCTGACTGAAATTATAATCCCCTTTGCAAGGGTATAAAAATCATGCCTCTATGATAAAAACAACGGCGTTATAATTTATTTCCTGTTATTTTTATACCCTTGCATAGGGTATTATACTTTCAATCAGAACTTTGCGACGCAGTAAAGGAGACACCGGAGACCCCATATATTTATTTTTCGAATTTTTGATATAAATTTTTTAATCTTTCTCATGGCAGCTACATCATACAGTTTTTGATGAAAAGTAATTCGAAAGTGGTTTAAAAACCCCATTTGGAAGATGTTTGATATGTTGGACTGAAGGGGTTATATACCTTTTTGAGCGAAAAAAATGAGGGAACTTTGGATTTTTTTTCAGGTGTGTAGCAATTATTTTATGATACTGATGTTATTATTTATTGATAGTACATGTTTTTATAGACACAACAAACGTTTGTTCTTAAAATAGTACCTTGTGTATCTAGTGCGGTAAGAACGAGATTACACTCGTGTGAAGTTAGCTATACACGAGTTATACACGAGTGTGGTCTCGTATTTACCGCACGTGGTACACACGGTGCTTTATGTCCGTAAACCCCTAAAAATTTGGCATTTTGAGTGCCTGTAGAGCACTATTTAACAATAAATTTTTTTCCGAGTGAAACGTGGAGTGCGAGGGTAAGGGGGTTTGGAAGGGGGGGGGGTATTTTAACAAAAACCTCTTTCAACTTGTTATTATATATTTTCTTTATTATTCTTTACTAGTTTTAAATGCTATTTTGATGTTATGTTATGTTAAATCTGCGGTTATACACATTGAAACTGGAAAATTTTAGCTTATTCTAGTTTATTTTATTAAAAATCTAGCTTATAAACAAGCTAAATTGGCAACCGTGTAAGGCAGTGCGTTTACTAACACTCCCACAAGAAAACGTGTACATATGTAGCGGCGCGTTTGTGTTGGTGCGCAGCTGTGCACTGAGAGAAAAAAAAGTTTTAAATATTTATTTTTGGTTTTTTTTTATTTATTACGCATTGTACTTCGCATTTAAAGTTTATGCTAAAAAAAACTGCTCTCTAATTCATCACTCATTTTGATCCGCCAAAAAATTGAACATAACACTTACGATGGTCCACCACGAAATAAATCAAAAGCCAACGCAGACAGAAAAATATGTTTCAGTGCATGTGCTCGAGGAAAAAACAAAAACAAAATACATTGCGTTCAGCGAAAAGTGACGACGGATAGAGATGTAATGAAGAAACAAGCAAAATTGTTTTTGTTTCGCATGCAAATCGAAGCCCATATGCACGGTTCTTATTCGCGAACTACCCATAAGCACAGAGCATCTACAAAAAGCACCGCTGCTTTACTCTCTAGCTTTTTTTGTTGCCTTTTCATTCGGGAAGTACCGTATCTGTCAAAAATCTCGCGCAAAACTGCCTGTTAAACCGATTACGCACGGGTTATGCTTTGGTAAAGTTTCTTACGCATGTATCCCTGAAAGACAGCTGAAAACAGCGATCTACCGCACGGAATAGAGGCACGAAAAATGCCAATTTTAGGGGTTGTAGGACATAAAAATATAAATAACTTCCGAAGTTATGGCAATTCTCTCATAACCCTTTTTTTTATATAGCGGCTTGCGGTGACCACGATGGAAGTCCAGCGGGTCAACTGAGATCAATAAACCAAAAATTTTTTATTAGTTTAGTATTATTTCTAGTTCGTCATTGAATTACTTCAAGAATATTTGGTTTTTTTTGCATACAGTAACAATTTTTCCAAAAAGTTGATTTTTCGAGATCTAAAAATTTTATTAAAAAATTCTTATCTGCAAAATCGAAATTGGCGCATAAAAACTGATTCAATGACGAACTCGGCACAATCATTACGAATATTTAAAAAAAAAAATGAAGAAGATCGATCAAATAGTTCTTGTGCAATCGCGGTCACAGCAAAGGCACTTTTGGAAAAAAACGACTTTGAGATAATCGCATTCAAAGTTTTACGTTGCGTTACAAAAAGTGACGAACCGCGCTTCAAAACGCTGTTTTCCTATCGAACTATTATTCGGATCTCTTCAAAAATTTGGGAAAATGTTCTCTAGGGGATATACTTTAGGATTCAGCAAAAAAAATTTTCTTTTTTTTTAAAAAAAAGGTATATAACCCCTTAAGGGGTTATATCCAGTTGCAATTTTGAAAAAATCGAAAATTTTTTTGCCTATTTTGAATGTATATATATTTAAGAATATTGTCTGCAAATTTCAAAGTATTCCCTTAAATAGTTTTCGAGTAATGAGTGTATTTTTAAAGAAGTCTCACACGTAGTTCAACTAGTAGCCAAAACTTTAATGCGTTTTTCTCGAAACTATGTTTTCAAAGTCGGTGAGTAAAATTTCTCCGAGACGGCTTGACCGATTGACTTAAAACTTTCACAGGCTCTTCTTAGATATTTTTTTCAGGTAATGACGCGGGGAATTTTGAAATCAAAATTTTTTAAAATTCAGTATTTGTATATGCTTTACGTAATCCTTTTGGTTTTTTGTATTTCTTATAATTTAGATCAGAGATATCTTCCTCACCGCAAAACACCTTTTTTAAGTGGACCCTCAAGAGATCCTCTACAGGATCGACGGAAACCAATATTTTTTTTTTTTTGAAAATGTTTTCTGAAACTACAAAAAAGTATCTAACTTTTCATATACAACACGTATATATACAATAAAAGGCCTCTCCAGAAATAATTTACAAAAACGCTCATTTTTTCGGCCTCGCAAGTGGATATAACCCCTTAAGTGATAAAAATACACAGTAGATGGCGCTTTTCCTAAGTTTCCCTGCCTACTTTTACACGAACTGCCTTCTCGGGCAGCTTAGCAATGCTGCCTGTTTTTAACTTGCAGGTGATTATAAGGCTGAACATTCCTTCTTGTTTTCTTCGTAGATTTTCAGACAATATGCCGAAGTTAGTTTAAGCTGTGATTTTAATTTGCATCTACCCTAAACTAAATATTAACTACATCAAGCTTTCAAAGCAGGCTGAGCTAGGTAAAGTGAACAACTTTAAACTTTGTTTTGATTGCTAGGTCATTTTAGCAAATTGTTCGTTACAAAAAAACCCGATTTGAAAGAACAAACGCAGCAGGTATTAAAGTTTATTTGCAAGATAAGTTTTTCCCATTGCGCATGCTCGAGCCGAAGGGGTAGGGTTTTTGGTTTTTGGTCTATGGTGCAGTATCTGTTTCTGGCAACCCTTAGCACAATGGTGGTGCGTTGTTGCCGTTCATTTCATTTCAGTTCCGTTCTGTTTGGTTTTGGTTCCATTCAGTTCGAATTGGGTGTAATTCGCGTGAGGCCGAGACTTGATGGAACGCGGCGGTCACATAACAAACTTTAGGAAAAACCACCCACATGTGTGTACATGTGGATACATGTACATGCGTAGAAAATTTTCTACCAGAAGGTTTCTATTGTAAAAGCCAGAGTCGTTGCGACTCAGCCTATAGACTTATGTTAAGTTGATCAAATCAAAAGTTACCGTTATTGTCATACACACTTATCTTGGAAGAAATTTCTAATTATTTATTTGACATTTGGAATTCAAAGTTGGTTTTAAGAAAAAGTGAACAAAATTGTTTTTTTTTAATCCTTTAAGGGATTTGTGCTTGTGCTTTCTTTGAAATTGTTTTTAAAAACAATCATATTAAAGGTGTTACGAAACCACTTTTTTAAAGATGTAGCTTTGGGGCTATTTTAACTTTAGGTAAATACAATGGTTCGATCAGGAGTTATATTTAAGCCAATTGTGAATATGTAAAAAAAGGAAGATATAAGAAAAATGTCAGCAACCCCTACACTGCCTCATGAATGTGTGTGTGCGCACAAAAATATACTTTTGTATCTATGTGTGGTTGTGTATTTATAAAGCAACCCTTAAGGTCTGCGGCGATGGCAACGACAAAAATATTCCGTGGCAGTAATAACAAAATTAATTAATTAAATAGCCGATTTCAGGTGCCAAAAAAAATTAAAAAAAACGATGTAATATTTTTTTTTAGGTAAAAAAATGTAAATGTAAATATAAAATGTAAAAAATGTGCCAAAAAAAAATTGAAAAAAGATGTTATATTTTTTTTTAGGTAAAAACATGTAAATGTAATTAAGGACCAGCCTTACATAGGTAATTTTTTTGGTTAATAAGCCATTAGTAAAACAGGACACTTATTTGAGTTTTTTAAACGACTTTTATAAATATATAATTGATCGTCTTTTATAAATTGAAAATTTGTTTACCTCTCACATTGCAGATGCACTTGAATGATAACATCTCGAAAAAGGAATGGAGTCAATCAATGAAATAATTGACCATCAAACATTCAGCGAGGAGCTTGTTGAAGATGCCACTGAGTTCATTAATGTTGAGCGCCGAAACCTCGGTCAGATTCACCACCAGGAAACCAGAGAAACTGACACCGGTGACGACCTGGCATTGTCCATGCAAACCATGATCACCTGCCCCAGGAGGGACGGAACAAGTGGAGCCAAAAAGACTCGCCCTGGATCAGCATCAGGATCAGGATCAGCATCAGGTTCGGCACCCGATTCTGTGGTCATGGTCATCGACGCAATGAGTCAGAATGTCAGGCAGTCATCATATCAAAATGTGCCCCAGCAGCTTCAGTTGCAGTCAAAGGAAATGCCTCTGCCTTTCGGACTTCTCCAGCAGGATCGCCAGCGAATGGGCAATGGCAGTCCAGTGCATTTTGTGGAGTCCGGAATGAGTTTGGAAGGTCTGGCAGTAGATTCAATGTCGCAAGAGATGGCCATAAAGCAAGAGCTTCTTATTGTGCAAACCAAGGCTCTGGATCAATCGGACAAGCACATTCGAACGCATGCGGATGTGCCGAGCGTAAATGCAAGTCTTAGCGTGGACGTGGACGAACTGGATGAAATCTCCTCTGACTGCGTCGGTTGCCACGATGAAGGCATTACATTGAACCAACACCACCAGCAGGTCTTGGAGCAGCAGCAGCAACAGTATGGCCTAACGATCCATCATACCCATCACCAGACTAATTCTCAGGCCCATCATGGCTTGAACCATAGATCAGCCCAGCTGGAAGTGGGGCTGGGCAGGGTGCATGGAGAAGTGCTGTCGGTCATTGTCCATTCGCAGGACAGCGACAAGGATGTGGATGGCGATGAAGATGCGGATGGGGATGCGGAGGGGGATGCTGAGGATGAAGATGACGATGATCGAGACTCGCGCAGTCGTGGTCAGCTGCTTAGCCACAACTCCTATCAGACGCTGACTTCGGTAAATGATCGACTATCGCCGCCTGGATTTAGTCAAACTTCGTATGCCACTTTGACCCCCATCCAGCCCCTTCCACCAATATCAACAATGTCCGAAAAGTTCGCATACTCCGGTCACATTTCCGCAGGAGACAGCGGTGAAACGGATGTCAATGGCAGAGGAGGGGGTGTGGTTGAGGGTGCAGAGGTAACTAACCAATCTGCCGACCCTGCAGGAACAGGTTCCAACTCTGATAGCAACGCCACTTCCTCTGGGTGCAGTAATAACGATTGCAGTTCCTTTTCTGCTCTCACCGTGCCTATGGGCAGTGGGCACTTGGGTCTCGGCGTGTTGGGCGGCGTCCACTCACCCTATTCGACGTATGAAAAGCTGGCTTCGATGATCTCCCCTCCGCCCAATAACTACCTAGTCTCATGCGATGTCCATGCCTCAGTGTCGGGACGCGGTTCAAGCTCATCCCAAATACAACTAAGCCATACCGATCATAAAAAGGATTTAGCGACAGCTCACGCACACGCCCATGGACATATCGAAGTCAACGGAGCGAAGTTTACCTACACGGGCCACATTTCGGGAGGAGATAGCGTCGATACTGATGTCAACGGTGAGAAGTTCACGTACTCCGACCACATTTCTGGAGGAGATAGCGGCGACGCAGATGTCAATGGAGAGAAGTTTAGCTATTCTGATCACATCTCTGGCGGTGACAGCGGCCCTGATGTTAACGATGGAACGTATGTACATAGAGTACTAGAGTTTAAGGCTTAAATGAAAACAAGTTTTTGCTGGACAACAGGGTTTTTTGTTGCGTAACATAAATTTTTATATGGTTTACATATATGGCTTTTTAACCAAATGATTTTTTGGTTTTTTTTTTATCCTTAAATTGGCGCACCATTAAAATTTCAAATGTTCTTTTGCTATAATAAATTAATAAATTTTAATTTAATAAATTTATTAAAATATTTTAAAATTACTGAAACTTTTAGAAAAACGGCACCACAAAAACACTAATAAAAACAATCATAATTTTAAATAACGTTTTATTTTGAAGCTAATTATATAAGTTTTCTTACAAGAAGGGAAGGTAGCTTGGTTTATTCCGGCGCCTATTTATTTTTTCAAATAAATAACTAATTTTGTTAGAGTTGTTGATTTATATGTATATACAGCAATCGTAAAAAAAAAACAAGAAAGGAAGGAGTAAACTGGTGTAACACGTTAAAGATCCAAAAGTAGGGAGCTTTCGTTTAGAGTGGAACGAAATATTAAGTTTGACTTAGGTATGGCGTCTAAATATTGCTTACTTGAATGAGACACTGTGGAGTACGTTGTTTTTAAAGAATTGGGCGAACAGATCGGCTATTGCCTGATCAGTATTCAGTATTTGTGTTAAGAAAATTATAAAACTGTTTAGGATCCCGTAAAAACTGGGACCTACAACGGACTAAATAATTTTTGGATCACTGAGCGTTAAGCACGGTAAAGTTTGACTAAACAGATTTTTGTTTGATTAATAACTCCAGAAGGAGATTTTGAGAGGGCATAAGTTCCTGCATCGTTTGCTGCAGTGCCACCATTGTGTTGGTTATAGTTACCAGCATTTCTTCTACGCCATTAGGCAATTGTGTGTTTGCGGTCGTTTCTGGAATATGGTTCAATGTTTATTGCCCCACTGTATCAGGAGTGGTTTGCTGACCTGCCAGCTTAGATGCTGGGGTCCTGTTTTTATGGAGAATTGTTTCGGGTTACAGGATTTCGAGCTGCAATTGATATAAGCATATTGTTGCATATTTGTTAGAAAATATTTGTAACAAGCTTTACATTAATTATGGTGTCTAAGCAATAACGCATGTCCTACACTGTGCCTTACAGCCTGATCTGCCCCCTATATTCAACTTGTTGAAATGCAAAATTGTTAAGTGATAACATTTCTAACATTGCAAAATTTATTTTAAGGAATTGGCTCCAAATGCACCCTGAACGGGAGGTCCGACTGCATATGCCGGCTGAACTGGAGGCGCGGTTTCACAACGCAACTGATCGGAGGCCGCGTCTCAACATGCCGCCTGAAAGGAGTCACACAAATAGACACCTTACCCCAACCGCTGAGCCCATCTGCCAACCTGATTGGAAGCCGGACAACTGGAAGCATGGCAACGGAACTATTGTCAGTTTGTCCGCCGATATGCCCGTGGTAGTGTCCCTCACGCCAACGCCGCCCCCTTTGACAGATGATTCGGTGCCCGGAGTGAAATTAACTGGGCGAGTGTCTCCGAGCCAAAGAGCACAATACTTTCTCGAAAAGGGGCATGAAACCAGCAGCGTTAACGCCGAACAGTGTAGCCCAACCATCCATGGAGCCCCGCACTCAGTCTGTGCCATCCATCAGCAGCAATCCCAATCGGTCCTTCTAAACGGATTTGAAAGTGTTGGCCAGCAACCCAAAATTTCAGCATCTACCACGCCGAAGGCCTCGGCCTCAACTGGAGGAAACGTCAGCGACATGGAAGAGATCAACACTAAGGACTTGGCGCAGCGCATCTCGGCCGAGCTTAAGCGGTATAGTATTCCTCAGGCGATTTTTGCTCAACGCGTCCTTTGTCGGTCGCAGGGCACCCTGTCCGATCTGTTGCGTAACCCAAAGCCGTGGTCCAAGCTCAAGTCCGGCCGCGAGACGTTCCGCAGGATGTACAAGTGGCTCCAGGAGCCCGAGTTCCAACGCATGTCGGCTCTACGAATGGCCGCTGCCCAAATCCCCCAGCGTGCGCCCTTGGGGGCTGGCGTGTCACTTGGCTCTGCAGTGGGATCTAGTAGTTCCCCAACGACAATGCCGGCAGATCTTGATTCACATGTTGGGCAAACCATAGGTGAGTGCAATTAAAGCTTAGGTCGACAGAAAACATCCAATTATTGTGTGCGTTGCTCGCAAAGTAAGATCAAACCAGGCTGGTAAGTTTCGATTTCAGAAACTCGAACAAAATTTTATATTATATAAACTGAAAAACTACATACGAGGATATCGACAAAGGGGTACACCATAGTCAAGTGCATCGATAACTTTAAAATCTCGACGATAACTTTAAAATCCCGATGACTATTCAAACAGAAGTGCTGAAGGGCCCTATAGGTTGGTGGTTGTAATATATTTCGTAAAGTTAAAGTCTTAAAATGGTTTATAAATTCGATTTGGCTTGTGTTTACCCAAGCTTACTTTGGGATAGTCTGAAGGGCAGGTCCCTCTCACAGACTGCATTATATCTTCGATCAAAATAAGACCTTTTTAAACGCCTTTTCTATTGCCATGAGATCGAAATTTATTTCAAAACATGTGTGGCGCTGGCTCTTTGAAAATTTACTAGCAACAAAGAAAATAAATCATGGAAATCAATTAGCGACTTCCTGCTTATTCTAATAAATACAATTCCTTACAGGCCATTTGATATGTGGCATACGTAATATAATTAATTTGGGGTCATAAAAACCTGTAATTTTTTACTTTGGTTGATTCTTTTAATTGTTAAGTGGTATCAATTGCGTCTTGGGGACGTGTCTGCCTTTCTGCGCTTATTAAAAATGCTTAGAATTCCCTTTAAGTCATAAAACTCTTTCTTGCATTTTTGGCAAATGCGACTTCACTTTAAAACAAAATGAAAATATTTGTTAAAACAAAAATGAAAATCTGTTTTTTACGCAGTTTCTGAGAAATAAATTTTTGTTTTTGTTTTTGAGAAATAAATATTTCCTTATTTTCTTTAAAAATACAAGAAAGGAAGTGGTCAAAAGTACGCAAATTATCTCCGAATTCAATTATTTAAAATGGATTTTAAAGTTCAACGTATTTACTTTAATAAATTCTCTTACTGAATTTAATTTGAATTATTTATTATTTGTTATTGTTTAATTTTGATTAATACTAATTTTCTGTGCATTGTGATCGTCATTTTGTCTGTTTAAGTAGAGATTTAGATATGTTGCCCCCCGATCCCCCCTTTATAAGTGTTATCAGGGTATTTGTGAATGTTTTAAGGTAATACAAATGTATAATATTATATAATGTATATATTATATAATTGTATATAATAATTAAAAATCTCAAGCTCTCTTACCGTTTTCAAGGTCAAGTTTTCGACGCAGACTGTTGTTCTTCGTTGGTTTTTATTTTATATTACTTTTATATTACTTTAAATTTATGTTAGTCATCATTTTTTGTTATCTTTTGTTAATCTTTTAACCAAAATTAAGTGTTTAATAAATATAATTTTTGTCAGTAACGCTTTAAAAAAAAAGTGTAGTGTGCATTTGGGAGTCAAATTTTGAAGATTTTATGGTAAAGACGATGGTAGGGGGGATATATTTGGCGTTAATGGTGCTGATATTTAAAATATAATATTCATACGCTATTATATACCTACAAAAAAAAATTTCAAGTCGATATTCCTACTGGAAGTATTTTTGGTCGCCTTCTCCAAACAAGACCGACCACTGTGCATCGAAACTATGACGATTTTTCTATTAATTTTCCATATTTTCGACTAATGTATTTTGTTCGACATATTTGATGAATGTAAGGGTATATAACTAAGTATATTTTTCTTTCTGTGTGAAAAGGGTAAGAGCAAGACAAAACCAATCTCTGATTTGAGGCTATACCGTCTTAAGAAATCAAAACGAACTTTCAGAAAATGTAGTTCCCTCAGTTATGCTCTAAAACATGAAGAACACATTTTTAAATGATTTTGAAATAATTTATAACAAAAAAATTGTGATTGAAAATTCGATCTTAATTTGCATTTATTTTTAGTGCAGTAGATGTAGGTATATATACAACCAGGGACACCTAGTTGATAGAGGTATATAATATTGGTTTTATTTATTGAACAGGATTGCTTGCTTAGTCAAGCCTTGAAAAGAAAATTCTTATTTAAATTTTAATTTTTGCTTATTAACCAGTTTAAACCATTCAAACATTTATCTTTTCCAACTTTGTTCTGGAATGACGCTTATCTTCAAACCCGTATTGGCACAACCTCAGCTCCAAGTGATGAATCTATCTCCACATCTCCATCTGCACCTGTGACTGCCCTCAACAGCGTGGTTAATTGTCGACGAAAGGAAGAGCCCCACATAGAGCAAATGCCTCAGCCAAAGAAGCCCAGATTGGTTTTCACTGATCTTCAGCGACGAACGTTACAAGCAATTTTCAAAGTATGTATAAATAATGTAGCAAAACTAAATAATGTTGGCAAAACTAGAAGGGGAAGATAAATACACTTTACCTCTGACATTATAAGGATCAAGCTAACAAACCAATAGGAAAAGAATCTTGCCACGACATTTATATTTGTGATGACTGTAAGGCCAGCTAGCTTTCTATTTTGTTCTAAATATTTCAAAAGTTGTTCAGCGATTATAATTTTTTAATAAAATAAAAAGAAAGTGATTTTTAAATCTTAATATTTGTAACTTTTCAGGAGACCAAGAGACCCTCGAAGGAAATGCAAGTGACGATCGCGAGACAGTTGGGACTAGAGCCAACTACCGTGGGTAACTTCTTTATGAACGCGCGAAGGAGGTCGATGGATAAGTGGCGGGACGATGAGTCCAAAAGTTCTTTGCATCTAATGCACAATCGCCAACAGCAACAGCAACACGACGAGCAGGACGAAGACGATAGCCAAAGTCGTACACAAAATCAGAGTCACAATCACAATCAGACTTCGAGCACAAGTTTAAACCACGAAAGCTACTCGAGTCTTCATACCACAGCCATGTCGCCCCTCGGAGCCTTTGATGAGGATACAGATATGGACCTAGAGTTGGACAGCCACGACTTCGAACTGGTGGACCCCGATGAACATGGGGATAACAATGGCCCAAACGGCGATATGTTGTGACAGCATAGCCAAAGCAGACTTCAAATGTGTAATAAGCACGAGCTATATAAATCTGAGTCATTGACAAAATTTGATAGGAACCGCCTTCTTGATAGCACCCAGTCCCGTACGCACACACCTTCGATGAGAGCAATGAAAGTGAATATCCGTCGTATATTCAAGAAAAGATATTCAGATTATAATGGTAGCTACAGCGACGAGGCTGGATATGACAATGAGAAGACTTCGGAGTATTTTCTTACGAATGAAGGACTATCGGATGACAGGATTGATCTAAACCAGGGGCTTCGAAAAGTCGTACACGATCGAGGGTCCAATATTTTTATTGATGACGTGGGCTTCAGTTGCTTGGATGACCTAAAAGTAATGATAGTCTGCTGAGCACCGAAGAACAAAGTTACTGCGTCCATTTTAATAATTGCCTGCTCACTGATTTTAGAATGGTTCGAAACATCAGCAATTGATTGACCACATTCAATGTTATAAAAAGGTTTTTTTTTTTTTTTTTTTTGTTTCACCTAAACCTATACCTTTTTTTTTTAAATTTATAATCACAGTAAACACGAAATAAAAACTAGAAACATTAAAGCAAAAAAACAAGTATAAAAGCGTTGGGAAAATAACCCAGGAACAACAAGATTAGATTCATCCATAGATACCAAAAATGAAGGGCATTAGTTGTACCCTTAGTAGTTGTGCTTATTACGATTTGTTAAAAACAGATATTATGAATTTTCCTATCGATTTTCTAATATTTTATATGGCAGCTAACCAACCTTTAAAAAATTATAAACCTTGTATCGAACTAGATTGCTTCATCCGATTGCGTGTACGTTAGAAAACAATGAGCTTTGACTATTATCGAATTAGTTTTCATATATTTTTCCGAATGTTCCCATATAATCCTATATGATGATTGCGTACAAACAGACAGACTGACATGGCGGGAGGGTGATGCCCATCCATACTGCGGTCGCAGTTATTCTATCCCCTGCAAGGGTGTAATAACCTGCTTGGTTAGTGACAACCTGACCAATACTTCTGTCAGAACTATACATACTAGTTTAAAAATATTGATTAAAAATGTGGATTGTAGACCCTTTTTACCTGTTTGAATTATTATAAATTATTTTTCAACTTTACAGATAGTCAAATTCTAAAGCAGAAAGATTCGTAAGAATTCTTTTTTTTTTCTTTTTTTCTTCCCCTCACCATGCAAATCTTTTCAAAATAATAATAAAAAATTAACATTTTTATTTAAAATTTAAGTTAAACATTTATAAAAGGTAGTGAACAACAATAAAAAAATATTGTAGACCAACATTTTTGAATTTTTTAAAAAATAAACACAATTTTTTTAAAATAAGTTTTTGGAAAAAGCAACATATAACTACAATTATTTTCCGAATTAAACTTTGTTAATACTTGTTTTTTGCTTTTTGTACTTATTCTATATATTTTCGGATTTGTCTAAAAACAAATTAGGCCAATCGGTAAATGTAAGGAAATGTATTGAGTCACGATTTTTTGAGAGCCTTCAATTTTGTATAATGACAATAGTCATTGGTAATAATGTAATTTATGATGGCAGAACGGCTATTGGCCTTAGATAAATAGACAGGAGGTAATTGGTAAAGTAAAAGTGTGTATGATTGTAGATATATTAGATTGGATTAAATTAATGAAATGTAAATGGTAAGACCCAAGAAAAAAATAATAACTGTATCTAGTCAAATTTTTTAAAGCATAACAAATTAATTTACACAGTGCATGATAACATATATATCAAAAAAAGAATTATATAATTCGCTAATTAATTCTAAAATACTCATACACACTTAAAAAGATTTAAATGTACCTTCATATTTCAATAAAAACAATAGAATAAAATATTGGTTTTAACGGGAATATGTCAAAGCGAACCGGATTAAAATTGTGAATAGGATATACTTTATATGTCGGGTTACTATAATATAAAACTGTAAATATGCTAAATTAAATAATAATAATAATAAAAAAACCAGTTAAGTTTGATTCCATAACAAATAGCTTACTTCATGGAAGAAACTGCAATAAATGAATATGATTATGATTAATTTTTAAACAATACCAAATGCTTAAACAATACTCAAATGCCATCAAAGTGGGCAGTATGTTAATATCTTTAGGATATAATATGCAATATGCAATAAGAATGCGCCTCTCTGTGTATGCTAGTCAATTTAGTTAAAACAAAATTTAGCAACATACTGCGAACGAGAGGTAGACATATTTAAGCACATTTCTAACTTAAGTATTTATGTAAAAACCAAGCAATGCAATAATAAATTAAAAGCAAACTTCATTTTGTAATAACTTTGTCTGCGTAAGTGGTGCAAAAGAACAAAAAAAGACTTTTAGTGTTGAATAAGCTTAAAATTAGGCAGCTAAAATGTGAAAAAGGAAGTAGGTTCGCAAAGAAAAATCTTTTAGGTGGTGGTTTTTGGTCATATCAACTATTTTTTTTTAGATGGTATATTTAAACCATTATCGAATTTCGTATTAAATATTATCAAAATAGGATAACTATATCATATAGGAAAAGATCAATAATAGGAAAGATCGAAACATCTATACTAATACTAGTAAACCCAGCGAACTCCGTTCCGCCACCAGATGGCGATAGTTTTAGGTAAAACTTCGTTTGGTGTTTAAAAGATAAAGAAAATTTTTTTTTGTTTTATATATGAAAAGGAAAAATTTTATTTCGATACCATTAAAACTTTGGCCATTTCCGAGTGTTTTGCAATATTACACGTTGGTTCCTCAATAAATTGAAGATTTAACGGTAATTTTAATGCTGAATGAGCCGTTTGGCATCCTTCTAACAATATGGCTGCTATTCCCAAAGAAGCAACTGCAACAGCTATGTTGGATCTCGCCCGAACAGTTGCTAAAGCTAATGACATGAGGAATGTCTTGTCAGTACCACCAGGGGCATCTAGGAAATATAAACCACCATTTTCTTCATCGATTGCCTTCATTAAAGTATTATAAACTTTCTTCTGTTGGGAATTCAACAGGGGTACATTCGCTTGAACTAATAAATTTAATTCCTGGTGATCATATTCACGTTCCCGTTCTAATTCTCGATTAAATGCCTCATTCATTTCACGATTTGGCGCTGGCATTCTAACCTGATTAATATATTACCGCACCTGAGGTAACACATATATTATCTTCGATCAAGAGTAAAACCCGATAATGTATCTCCTCATTCATCAAATTGTTCACAATCAGGATGGCGACTTCGTCTATTGTTGGAGCATTAAATGTCCTTTCGTGTGTTCCAGATGGTCGTTTATCTGCTTTTATGACAACTTTATAGTCATCATTTGGCATGCGCTCTAAAGCACTCTTAAACAACCTGACCATCGCATGATGTTCATGAAGCAGACACTGCATGTCTTGAAGAATTGCTCGCTTCATCCCTTCATTGATCGCTAGACGTCGATCAAGTTGTTCTTCCATGTTGCCCATGAAATATATTTGTAAAAATTTTTTTTGTGTATCTTCGAAAGGTAGTAATGATCCAATTCGATGGTGAATCTGCCCTTGTATCTAAGATAAAGTAAGTTATTCTTTAACTATATTCTATGTAATACAAACAAAAAAAAAACCTTAAATGTCGGATTAAATCCTCGTTCTTCGATAATATCTGCCCCAAATGACGTCATTTGGAAACAACCATTGTATTTTCGGGTATTTGCAAGAAAGTGGCGTGATTCTTGTGTTTCACCACAAAGCAACGAATACAATGGCTCAGGTGGTGGAGTCAACAATGGCAATTTAACTTTACCATTAAAGCAGCATAATCCAGGCGTTTCTCCGGAAAACTTCAGTGCACCGCAATACTCGCAAACAACGTCCATTTGCCCAATGCAAACGCTAGGATGCAAGCTGTAATCAGTGATGCAATCGTATTGAAACGCTGCTCGATTCAAATCAGCACTTGATAAATTTCTTCTGCGTCGCAAATGATCTATTTCTTGACCTCTGTTGTAAGCTCGACGATTCTGCATTGTCAACCGAGCCGTATTACGGATTGCCTCTCTTTGCTCTGCTGATTGAGAAGCACGAAGTCGACCCATACTAACGCGGTTCTGTTCGCGTTCAATGTTTTGTTCTTCTTCAGACCTTCCATTTGCAGTATTTCGTAGTCTTCTTGCATTACGGCTTTGTCGGGAAAGATTCGATCGTCTTGGTCGCGGCATTATTAATTAAACTTCCCTTCACTTCAATTCACAAAAAGCACGAAAAACTTCACTTCACTTCAATTCACCAAAATCACAAATAACTTCAATTCACTTCAAAAAAATTGAGTTAAAATGCTATGGTAGTGTGCTTGTCAGTGTGATGAGGTAATAACTCAGTTTATATGCGATTTTTGGTATGTCGAACGGAATAAAAAGTACCCTAAGTCCTATTCCGGGCTCTAAGCTACCTTCCAACCAATTTTCAGCCAAATCTGTTCAGCCGTTCTAAAGTTATAAGTGGTGTAACTAACACAACTTGCTTTTATATGTATAGATTATAAAGAGGTAAAATTTGTTTGTTTGTTTGTTTGTTTGTTTGTTTGCAGCGAATAGGCTCCGGAACTACTGGTCCGATTTAAAAAATTCTTTCACCGAAAGAAAGCTATATTATCGTGGAGTTAAATAGGCTATAATTTATTTTGAAAAAAATTAGGGATCCGTAAGAAAATTGCAATATTGTCGCATATCAAGTGAGTTGCTTCGTCATCACACTGACAAACACGCTACCATAGCATTTTAACTCAATTTTTGTGGTTTTCATTTATCATTTCCAAGTGAAATAAGTTTTTTCATATATTTGAAAAATGTTGCAACATTGACTTTTGTGTTGTTGAATTGTGTTGACCAGCGAAGCGGACACAGGACCTCTAGTACTTTATAAATACTTAATACATTTATGTAAGGCAAGTATCTTAGCACGCTATGCATGTATTAAAAGTTTAAGGCCCTTTAATTGTGGTAATATGTAATTTCTGTTGAGTACCACTAATACTTAAACAGCAGGAAACGGAAACAGAGATCATGCAGTTATCGCATTGAGAGTGCGAGAGAGCACAGCAAGAGCAAGAGAGAAGACAGCCACTGCTCTCCCACAATTTGAACCACGTCAGTTATTAATGAGCGCAATGAGCGAGTGCCACACTCTAAGCTTCTCTTTCGCTCGCGCTCTCCCACAATTATACACCGCTTACGCTCAAACCTACTCATTTGCGGTCGCTTACGCTCAGAGCCTCTCATTCTCGCTGCGCTAGCGCATGGTATAATAAGTATAATTCTACCATGCGCTAGCGAGTGAACGGCTGCGTCAGTCGATCGCGCTGCCATACGATTCAGTTAGTCATTTGATCTCGAGTCGGACGGTTCGCGCGCGGAAGATTTTTTGGGAAAATGTCGCGAAGTTCGGAAAATCGATGTATATGATCGGGAGTATACCGAAAAGTGATTAAAACACCAAGCAACCACTGAAGAATGGAAAAGTAAGCTGCTATTAAAGATTAACTGCAAACCACATCGTGAATTACGCCTGATGTCCGCAAGTGTGCGTGTGTGTGTAACAATGTTGAACAAGGTGGAAGGCCAACTTTTTAAATCCCAAATAATCTGAAGGAAGTACGCCGCTTGGATTACAGGGTAAATAGAGGAAATTATGTCCAGGATATGCGGGGTAAGTGAAAACGATATATAATAACTCAATCCTACTTAATGAGTAAAAGAAATATTGTAGAATATAAGAAGTTTCCTCAGGTTAAGAGACAAATCAGAAGGGCTTGACTAAATCCCATTATAATTTACTAATCTTATAAATGAAATTTCGTGTCACTGATTTCGTTCCCATACTCCTCCGAAACGGCTATACGGATTCCCATGAAATTTTGTGAGCGTATTGAGTAGGTCTGAGAATCGGCCAAAATCTTTACTTCGGATTCACTTTCATTTACTTAGAGAAGTACAACTAATATTTTTCCTTTTCATATTAAAAATTACATTCTTTCACTCCACCCGGGAGCATAGAGCCTCTACAATTTCTTGTAGAGGATTCATTTATCTTTGATTTTTTTCGATCGTACTGGTGATAAGCCAGTAGCGACTTATCCTAGCGGTGGGGTTGCCACCTGGCGCCATCTAGGAGTGACGAAAGTTCTATTGTTGGGTCCATAGTAACGTGGACGAGGGGGTGGGAGGGGACGGGTCCGGGGAGCCGAGATTTGTTACTAAAAGTTTTTTGGGTTGGCCAGTACCATTACCTTACCTTAACTTCAGGTGCCCAAATATTTTATGCCCCTTTTTAATTTAATTTTAATAATTCATTTTAAAAATCGTTCAAAATAAAGTTTTAATTATTTATTTATTTTTAGAACGTTCAGCTTTAAAATAATGTGTTAATAACACGTGGTAACGATTTCTTTAAATTTATACATAGTTGGTATATTGGTGTATTATATATATACATAATATATAATATAATATATTATATTAAGAACAAGACTAATTGATATTTTAACTTCAACAACACACAAGACGTCAACGAACATTAGCTTGAGCAAGGTACTTCAGTAAAGAAATATGTAGGTATTTAAGCGTAAGACATATTTAAAATAGATCCTACCACCCTGGCTCACAATAATCTTAGATTATAGTAACTAAAATAATTGTTAACTTTTTGTGCATTTCAAATGCCATATTCTATAATACGATAACAGTGTCTATCTATAATAATGAGCTCTAAAATCACCATCCTGATATTGAACTTTAGCTTTGAATCAATCCCAAGTTTTAGAGGGGAAAATTGTCTTTTTAACTTTAAACAGAAGATGTCGCATTTTGAGCACTGTCGATTGTCAAGCTAGATGCACGCAAGCTAAGTGAAGCCAAAGATAGGTTACTATGATAAATGCCTTTGGGGGACAACAAAGTGGTACTCTCGGTTCCCTGATTCCCTGGTTTGCCACCGTGACAAAACACATTCGATGGTAGGAGAACGTCAGAGTTTATTCCAAGGAGACCGTCGACCGATAAAGCATTCGCATTGAGGGTAACCGTGACGGCACTGCCCCCGTCAGTACTTTCGCTCTCAAAAGGTATACTGTCACAAAGATGTGTCCGAGAGTTCATCAGCTTATTGCAAGCGGGACACGATCGCGGTGTGTTTTTGTCTCGACGTCGTAATATTTCGTAAGCACATCTGTGGACAAAATAAACAAGGAAATCAAGTTAAATTCGATATGTATTAAATAAGCAACAATGTATAATATGTAGGGGAGACCGGGGGGAGACATCACAAATATTCCGCTCATGCCGATTCTTTATGTCTTCCCAAATCGCAATTCCAATTTTGTGATCGAAAGTTTTGTTGACCGTTCGTGTTTGCTGTCTTTTCGCTTTGTTTTACAAGCTATTTGCGAGAGTGCATATATCCGAAACAATCCTTGGTGAGTAGCCTTTTGACGCACGGAACAAATTTTGGATAAACATTTAACGCGTCCGTAAAGCAGTAGCCATATTTAAAATATAGCTATTGGGGGGTCGTGAGACATTCTATTACCGCGTCATCTAGGAACATAAAATTGTATTTTATAGCCTGATATAGTGTTTCTGTACAAAAAAAAAAAAAAAAAAAAAAAAAAGTTTCATGATAATTTTGATATTTGGATGGATTTTTTGATGATCGTTTTTTCTTTTTTTAGTCATCATGGTGCGTCATAAGTATAGTCAGACTGCCAAATCTGCGATTGATGTCAATGTTTTTGTGGCTGCTATAAAAGAGGTTGCTATCGAGAAAAGGCCGAAATCTTTTCAATTTGAATAAATTGTAGACCACAAAATATGCCTTATTAAAGATTAAAATAAACAATTTTGATAAAATTAAGCCATTTTTATTCTTATAAATTTCTGTCTCACAACCCCCCGAAACATTTCGAAAATCCATAAAAAACAACTTTTGAGCAGGCAGGCAAAACTTGAAGGTCGAACTAAAATTTCAACTAATTATACTCTTGTCTGAATGAAATTACACTGAATCATGATTTAAAAATTTGTACGGGCAGAAAAATGGCTTTTCTATTATATTTTTTGTCAAAAAACAAAACCCGTCTCACAACCCCCCCGGTCTCCCCTATTTGCTAACCAAGATTACTATATTAAAGTGAATTAAATTCCTAAAATGTTCATATGAACAAATAAAAATATTATTGTAATAGCAATAAAATTACTTAAAATTACCTTGCATGAAGAATATGTGCACATGGCAGAGCTTCCAAATTTTCCGGCCGAAGTCCAAACAACTCGCCACAAACACCGCAGTTTAGGCCAAGAGCTGCATCCGTTTGATTGGCCAATCGAAAATGTGTGTTATACTGATCCTCGTCACCCAATGCGCGGTATATAAGTGCCAATCGACAACGAATTTTGCGAACCAAAAACTGGAAAACAGAGAATATATCATATGTGTTTGTTTACGTAAGGTGGCGGCAATAATTAAGAACATTTGTTTTTAATTAACTTACTTTTATTTTAATTGAACATTAATCATTTCAAAATAAAACAATAAAAAATTACCTAAAAATAAAAATGAATATTTCTCAGGTGGAGTGCTACCTTACAACTCTATCTTCACAGCTGAAGCCTTCGCCATATTACAAGCCTGCCTCTTCTCCACGAAACAATTTGAATACTTTGTTATCTGTACTGATAGCCTTTTCACCTTATGCAGATGCTTTAAGGAACTGGGGGCACACCGATCCCACAATCGTGGAGATTAGAAAACTTTCCACCACCAACAAGATAACTCTTTTATGGACCCCCAGCCACCAAGGAATCGTTGGCAACGAACTGCCAGATCAGGCCACCCAGGACATGAGACTAAAACCGTCTTTTCTTTTTACACCTTTCAACAGCAAGGGCATAAGAAATCGAATCCAACTTCACCTTAAGGATAAACAAATTGGTGAATGGCAATTACTTGACCACCGATATTTTTCCATTAATAATACCTTCACAAGAATTTCCCAGCCTGCCTACATCTCCTCACAGGAACACAACGTCCCGTCTGCCACCTGCTTAACTCATGCCGTCTTCTGGAGAGCGTCAGGGCTCTTATTTTCAAAGAACAAAAACCTTCAGGCACTTTAAATATAGTTTCACAAGTACCTTCACAAATCCGTTGTTAAAACCAACCTAAATATTTAAGTTTTTTGTATTGGGAAATAATGTTAAGAAACTATTTACGAATTACCAAAATAAACTGAACATTTTAGCATATGGTTTTTAAGTAAATTTATAGATTATTGTTAACTATAGTAGTTCATTATTACCTTCGCACCAATAGAGCTGGCAACTTCCAGAAGTCTGGTGTTGAATTCCAGGGGTCTACAATTGCAAATTTTGTTTTGAAGACGCAGTGTTTCTAGGCAACGGGCTGCTCCGTCCATAGCCTCCATTTGAGCCATCCGATCACCCAAACTTGCTGACGTGCCCATTGCTTGCTCGTATTGCCGGAAAGCCCGCTGAAATATTGTGGCCAGACAGTGTAGTATAATAATAATTATAAAGGCGTGCACTAAACTTGTTAAAAAATGTGCAGCAGGTCGAAGAAAGCACTTTGAAGAAAACTATTAGAGCTACAATATTGAAATTAAACATACGAATTCAAATGCTGAATAGTGTCACGACCACGTGACATAGTGTCACGCCCACGTGACATTAAAACAGGGCTGGAAATGGTTTTGGGAAATCTTTAATTCACTGCTAGGTGTCAGACGACTATAGCCTATCAATCGGTAAGCAACTTAACTCAGAAATTTGAAACGCAGAAAAAAAAGACAGCTCAGAGCCAATTAACTATATAAAGTCTTGATCAGCTTCACTATCCTAAATAAGAAGAAATCTTTATAAAAACCGGACGTCTTTATCATAAGACTACAATGGAAAAGTTAAGACAATAAGCCCTGGAAATTCGAATTAGAGTTCATAAAAATCGGATGGCTACATCTTAAAGCTTAGTAGCATCGTACAGCTGCCATAGAAACGAAAAAATTAATAAAAACTAGCAACACTTGAGATGAATATATATAGGACTTTATCGCTGACTTTGTAAGGATCAAACTAGCAACATGACAAAATCTTGTTAATATAGATTTTTATTGGATATAAAGCTTCGACCCGCTGCTTCATTTTTTTTTTTTTTTTTTTAAAATATTTTATGGTGTAATAAACTGAATTGATTCTGCTCTAGACTTACATCAATATCCATTTTTTTTCGGTAAATGTCACCTAGGACGCGAATACTTCGTGTGTAAGTAGCCTGATCTCCAGAAATAAGCGAAAGTTTTGTAGCTTCCTGAAACAGAATAGCAGCAGTGGTAAAAACATTTAAGGTTGAGAAACAAAGTAATTTTCGAATACCTTGCAATAGTCTTGTGCATCTCCAAGTTCACCCTGCTTTCGTAGAGACACCGCCATGCGCAATAATGCGGCTCTATGGTGGCATGAGTTCAGGTCACCAAGTTGCAGGGAACGAGATAGATCGTATGCTTTAGAAGCATATGTTGCGCTTTTATCGTGATCCTGAAGGCGACCAAAGAGCTCAGACAGTGCTACATACACTTGTAGCTCCAAAGATGGATCTCCAATAGCTGTTGCAATCTTGTAGGCTCCTTGTAATCCTTCTAGTGCTCTAGAAAATCCACCCATTTCCAGGTACACTTGGGCCACCGTTAAATGGACAAGACCACTCCTGCACTTAGTGCCACACTCATTGTAAAGTGAGTGCCTCGCATAGCTCAGGGATCGCTCTAGTCCTCCCAAGCAAGCGTGTGCCCTACTGAGATTTAGGTACGTCTCAGCTCGCATGTTCGGGGAATCCAACTCTTCTGAGATTCTGAAGAATAAAAATACACGAAAGGGGTATGTAGTCACTGATAACAAAATCTCTTATTTTTAAATCTTGGTTTTCCAACAGGCAAGTGATGAGACATATCCCAATATTTCGACTGACTGACTTATTGAACTTACCCCAGCTGCTGATGGCCAAACTCTATAGCCTCGCGAAACTTTCCCCAGTCCATGTGGGCCTGGTACAAGTAGCCCAGGAGCTGAAAGCAGTCCTCGCGTTGGCAGGTGCATTTCAGGGCACTACGCCATGTGCGTACGGCCTCCGTTTGGTTGTTTTGCTCATAGAGGCGTCTTCCCCGCTCGATCTGGACAAGAAGGCTGCTCAGATAAGTGATATCAAAAGGCGGTGTTTTCGATGGCATACCTTTCGTTTAGCTATGTACTGCTTCAGACTTTGTTGACAGGACAAAAAGCAACTGATCACAGATCCTGAGGGTAAACGTCCCTGACTAGCCCACAATGAACGGGAGCCTACCTCTGGACTGGACCCGTAGCCGGCCAATCGGGAAAAGCTCTCATCCAGCTGACGCAAGTCTGCAAAGATTTTGAATATTTATGGGATAACCCTTGAGTCGAGAAAAAATTCATTAAATATAGGAAATAGGAAAAACAGAAAAATCTATATAGAAATAACGCAAATACAATTTATAACATCGTTGTTTTTTATCAGACAAGCAGCATTTCAGGAATACAGAGTTTTCTTATTTTTTTTTTTTTTTTTTATTTGAAAAAATTCATAATAAACCTGTACCATACCGTTTGAATTTCCCAATAGATAACGTGATCCATCGGGTGATGTAAGTAAATGCGTTGCAGACAGATTTTGGCTAGCTGGGATGCTGTGATGAAACATAAATTGTATTTAATTATAAATAAAGATAAATAAAATATATTATAAATATAAATAAGCAAATGTATTTAAATACCTTAGCAGATCCTTAGAATTAATGCTCTCCCATGACATGACAAACTCCTTTGCTTAAATATATTGGAATCGCACTAAAATTAAAGAAAAAAACTCGTTACTCCTAGAGTAAGAGGTTATAGTGCATTTCTTTATTGGGTTTCGAGAATTAGCAAAAAAAAAAAACCCGTAATGTATTCTTGAAGAGGACAATTAGACGATCAATAAATAATAATTTAAGCTGTTTGTATGTTCTTTATAGGGAGCTTTATATTTTTAGGTTTAAAAGGCAAAGCATTTTGAGATTTTTTATTTGGATTCTTAATTCTTTAATAATAAATAAATAAATAAATAATTTTTACTGATAGCCTTTCCACCTTATCTATTTTAATTAATCGATTAATCCAGAGTCTCTCTTTAAGAAATCCATTAGATTTAGTATTGTATACTAGATTTAATTTTGTTGAATAAATAAATATAATGTTTGTTTTTCAGTCTCTCGTATGGGAGCTATCCGATATAGTCGCCTGATCCGTTTCGACTTATAATTAATAATAAAAGAGAAGAAAATTATATCGAATGCTCTCAGCACGTGACACGTAAGTTGATTAGTTTTGAAGGATTATACTCCAATTCTCAATTTTCGAGGTAGTTAAAAAATTAATTTAATTTAATCAAAGTCTGTATAAGAGAAATATAAAATCGTCACATAAATAAAGCTACTTAGCCTTACTAACTATGTATTTTTATGAGTATGTGTATTAATGCCAAGTAAGCATGCCATTTGACGTCACACGGTTTACCTTTATTATCTTTAAATTATTTTAAAGAACTTATATTAAAAACCTTCGCGCAATGCTCACTTCAGTTCTCTACTGTATAAATGTATTTACAATAATATACACAGAACGTTTATTACTGACAATTACACAAAAGTTTGGCAATTATCCTTAAAGCTTTACATCTCTGCCGAATCTATATCAGGGAAAACCAAATAAACTGTGTTAAAATTGTCCGTCGGATAGTGACTAGTTCTGGTATGCCTTTATTTCCTTTTTTCCTTGTTCAAAAGTATGATGGGTGGTGGGTTTTTATCAACTGCAGGAGGCTGCGCAATAAGGACTCAAGAAAAATAACTTGTATCATTGGTGGTTTAATCGAACCAGTGATAACCAATAATATCGAACCAAAAAATGAGTAGTCGAGTGCCTTTTCATGACCATAAGGAACCCAATCTTAACTGTTTTGTTAAAAAACATGTACCCTTTATACACCTCAAACTTATAGTTCTAAAATCTTGGGTATCAAAACGCCAATGTCAGATATCATATAGTGTATCTTATCTGCCAACTCAAATTGGTTACAGTCGACTCTCGTTAATTCAAACCTGCGATAATTCGAACCTCTCTATAATTCAAAGTTATCACGAGGTCCCTACAAAATCTCTTTATATTTCGAACTAAATCAATACATTTTCATACACTTGGTAATTCGAACGAAAAAATCATTGATATTTAACAAAACCACGCGTTAATTCGAACTCATCAGCGTCTAACACTCGACAATTCAAAGTTGCAGAGAAAAAATTTTGCGACAAGTTTAAACTTGCCTTTGTTTTTGTTTTGATTATGTAGTTTTTGACGCACACACTTCTTACGAATTGGTTTGTGTAGTTATTCAGTTACTGTTACTCTTTCGTTGGTATGCATATTAAAAGTTAGTGTTAGCTATGAGCCCTAGAACAAATTTCGAACCATTTGATATTTCAAACACTCGATAATTCGAAATATTTCAAGAGTCCCTCGAGTTTCGAATTAACGAGAGTCGACTGTATATACTTGGTTCTTTGTCGTTGACTTAAGCGGTAACATGGGTTTTTTTCGGAAAATAACAATATATTTTCAATAATTTTTGTTTTTAAGTTAGAAATAAATATAGTGTCAAATTTTTTTATTGTTATAAAGATATACTTTTTAATCTAGAATTTGGGCAGGCATTGTAACTCCATTTCAGTCAATCCCTCAGGATCATCGGAAATGAAAAAAACAAGATAAGCAGCTAGCTTCGGAAAGCCGAATTTTATATACCCTTGCACTCATCAAATACAACGAAAAAAAAATACATAGAGGCTAAACAACATCGAAACTATGAAGATTTTTCCATTAAGGCTAGCTATGAGTTATTCAGGGTTCGCTATTTTGAAGAATGGTGCTGGTTTCTGGCTATAGGTAACTTCCAAATTTATCCAAATTTTGGACATTTCTGGGTTATTTTCGGTTTAATCGTAGTACGTGGATAATGTTTTTCTCTAATACTTCGATCTTCCTTCTAACTGGATGTTAAGTTTAGACGCCACTCTTGGGAAATCCTCGGACTTTAGCAGGTATATCATACTCTTCTGTTCACCTGTTAGGACAACGTTGGGCGCCAGATGTAACGAACTGATTTTGTTACTTTGTGCTCGCTACGGAATTGTCCGGCTAGCTCAGTAGATTTTGTGTGTTCGTTCCCCCAAAATTATATTACGTGATTGCCCATTAGGTAAGTTAAAAGACAACTTTAATTTCCGGTTTAAAGTATTTATTCGATTTATCTGACAGAATACTGGTTTTCGGCATGTTCCTCGAGACGCCTCCTCTGGGTGTATCAGCCTTACCGATAATCCCGTTAGATTGTCACCGATGATCCTGTTAGATTGTCACCGATGATCCCGTTAGATTGTCACCGCTGACAATTCGGGTGGTTCATGTGGGGAGTCTGACTATCTGGGCTTCGGGAAGCGTCCCAGTTCTCAGACTAGGGTGAACAGGTGATCCTTTAAATCAGGTTCCTCCTTTGAGATTTAAAAGACTGTATTATATCTCAACACAATACAACTTATCTCAATATACACATTAGGAGAGTTAAATCGCTACAAGATCTGATCCATTTCTTGTTTTGTTGCAGCTGAGTTGTTAAAAGTCACGAAAATCCCTGGAATTGCGGATCGGCGTGAGTCTCCCAACCATTTGAAAAGATTTCAGAAAAGGCGGTAATAAATTTGAAATGGTTTAAATTGAAATGTAAATTTAAAATTCTTTTATTTTCGATAATACATTTTAGCTCGCTTTGCTGTCTGTAATGCTCATTCATAGTTTTGTCATATGCACTTGCTTATGTTACTCCTTAAACAGTATAAGTAGGTATAAATATGCTGAGCTACTATTAAAAACTACATTATACTCTTCTTCTCTTTCGGTAACATAAAAATACAAATGCATACCAGAGTCAATGCATGCTGTTATACTGTTATACTCTGCTCTTTCGGTAACATAAAAATACAAATGCATACCAGAGTCAATGCATACTGTTATAATTTGTGTATACAATCGTATTAAATTATATATTTGAACAGATCATTGTTGAGAATTCAAGTTTTTAAGTTTTGAATTATTACATTATTACATGGGTTTACAGTTATTTGTGCATCGTCATTGTATTTTATAAAATCAAATAATTTCATGTTTAATGTAAACAATTTTTAAAGGACTCTATAGCTTTTGTTGCCCCAGCAACGATCACAAAAAGTTAAGAGTGCATTTTAACAAAAAGGTCGAAATATGACGATCAGATCAGAAAATATTTGCCGTAATGAAACATACTCTATGCCATCAAGATAATGATAGTGTTTGTACGAAAAAAATGATTTCTTAAGATGGAAACTAAACTTGCCGAGTCAGTTGTTTTAACTTAGTAAACGTATCTTATTCTGTTTTTTACGATCGCAGACAAATGCTAGTTACTTATCGAATTTTTGGTGAGCCATTCTCCTTCCTGACAATTTCAAGAAATCTGCTGCTGCATATTAAATTGTATTTATGTAATGTGTGCTGTCTGAATATGTGTTATCCTATCGATTCGTTATATTATTTTGACTCTTGTCTTATTATGTAGCTTGTTATGGTTCTATTGTATGTCTCTATGTATGATTGTATGTAGTATGTAATGTGTGGGTAGTATGATAAAATAATTGAATAAGTAACAGGACGGTCCGCATTCATATTTTTCTGTCAAGGTAAAAATACCTTTAAGGCTAACCAAATAAATATATTTGAAGCTTTAAAGGCTACCATTACCTTAGCTATTCAGTATTAAAGGTCGTCACTCATAAAATGGGGCTGGCTGATTTCGGTTTCAACCGCTGGATCGTAATAAATTCGGTTTAGTGTTCAGGTTTGCTGTGGGCAGTAAAAGGTTCCAATTGCCCAGAGTTCGAAAAAATCTGGAAATTAAAGAATTCAAGTTCTTAAACACAAAGCACATGTTCCTTAAAAACTCAAAATACGAAAACGACCAATCTTACATTTAATGCACAAAAAGTATGTTTTATATCTAACCGCAGCAAAATAAATAAATTTTAAATTGGAAATATGGGATGTAGTCTGTTTTCTGTCTATCCTCAATTATAATTTGTAAATAGTTAACTCGCTGTGGCAAATTTAGTTATGCCTGCAGTATCAACACAGTATCGGACTAAATTATAGACACGTTTATGTAATCACGTTCTAATGTATTGAAGTAATTACTATATATAGACTATGTATGTAAATTGTAACCCTTTTATTTTCACATAAAGGTAGCACAAGATGCTTCAATGTATTTTTTTTTAAATTATATGATTTTTAAATAATTTTGGTTAAAATAAATTTACAGAGTTTATAACGTTTCACCTAAACATTTCTTGTATATAAGTATGCGTTTGTTGTTTGTATATATACATATATTTTTATTTAATGTTAAGAATCACTTCTCTATACTGCTTGGTTCATGTACAAAATAAAATGGTATTTCTTTCAAATCAAAACACAGAATAAAAACAAAACAAAAAAGAACATAAAACTTATAGTTAAGTTCTTTGAATTTCACCTTTACCATATTCAAAATACCTACTATGATTTTAAACATACATCAATACATACTAAACACACATACATAAATTTCATTCAATCTTATCAAATTACATATACATATGCGTCGTGTCAACGATCTGCAATATACCGGTTTGAAGGACTTATACCTAATTTACTACGTGCTTTGTAATAAGCGCTTTTAATTAATATATATATATTTTTTAATTTCAGTCGAAATAACCTTTGTACAGGTTTTTGCACGAGGATTAAATAAAAAAAGGGGATTTTTTAAACTTTTTTGAATCTCAAATTACTAGGAACAAACAAAATGTTAACTAAGTCATGCGATTCTGGACATTTTGTTCAGTATTATTCTCAAATAAGACAAGAGAATGTCGGAATGGTCTTTTTACTTAGTCAGCTAAAGCAATAGCTGCTGTGATGATGACAAAATCCCTTCTATACGGATACGGATAAGCTTACTTTATATTCCTTACGCGCACATATTCAAAAAAGTGGTGTTCAAAAAACAAGAAAGGCTAAGGGAGGACAGTAGACATAGTGACTAGGCACTTGATGCTGGTATATATACCTGGCCCTTTCTATTGCATCTGATGTTCTACTTCGCAATGCCATTCTCCTATCTGCTATCCTCCTCTTCCCAAGCGTTATCAATTATACCTAGACAACTATATCTATTTTATATGTTAATTTGTTTACTTATTAATTCTATTTCACCTTTCTCCTTTCTATCTCATCTATTATATTAAATTTTGAGTCAGACTAACTCGATCAATTGCAATTACACTTCCAAATTAATATTAGCAAACTTTCTGTGTCGTTCTAACATTTTCCACTACTTTTTATCACTGCCAATACTAACGTTAAGTGATGTTGAAATTTAAAGTAGATGCTATGCAGGGGACCACATAAAATCGATTATTTCTTTTTTTTTAATTTATCGGTTATGTCTGATTGTGGCGGGTGTGAGGCGAAACAAGTCGTTGCTGTTGACTGATGTAAGTTCCATCATTCCAGTCGTTTGCAGCGCGTGTTGAAATAGACAGTGGATGCCGAGGATCGCTACAAAGCTTAATACTATAGATGAATTTATCCAAACCGCAGGCAAACAGCTAGGAAAGTATGAGCAAAGCCATATCCACGAAGAGAAGATGTGCCTTTCTGCTGGACCTGTGCCACTGTTGTATGTCAGCTCTTCATTTTTTACAACCTCATTAGGATGTTTGTTGTATTGGTGGTCATCTGAAAATCAAAAGTAATGGCTATTAAATATACTGTTTAAAAATTAATATCCACATTATCGTTCATTGATCTGACAATAATTTCAATGTACTGTTCTGCCATTTTACTAGTTACTAACGCTGTTTAAATTCTTAATCAGCATGACCATTTGAGTCAAGAAGTAGAGAATTTCGAGAAAATGTACCGTCGTTTACCATTAAACGACGATATATTACATTTTGTTAGAAATGTAAAGCTGAAATAGCTGACTTGAGTGCGCTGGTACAGGTAGTATTGGCTACACCGGCTACTCAAGTGTCTGTTGAAAGAGCAATTTCAGCTTTGCATTTTATTTTAAGCGAACAACGGATCTCAAAAACTTAAATTCCTTATTAATTGTAAAGCTAAACTCGAAATAAATGAATTTAAAAGAAAACAATTAATTTTTTCGTGAAAATTTAATGCTGAAATAGTACACAACGTACAACTGTGCAACGAAACGAACACAAAACAAAAAGGAACAAAGGTCTCCTGCTCGGAGAACGAGACTGCATGATTTTTTTCGGTTGTTCTCTCGAGCAGAACGTAAGGAAAAAATCGGTTAACAGTTATTTGCGAGCTATGATAAAATGGACAGGTGGACAGATGGAAAGACGTATTCCAAATCAGTTCGTGATGCTTTACAAGAATATACAGTGGGGAGCAAAAGTGATTTCATACTACAATAATACAAGAAAAAATGTAAGAGATAGAAAAAAAAAAACAAAAACAGAAGGCATATTCTAGTTTTGCACCTTTTATGAAAAAATCTAAGGAAAGATTAAATTAATATTTGGTCCAAAGACCCTTATTTAGTTCCTCTGCAATATAATATAAATATAAATTTGTTGACGATTTTCTATCACCATTTTCTTCACTGTTTACATGTTTACTTAACTTCTTGAGATGATCCCAAACCCTGGACGCTTATCATTATCAGAATGATTACTTCGCCGAGCACAACAGACAAAATAGGGACTTGTGCGTTTTCGGTAAAATTATTATTAGAAACTACTGATCTGAAATGGTAAACAACCTCAAATATGAGCGACATAACAAATCCAATTTAAACTTTGAATTTTCTTTTGAAAAGACATCGCACTTCTAAATTCTGACTGAAATTGTTACTATATGGAATAAAACTGGGAAATTGTTAAAATAAGACAACACAGATGATATATGAATGTTATATGTAATCGATATATAATTATTGATTTAAAATACGCAATGGTTTTCCAGAACTAGCTCTATTCCGGTTTAACTTAAAATCAAACCTTTTAATTTAAATAGAAATTTATCATAAATATATGATATACTTTTTTCCTTAACATTGTGTTTTCAAGTTACCTTTTAGGTTTTTTAAAGCAAGCACTAACTTATGTCCTACACTTACCATTTCCGTTGGTATTGCTGTTAACATTACCCTTGTGAGGTGGATAATTGTGCTGCGTGGGTACATTGTTTATCCGGATCCCAGTTTGGATGTGGTGATGACTAGGGTAACCTACGTTTATTCCCCCGCGTCCTGGTTGCAGCATGTTAATGTTGCCATGACCGTGGCCAGGGGTTAATATAATTCCACTACCCCCAACAATTCCAGGTCCAACGGGATTAGTTAACACGTTGTTACCTATTATGTTTGGTTGTATTGGTATGCGGTTAAATTGGTCAATATTAGAGTTAGCAGTAGGTGATATGCCGTTCAAGTTGATGTTATTATTGCCATTAATCGGATTAATGGGCATTCCCGCCGATTGAGGACCGCCTGGGATTAGGCCTCCGCCTATACCATTGCTCGTTCCAAAAGCAACGTTGTTGCCTTGGCCGTGACCATGACCATCATCACTCGCTGCTATATTGACACTGATAGTTCCGCCAGTGTCGGCTCCTGATATTGACTTGGTTATTGTTGTGGTTCTGTTCGTATCCTCGGCGGCACAACACACTTTAAACACCACTTTCATATTATTTGTAGAGCATCGACCACCAATTCTTCGATATAAATCATCCTTTGATGAAGTTGCTATATAAATATAAAGAGATGAATTATTTATTATTATATGATACTCAAATTGCAGTTGTGTAAACGAACTCACAAATGAAGTAATAATCATTTCCAGGTAGGAACTCCAAACCACCTGGCTGCGGTGTAAATGGCCGGAAAGTTATTGTAAAAAACATTAATTTCTGAGGTTTATCACATATAGCTATTACTCGCGGATCTGCATTTGTTATGCGACATGTTTCGTACTCGACTTTGGACACATTGTAAATAATATACTTTTCAGTTTCGTTTTCAAATGTTCCTGGTTCATAAACTGGGCATATTATATGCACCTGATCAAATTCAAACGCCAGATTGCCTTTATTAACATCAATTATATGGTCGGTGTTGTCAATCCGAAATCTGTGGATAAGAATGTATATTATCAATTAAAACGTTGATCTGAAACAAAAACAAGAAAGGAAGCTAACTTTCCTCGGCATCTATATAAATTAGAGATGAAACGGATAGCAGTTTGGCCGGATACCGGATATTCGGCCGACCATTTGGCCGGATATCCGGCCGCTGAATGTTTTGCAAAACTTAGCCGTTTGCGTAGACGTCCCGCCAACGATCGGGTGGACTCGGTTCGATTTGGGTCTTTTTGTTGATGAGTGAAGTGAAGTTAACAGTTGTACCCATGGTACAATTATACAAGGTCGTCTCGTCGGCTGCGTCACTCCCCTATCGACACTACAATGAGAGCGAGAGAAAGAGTGTTTTCTTAGGAAAACACTACGCTCGGGTCGATAGGGGAGTGAACCCGAACAATTCTGCAGCCGACGAGACTACTACATAATTTGCCCTTAGTGCAGTATGAGTACTAAATGTACTAATTCCTTTTCCTTGTATCACATTTACTTACTATTGTGTATATTAATACTTAAGATTAACTAAATAAAGCAAATAATTAACAAAAATATGTTTATTTTATACAGCTTTTTTTTTTTAATCGGCCGGATATCTATCCGGCCAAATCGTAGCTATCCGGTATTCGGCCGGATAGTGTCATGGCGGCCGGATACCGGATAGTTACCGGATATCCGTTTCATCTCAAATTTTAAGCTGTGATTTATGCAAGTTAAGTTTAAATCACGTTAAACTATAGTATTTTATGATAAGGTAGATTTTGATTTAAACACAATATAAAAATATATAGGATAACTTACATGCTGTTTGAAGTATTCCAATGCATATAGAACGTTTTAGCGCAACTGGACATGGTGGAAAGCAAAACAGTTTCCATACAAATAAGAGTGAGCAGAGTGACGAACGAAGTGGCGCCAAACGATGGAAGCGGAATCATCATTTTGAATCTCACCGCTGATGACGGGAAAATAGAAAAAAAGTGGTTTCCGTTTTTATTGTTGCGGTAACGATGGCTTTTCGTAGCACTGTTGTTGTTGTTGCGATAATGCAGGCTCTTTGAAGTACTGTTTATATTGGGAAAATCCTTTGAAAATCCTTTCTTTACCCCTATACCAACAGAAGTTCTTTTACATGTTTCGACTGTTTCCACAAGCACCGATGATGAATGGTCTGCGGATTGTTGATCTTCCATTTTACTGGGTAAAAAAAATGAATGATTGTTGAAAGCTATAAGCTTGCTTTTGCTTTTCGACTTTCGATGCATAGCTGGTTGTTGATTATTCGTTGCCGTTACTGCTTGTTTCCGAGTGCTCGGACTACTACTTTTAACACTCCCTGGTACGATAAACTTGATGTTCAATGGACTCCCAGAATATAGATGTACTCTATGTTGTTGTTCCTTGTTTTGTAGCTTTTTTGAACGCGAATTGCAGTTCGGGAGGGCTACCAAGAGTGCTGGCTGTGGGTCGGCAAACACTTTACTGGAAGTCAAGCCTTTTCGACGACCCAGCATGCTGTTATCTTCAATGTAACTTTGACTTGGTACAAAAAAATATATGTAGTTTCTTTAGCCGCTCTTGCATTCCGAATACCGATTTTGTTGTTCGATGTTTATTTCTCCAACAAGCTGATTTTTATATATGTTTACTGGCTATATCCGTGTTGTCTTATACCAATGTGTGTCCTGCTCCATCTGCAATAAAAAAAATACATATATTATTTATAGTAATCCATGCCAAAGTCATGTTTTTTGTAAAACAAACATTTATTTCTTTGGTTACCTCTAATTTAGCTGGAGGTAAATTTATGTACATCTTTAAAATACTTTTCGGGCTCATGCCACATCAAATCAGGATCACTTTTATAACATTTTAGTTTACAATTTAACTTTTTATTTTCTAGTAAAAGCGCATCGGTTTTGCATATTAGTTTTATTTATTGTAATATAGAGATCATCTGCACATGCAATACCGCATTAATTTTTTTTTTTAATGTTTTGGTGGTAAAGTTCTATTAAACTCTTTGACATACCTATATAATTAGTTGGTATATACATACACACATACATATGTATGGTATGTACTTGCCCGTAAAAAAAACTATCTTTTAATTGTTTAATAGAAACTTCAAACAGATGTTCGTTTTTATAAAACAGTCCGAACTTAGACTAATTTTTGTTAAACCATTTTTACTGAAGCGACAAGCACATTAATTTGTCTGCCAATGTTGATCAGAATAATATATGTACATATGTATGTATATATAAATATAAAAGTATTCATTATAGGGTGGAAAATTGCTTCACTTCTTGGCTAAAAGAATTATCCGATTTTATACCTATTTTTTGTGTTCAAAACAAATTGTAATTTTTGATTTGTTTTCAATTAATAACATTTTAAAACTTATCTTCTTCAAATTCATTAACGTTATAATGTGAAGATATACGAATGAATATGTATGTATACACCAGAGAGACTTTTCTGTATACATACACAGTGACGAAACCGTGCCTACTAAGGACGAGTCAGTTGCATATACATACATATATAAGCATCTTATTTGTGGGTAAACATTTTCAATTACGTTAACTGTTGTTAGATTCGCTTCTCAACAAAACACAGACATACTCGTTACGGAGAAATCACAAACATGTATATATAAGTGCATGCAAGTACATTTACTTAACAATTACATTTTTCGAACGACGTTAAATAGATCGCGAACGGGTTAACTTTTAAAGAGAGATTCCCGAAAATTACTCATTTTAAAAACATTTTTTTTTGTAATTGAATTAGATACAATATATTTACATATAAATATTGTATTTCTAGAGCTGTTTTCAAAAATAGAGCTGGAACAAAAATCGTTGTTAATTTGAAGCTATCGATAGTTCCAAAACTTTCGACCCATCTACGTTTTCTCTCGAGTAATCGATTATTATCTCCTATACGATATGTTTAATTTATCAAAAAACCGCATCAAAATTATTTGCGTAGTTTTAAAGTTTTGATTACCCAAAGGAATAGAAAAACCGACTTTGTTTCTTACTATACATAGATTTATTTTGAAAAAATTAATAGTTATTTATTATAGTCCAGAGACAATTCACTTCTACGAAAATTTAAATTTTCTGGTAGGGCTATCAATATTGCACACATTGAGTGAAAACTCAATCCAAAGCCGAGTTTTGCACACAACGTTAAAAAATATTATAAATAAATTTTTAGTGGAAACTCGCTTGTTTTTGGGTTTTTTCAAAAACGTTTGCTGGGAATCAGTTCTGTAAGCCTTACATTATTTTTAAATTATTTTTTATTGATTTAACTTTACTTATTGGAATGCCTAATTACATAAATATTGATTGAATGCAGTTATGGATGTATTTTTAATATCGGTTATGTTTATTAACATTAATTTACTATGTGGTAACACCAAATAAAGCTTAATACTGTGAATTTGATGTTTTGACGTTGTGAACACTATATAATGTAATTTATTGATATTTTTCTGATCCGATTTTAAAGGCATCTGAATATTCGCTAGTACCTAAAAGCGGGTAAACAGTTTATTAATAAAAGAACGATGGCGTTTGCCAATATAACAAGGCGGTCTCTGGTCCCCAGGCTGTCCAACTTGGTGTTAAGACCGGCATTGTTAACAACAGGAATAAGTTCACCGAAGTAAAAATGATATAATTATTATATATTACATAATGCTCAAACATACAAGTTTCCATTTTGTTCTCCTTTTATTATATCTTATCCCGTACTAAACAGCACTATCGAGACACGCCGAGGAGCTGCAAAATGGTATCCAGATCCGGAGTTCATGAAACAGTTTGGTGGCCCCGTGATGTACCCGGATGAGATTACATCTCTGTGGAAGGTGCCACCATGGAACAGTCAGTTGGTAACATAATCAAGTGTTCACTTGACCTAACTTGCATTTTTCACCTTTTCCTAGGCAAGGTGACGCCTGTCGAGAAATCCGTGCGAAACCTGACCCTTAACTTCGGTCCGCAACATCCTGCTGCCCACGGAGTCCTTCGTCTTGTACTTGAACTAGATGGAGAGGTAAGAGCCATATAACACCTATCAATATGTGGTATACATATATATATTATTATACTTTGCAGACTGTAATGCGCGCCGATCCGCACATTGGACTGCTGCACCGCGGCACAGAAAAGCTTATTGAATACAAAACTTACACCCAGGCATTGCCCTATTTCGATCGCCTAGATTACGTTTCTATGATGTGTAACGAACAGTGCTACTCGCTGGCTGTAGAGAAGCTCCTTAACATCGACGTACCACTCCGAGCAAAATATATTCGAAGTAAGTAAAGCTTGGGGAACATGAGAGGAGCTCTTTCGATGTTTATCATGAAACAAGAATTTGATTATTAATATTATTGAATGAAGACTATTTGTTTATAAACATTAAGAGACGCTCTTTCGAGTGTGTGTCAAGGTCAGAACAAGCTGTGTTGAACAACGAAATTTTCCTCTCGTCAAAAGAACTCGTTTCTTTACCTTTGTAGAATAAAGGAGCTTAAAACTTAAGGGCCAGAAAAAATTTATTTTCTTCATTTGAAAAGTAAAATAGACGTTTACCTATGCTTACTCCGCAGCTTCGCCTGTTGAGATAAGGTTTGAAAATTTATCAGAAATAATAACAATTCAAACTGAAATTTTACCATGGAGATAGATGTTTTTTAGAGCATTTTTTCTACATTTTTTTTTTATATATGCTTCCTTTCTTGTTTATTGTGAAAAAGCTGATGAATAGCGCAACAATACAAAAGGAAAAAATAAAATATAAAATTCATCCGATGATTCCAATAGATTTAGCATTCGACTTTAAATCAAATGCAACTTCAGTAATCGTTGCTTGCTTTTGTTGTTGGTGAATTTTTGTTCTATTTACACGCTATTTAGATAAAAGCTGTGAGCAGTGAATTTGGTTGAATTTATTTCCGATCGATTTAAAACTTGGTTTCCCTGTTTGGAGTTTCTCTGTTTAGCGCATGGACAATTATTTATTCGCAGTCTTCTTGGTTTCTTTACTCCCCTCAAAACAAAACAAAAAATATAGTTTCAGTGTGGGTCATCTAATATACTATTTTGAATCTTATAAAAACCAAGTATTCCAGGGAAAGCTCTATTTTGTAAGTTAGTAACATGATCGGGCGCAAGCTTTATGATACTGCCGATTAAATTTAAAAAAAGTCAAAGTACGTGTTTCTTTTCGGTTTGAATATTTATGAATGAGGCGTTGGAAAATAAAAAAATTGCACATATAAACATTAAAATTTTTATTTAAGGCGCCCCTATGCTTTCAATTGAAATTTGAATACTTAGTCAATTTGATAGATTTAAATGATACTCAAATATTTATTTTTAAACTTTGGATCGGCACAGCGCTGTTTGCCGAGATTACCCGGATTCTTAACCATATAATGGCTGTCGGCACCCATGCCCTGGACGTTGGTGCCTTAACTCCGTTTTTCTGGCTATTTGAGGAGCGCGAAAAAATGATGGAATTCTACGAGAGAGTGTCTGGTGCCCGAATGCATGCTGCCTATATACGACCTGGTGGCGTGTCATTGGTAACGCACTGCGAAATGTTTAAAATGTTTAAAATAACTTGCCGACTCTTCATTACAGGATATGCCTCTTGGCTTAATGGACGATATTTATGAGTTTGCATCAAAGTTTGCCGAGCGTTTGGACGAAGTGGAGGACGTGTTGACAACGAACCGAATATGGGTGCAGCGTACTGAGGACATCGGCATTGTGACTGCAGAAGAAGCCCTAAATTACGGCTTTAGCGGCGTTATGTTGCGAGGCTCTGGTATAAAGTGGGACCTTCGGAAACAGCAGCCGTACGATGCATACCATCTGGTAGATTTCGATGTTCCCATCGGCACCAAGGGCGACTGCTATGACCGATACCTCTGTCGCGTTGAAGAGATGCGTCAGTCGCTGCGAATTATTGATCAGTGTCTAAACAAAATGCCTGCCGGAGAAATTAAAACGGATGATGCCAAGGTGGCGCCTCCCTCACGCTCTGAAATGAAAACTTCCATGGAGGCTCTTATTCACCATTTCAAATTATTTACTCAAGGCTATCAAGTTCCGCCTGGGTCAACGTACACTGCAATAGAAGCTCCAAAGGGAGAGTTTGGAGTTTACCTAATATCAGATGGATCGAGCCGTCCGTACCGCTGTAAAATCAAAGCGCCAGGGTTCGCCCACTTAGCGGCTTTAGAAAAGATTGGAAAGCAGCACATGCTGGCCGATGTCGTTGCCATTATTGGTACCTTGGATGTAGTATTTGGGGAGATAGATCGATAAACGTTTATTGTGAATTATGTATAACAAAGTTTATGAATATAAAATTCATGAATAAGTTTGAAGCATATTTTTTATATATTTTTTTGGCAATCGATTACGAATTAAATTTCAGCTGAAAAAGGTATCTAATTTCTGCCAACTCACAGCTCTCTCACAAAAAAGACACAATATCCAATTACAAGGCAGATCGGAAAAAAAGATCATTATTCACGTGCTACGACGAGACAGAGAACGATCCAGAAATAGCCAAAATCTGGACGAATCTAGAAGCCTTATTTAGCCAAAACCAAGGCGCGGAACAGCTGATAGCTAGCCTGGGTGCCTGGGGGATAGTATACGGGAATCATGCAGAAGCAGTAGCACCGTTATGAGAACAAGAAACCACAAGGCCAAGTGTGGCCGACTACGCAAAAGTCGTAAGTCAGGTGAGAGAATGGTCTCTCCAGTTCGAAGGAACAGAGAAGTCAGTAAAGTTCCTGGAGAAAGTCGAGTGTTTCGCAACACTGACCCTTGCAGTCATAAGATGTGTCGAACCAAACATCGAAGCTATGCCGATTTTTCTATGAAGTTTCTATATTTTCGATGTTCATATGACAGCTATATGATATATTATAGTCGTCCGATTTTTGTGAAATTAAATTTGAAGTTTAAGAGTCATTTAAAAACTCTATACTTAAAAAATTTAGCTTTTCTGATGACAAACAACGATGTTACCTTTTTTATTCGTTTATTTCCGTTATTTCTATATAGCAGTGTTTCCCAAACTTGTCGGGACCGCGACCCAATCAATTGCAAGATCTATATGAAAATTAGTACCCACAAAAAATCTACCCGCGACCCACCAGTGGGTCGCGACCCACACTTTGGGAAATACTGCTATATATATTATTATTTTTTTATTTTTTTAATAAACGAATTCTTATTTTAAAATTCATTGTTGTAATTAGCAAGACAGGCATTTTAAAAATTCAGTGGAGGAAAGCTATGTTTTTAAATTCAACTTTATTACCATATTATTTTCACAAAACTCTTAAAATACACAATTTGCTTTCTTACCGAATATCGTTAAAGATAAACCCACATTTCATTTTGAACAAATTTATTTGATCTCTGTAACATATTGCCATTTATGTTTGCCCGGTAATTATAAATATGTTAAGTTTATAGTCAGATTTACATCGACTCTAATGGGGACATTTTGTAGGATGTTGTCGGCTTTTTTTTAGTGTCAATAGCAATGTAATAAACTTAATATTTGTTTGTTGTTTCATTCAATAATCGGGCTCTCATGTTTATAAATATAAATACAACAGCGAGAGCTAATTCACAAATTTTCTGTAACAATTCAGTAAACTCTTAATGAGTTAAAAATCTGACAACTTTAAATACTAAATAATTAATAACACTAATTTATTACTTAGCACACATAATCTGTACAAGATCTTCCTTTGGAAAGTTTATGTGGTAGTTGTCTATATATTGTGTTCGTATTATGTTTAAATCTTGCTTTGCATAATTATCATACCTTATACGTTTTTTTTTATTCTACGTGATCACATTGAAATTTTTGTTTTAAAAACGCGTTTAGGAGTTATTTTTTGTTAATTTCTTGTTTTTAACATATTTTGTTCTAGAAGCTTCAACACTTTTGTAAGCTTGCTATGAATGTTTTACAATTACATAAACCTGATTTTAATTGCAATAAAACCCATATACTTTGGATATACATGTTTTGGGAAGTATTATTTGAAGTTCATTGTGCATTTATATGCATTTCTATTCCCAACAGAGTTTGGACTAATAAAAAAAGAAAAACAGGCAAGGCTTTAGCTTAGATCTTGACTATAAGGTACCCGGAACTCAAGAGCCTGTTTCCAAATTTGTGTTGTAAGTTTAATTTACCATTAAAGCTCTGGTTGAAATTCAGCGTGACTAGAATTTAAAAACTGTGCGATTCGCATGGGCTTTTTATAGATTTTGTTCTAAAGCTAAATCGATACAGAAATTGGTAAAAAGCAAAATCTCCGGTTAAAGAACGCACTACCAAAACAATTTTTGCTGATTAGACGTTAAATATAATGTTAAAATATAACAGGATGTTAAAATATAACAGGATGTTAAAATATAACAGGATAGGGTTGTGTTATTTCCATAAACTTTAAGGGATTTTCGAGAGCCAATAAATCATAGTTAATAAAGATCAATAAATATTATTTGAATAAATAGAAGTCAATAAATCATTTAATTATGATGCTTATTAAATTTCAGTGCCATTGCGCGCAGGTTTTATTATCAGACCAGTCACAAATGTATGATTCGATTCTGTTATCTTGTTTTTAGGATTACATTTCCTCTACTTTAACTCTATCTAATTTATACTTTATAATGACAAATTAAATAACGCTAACACATAGTTACTTAAATGCCTCTAAATAACATATTTCTGTATGTAATTCAAGCTTAATCATTCGCATATTGTTGAGTTTAGTTAGTTATGTTAGGCATTACAAGCATTACATTTTTTATTGGTCAATCGACGATCTATCAACATAATTTGTATGCCTTATAAGATTGCATTAATCACGGGATGCTTATTTAAGACTATTTGAGGAGGTCGGTAGATTAATTTCGGCAGTTATTGAGTCGGACGATTTTTTCATTTTCTCACAATAATCATTAAAAATATCTCGAAAGCGATTCCAACACTTCTCCGGGATTGTTATCGAAGTTCGAAAGTTATTTTTCACCTTTATAAACAAAAATATATACATAGTAAAAAAAAAAAAATTTTTGATACATACTTCGCTTATCCGCATGTAGACTCCCCTGTTATTTTGTCCGATATCAAAATAAAAGTTTTTATTATCCACCTTCATATGTCGCTCTTCAGGCAAATCTCCTTTAAACCTGCTAATTATAAACAATAACATATATACATTTTTGATCAGCTTCATCATTCAATTTGAATGAAATTTATTTCGAAATTCAAGAGGCAACAAACAATTAATGCAATATTTTTTCCCGTTATTTTTTTTAGATATCTCCTATGGTAGCATACAACACGTTAACACACTGTTAACATAGAAGCGGACAGACGTACACGACAGATGGTGATCAAGAATTCTTAAATTTTGATCATTGATGTTTTAGTTTTAGTTAGTTAGTTTTTTTTAACTGGACAGCTCACTTTTAACACTGTCCGATTAGCACCTTAAAGAGGCTCGTCGTGTTATAATGCATTGGATAAGGGCTTCTCTGTCGCTGGTCTTTTACATTGTCATCGGCTTTCAGATCAGAAGTTTGCAAGGCATTGAACGGGACTCCGATCAGAAGTTTGCAAGGCATTGAACGAGACTCCATATGGGTAAAAAAGTATATATTCTTGATCAGCACCGCTACCTAAGTCGATCTAGACTATACGACTGTCTGTTTCAAAGCAAGTTTTCTTTTTTATGTCTAGTTTTTTATTCTTACAAATAGTTAAATAAAGCAAAACCATTTTTTATTTTACAAATACTTTACCCTCCATCGTTTGCTCCGAACTCTTCTAACAAATCCGTAAGGGCATCACGAAACTCGATCATTCCTTGGGCTGGTAAGGCGATTTGAGATCTAGGACCACCCCTTGTAATGGTTTGTGATACCTAAAATTTGTTTTTGTTATTTTAGGACTACAGGTCTATGGAATTAAAGTAAAAAACTTTACCCGTAGAAATCGTCCGCGAGCATTTTCTTTCAAGTCCAAATAATATCTTCTATAATCTTTTATCATCATTTCGGATTTTAATTTGCCATCCTCCGGTAAATTGTCTGTGTTGGGGGGGCCTATGTTTTGACCAGCTTTTTATTAATAGTTACTTTATTAACTTAAAAAAGAAGAGCCTTATTAAATATTCTTTGTTGTGAGATTTTTAAAATAAACGTTAAAGACTGAGGTGTCTCCTTCACTGCTTTGCAAACATCTGACTGAAATTATAAAACCCTCTTCAAGGGTTTTATGATAATGCACGGTTAAAATCAAATTAAAAATTAATAAATGATTTTTTTTACATTTTGTATTTATTTGTTAACGAGTTTAACAAATGGAACAAATCTATATTGACTGCCAAGTAATGTACTGACGTTGCAAAGCTGCTAAAGGGGAGACTTGCTGCCTAAATCAATAAAAGTTTCAAGTGTAAATGATTTTTAATTTAATTTTGGCAAACAGTGGCCTAAAGTATATTTTAATATTGGTCTATACCTAGTGAAGCGTAGTAATCACTAAACGACGACAAGTGATCGCGAAATTCGGCTGCAGTTGAGAGAGCCAAGTATATTTGGCTTCGTCTACCATCAGCGCCAATCTGAAATAGAAATACGTTATATACAATGTCCAACAATTAGTAGATGGATGGAGTTGTTTATATTTGTAATTAATAATATTTGCTAATGGATGCAGAAAGTTATAGTTAGATTGCTGAGAAACAGACTGACATGATCAACTTCTGTGGTAATGCAGATCAAGAATATATATACTCTTAGGTGTGTTCTTCAAATTTTCAACATCATTAGAATGTCTTCCCCCATCAAAACAATAATTGTCTGTCATTACCTATGTCTATAATTTACTTATTATTTTTAATTAGATAGATTGTAAATAAAAAAAAAAAAAAAAAATTAGAATGTCTTCGAAGTAGGCGGCGTTGCCTCTTATTTGGTTGATAATGTGAAAATAGGTGGATCCAAATTGTCCTTTAAGAATTTCAGATCCCCAGGCGAGATAGCTTTTAAATTTCGAGACAAGTTTGCGTAGAACCAGACAGATGGACAAATGGTGGTATTGATCAGGAATATATAATACTTTTTGGATTCAAGAGCCCCTGTACTATCAATGTAGATATTTACCTCTGCAACCTTTATAAATCGACCTCTCCGATTTTGTTTTACATCCAAATAAAATCGCTTTGATTGTATTTGAAGCATCTTGGTAGCCAGCTCCTGCTCAACACCGCTTCCACCTTGAAAAAAGCCGAGCAAGAATCAGAAATTGTAGAAATCACTTAATCATTTAACTTTATACCTTTAACAGACGATTCGAACTCGTTCCTACTCGACGAACCCTCTACGTTTGCCACATTATATTCTAAAAAGTGTTAATTTGTATTTGTTATTTAATGAACATATACATTTTTACTTACTTGATCCTGAGAGGCCTTCGTCTCCGCTTCCCAAGTCAGACATTACGAAAATACTTTTGTACACAATGTCCTAACTTGGTAAACAGTTTTGATTAACTCCTTCCCCACTTATCACGTTAAATTTAGGTGCCTTTCCTCTTGAGTTTTAATGTTCGCCCTCTCGTTATGAATGGTACCATCTCTTTTAGCCGGCGAACAACATTCTTCTGAGTAAAATCAAATATGGGCTTGGTTATAGGTATATATTGAGTCCTAAGGCCACACAAAATAATGTCCTTACGCGTGTTTTTATATTCTTGTGGGGTTTTATAAATTCAGTTAAAACTCTGCGAGGGACCCCAAGCCCTACCAACCTCCCAACCTACCTAGAAAATCGTCGCTAGATATGAAAGTAAAATAATAATTGCGAGGTAAACAAGTAAGATCCAATCTTGTGCCAATGTTAAATTCAAACCCTAGAAAAAGTATATGCCTGTTTTTGAAAAGTATCAGCCTATTTTCAAATATATAGGCGCTTGATTGAATTCCAATTTAACGATTTGAAAACGTTTTTAATATTATCTCATCTCAGAATTAGAGCTTAAAAGATTAAGATATATTTAATACCCTCGAAGTCTGATCTAATTTAATTACAAATGAATAGAATTAATGTATAATCTGTATACCAACCCTTAGTTATCCCCTATATTTACAACCTGCTCAAGCTGCCACATAGGTAGCAGTATACCCGTTAAATAATAAATATAAACTTTTTACTTTTTTACTGAAAAAAAAAAAAGAATTAGAGCTCTGCCAAAGTGAAACCTTAGAAGGAATAGAAACCTCTTGAGAAGGAATAAATCATTTTGGCAATAAAGCAGATTTGTTGAGCTAACATATGAACATTAAAAATCATATTTCAACGATGCTAAACAAAGCAATGGGAGTGCTTCAAGGCTCTAAGTGATAGTCAAAGAAATTTTTGGATTCCCATGGACTAAGGGACCTCCAAGGGGTATGCACGGAATCAGTGTAAAAACCTTTCGGCCTTACGCCACCTAAACTTAATAGATATACGAAGCTTAGTTTATCTTGGTAAGATTTCGCTTGCCGATTGAGTATTTGTTTTGATTGCTTTAAGGGAAGTTGGTTGAGTTACTCCTTTTTACCGTTATTTTTCATGATTGTCTAGGCATGCACATTCTTGATGCGATTCGTCATTTGTGAAGTATATACATACATACATACATATACATACATGTTAACATATAACATGTTGATATGTTAACATGCCAACATATGTGTACATAGGCTAGAAAATATATTTTTGTTTATTTTTTTATTTAAATTATTAAACTTTGGTGAATTTTTAAACCAGCAGATTATTTTTCTTCACATGGTGTTTGTTTAACTTGTATCAGCTGTTTACCCCCTTTGGCAAGAATTGATTAGTATAACCAAGCAAATATGTATGTGCACATGTGTATCTACAAACAAATTAATGTCAATAAACATTTAAATGCTTACACACATAAGTACATATAGTAAACTTTCCAAGTAAAATAAATAGCTATCTACTACTTTAAATTAAATTAAATAGCCGTGTCTTTGGAAAGTATGTAAATCGAAGAGTTTATGTAATTTGTTGTTGGAATCCTGTGTAAATACTATTTTTTCCCACTGCTACACCAAAGCTTTAATCCAGTTATATATACATTTGTTCAGCTCAATAAATTTTGATTTGTGAGCACAGTTATCGTTAACTACAAAACAGATAGGATTTCCATAAACTGATGCATTTAAAACCCAAATCAAACTCGCATTTTTCCATTATAAAATCCAACGTAAGTACATAAATAAAGTGAAATACGTACAACTGCAACACACACACCCACTGCGCCCTACGACTGACATCGACACTCGCTCATTTTATTTATCCGTCGGATACTAAAAATTCGTGAGAACGTAAGTAGGAATCGAAACCCGAGCATGATACTTTTAAATACCTTAACGCATTTTAGGAAGCCATTTGCAATTCCACGTTTGAATTTTTGCAGAATTGGTGCAACAATTGTAACTTTGTATGAATTGGCTGCGAATTGTGTTGTATTGTATCTGCAAGGTGTGGAAACCCTTATGCGGTGCATGGGGCTTAAAACGACCTGTCTATTACAATAAGTAAAAGCGCCACCCGAACGTTAGCGGGCTGAAACTGAACGCAAACGATTTTGTCCGCTGGTAGCGCTTTTTGGTAGTTGACTAACGGACACTTTACATTGGACAATTCTTACTCAAATTGTGAAATCGATAACTCGATAGGATATTTCTCACAATCCCGTTCCGAGTGCAACGTAAGAAATAAACGTCACTACGCATTGCTTGCTCATATCCATTACGTAGGTTGGGCCTAAAAAGCTCAGATGAATTGCACATAAGTCAGCAAAGCTTTTTCTTCCTATTTGCGGCTTTAATGGTGTCGGTTGCTGTTCATGGCTGTCGTGCATGAACAGAAAGTTGAAAATTATCATAAATCTCATCTGGAGTTCTGTTTTGATTCCAGCAGTGACATCTGCGATACAGTGCGATTTATTTTCATTCGATTGCGTTGTGAGACGAGACGGTGTTGTGTCGCCTAATTTGTTTTCAGTCAGCCCTTTAAAACTAATGTGCATGTGTATGTAGGCATTCACGACGACAATGTGTACACATACATATGTCTGCATATACATACGAAATTGAAGTTATGCAAAATGTGCAATATAATGCCAAGCCAAGTTAAGGAGCAGTGCTTCGTACATGATTTTGCAAGGAATGTTACTGTTATATATGTGCTTGAATTTCCCTGCACTTATAATGTGCCTAAACCGCTAAGCGAAACGTGAGTACATGCCCATGTACTCGAACCAATATTCTTTACATAAATACTGCAAACAGACTTATTTTTGTCGGCCATTCGTTGTTCTCTTCACTTTTTCCCCTCTTCTCTTCTCTACCATGTCCCCTCTTTCTTCTCAATTCTCTTCTCTCGGCCAACTGGCACATTGGCTATGGAAAACGAAAACAGAAACACCATCTCTAGTCAAACCACAGCCAGGAATACATACATGCATATGTATAACAGATAGGTATATGGATGTTTATATGTACGCATATTCACGAAAACAAAAAGAATTCGAACAACGATTAGACTTTCATCTTTTATTTTGGTACCGGTCTATGTGTTTGTATTTTGTATCTGTGAATCCGACTCTGAATAGGTGGGCAAAACACAGTCAATAATGTATAGGGAACACTACACGTAACAATAAATTTATACATTCTTTGTGTATGTGCGAAATTCGCTCTGTTTACTTATCCAACTTATACATATACATATGTTGAGATACATACATGAATATAACATTTTTGGGTAAATTTTACAATGCCATTACAATCGAAACTGGTAAACTCCGCAAACATATAAAACAAATTTGAGAACATAATTTATATTTAAACTTTATTCATAAGTCGCAGGAAGCACATTTTAAAAAGGGAGATTGCCGTGAAGAAAGCAATTAAACCATGCAAAGCCATCTCCAAAGATGAATTGAATTTCGAATAGCATTTTATCAAACTCGAAAGAACAATGCAAAACTTGACATAAATAGAGAAGAATTAAAAGCCTTAATACTGATATTCTATGGATCGGACTATCAATAGAAAGTAATCTTGCTACTATAGATCTGTAATGAGTTTAGTTTTGACATATATTTTAGTTCTAATTGGAAGGAAGAACGTACATATAAGCTTCCATTCGGCGAAGCTAGTTTTCTGTTATGAGACACCTCCGATCCCTTAAAGTATGTAAATATATATAATCTTGATCAGCATAGTGGCATGATAAACTCCATTTGACTTGGACATGCGTCAGGCTCTAGTTTCTAGTTTCAAAGCAACCCTGTTAAAACTTTGCCAAAATTCTTGTAACTGGGGTGACCAGGCGTCCGTATTAATACGGACATGTCCGTGTTTTCAGCTCTGTGTCCGTTAGTCCGTATTTTTTGTAAAATGTCCGTATATTTCGCGTTTTTGACGAAAAAACAGGTTGCACTTGCAACAAGCTTGCGACAATTAACACGGCATAATGTCCGAGTTACCCGATCTTTCGACATTGAATCTACTGTAATGAAAATTTTTAATCACTTCTCGATTTACACCGTTCGGACAAATCAATTGAAGGATTTTTACGATTTCGTTGATGTGGAGTACAGGAAACTGAGCTCAAAAAATCGCTGTTAATTTATTATTAAAAAATAGTAGATTTATGTGAAGAATTAGTGTTAAAATTTTTAAAAGGATTCTGTAGATTTGGAGTTCCGATTCTCCCCGACTTTAAAATTAGCATTTTCGGGAAAATCGATTTAAAGTTTTTTTTAAAGTCAAAATAATAATTAGTTTGATTATGATTGACTTGCCCTTTAACTGATCTAGATTATATTGATAACCATCTTCAAAAGAGCTTCCGCCTATTGAAATCGACTATCTTTATAACCAGTACTCAATAGTCATTTCAAAAGCACATTAAATTTATCTGTGGGTTGGTCGGAAATCTAAAGACACTAAATTAAGTCCCACTTTTGCTTTAACAACCGATTAAAAACAATTTCTAATTACTTAGAGATATACGTTATATATACGTTCAACACATTAACAAAATCAAACAAAACTATAATGTTCTTGATTTACATTAGAGTTTTGCTGAGGGTATTATCAGAATTCAACAAGAAAGGAAGCTAGCTCCAGCGACCTGAAGCTTATATACCCTTGCAGTCACTAAATATGTCGAACAAAATACTATTACGATTTTTCTATTAATTTTCCATATTGTTCATATGACAGCTATATGATATAGTCGTCCGATTTTGATAAAATTTAATTTGAAACTCAAGACTCATTAGAAAACTCTATGTTCCAAAAATCATGATTGTCTGATGAAAAACAACGAGGTTATAATTTTATTTCCGTTATTTCTATATAGATTTTTCGATCTTTCCTATGGCAGCTATATGATATAGTACTGCGATTTTTATGAAATTTTTTTCTCAATTTAAGAGTATTTAAAAAATATTAAACAGGTGTGATTTTGGCAGATGGTGTTTTCTAACGACTCGTGAACATTGAATTGCATATCATGAAAATTATTATGTCAAGTAGCTGAAATATAAAAAATCGGAAAAACCAATATAAAATTAATTGAATTAAACTTATAACGTCGTTTGGAATATAGAAGTAGTCGACTTTTTAAATTAAAATATAATATCAATCAAGTTAAACGACTATATCGTAGCCAAAGGAAATATCGAAAATTCAATATACGATTAAAAACATATATAGCGCTTTTATTTTTTATAATACCAGCACGAACCGTTAATTTCAATTTTGAGATTTGGTTAAACGTGCGCAGTAATTTTTTTTCGAAAAATTAATTTACAGGAGGTGGGAAAACGTTTTTTTTTTTTTAAGTATTTTTGTTCATTTTTAAAAAATGTCAAGGGTGGTAATCGATAAAGCCGTAATAGATAAAAAATGGAAGACCTTTATTTTTAAAAGTATGGACAAACAGTTTTCTAACTGTTTAAAAACAAAATTGAGAAAATGTTGATTTTCGAAACGGTGGATAGGCAAAAAAATCTTATTTTTATTCCCATGGTCCTTACGAATAATTTTTTTAAGCACCGGAATTCAAATAAATGTATTCTTTTCCTTTCATTTCCTTTCCAAATAAAGTATAGACATAATTACTTACATTCTGATCAGTATCACCACTTCGGGTCTATATAGCAATGTTAGTTTATTCGCCAGGTCGTCTGTCTGTTTCTACCGAAACTAGTCTATCAGTTTCATGGCATAGTTAGTTTGCCTCATCTATTAGAAATTTAATTTATATGTAGGTATATATCTGTAAATATTAATTTAAAAAAGAATATTGTGTTTCGGTACTTACACTTTATTTAATGCATATTGGCACCGGGAGAAGTTGCGATGCATGTGTGTATACTTCTCCGACTCACTAAAACTATCTTTTAAACTCACACATACACAAAATTTGAGCTTTTTCGAGAGTCCGTTCTCATTTGCCTTGGTTTTTGTTTTTGTTTTTGATTTTGCTAAACTTTCTGGTACAGTAGTTTGGACACACACAAACATTTGTGCATGCAGACTCACACATGTTTATTTATTGGTATTGGTATACCAACGCAAGTACGTGCCCACACTCGGAGTTTCTTAGGGCCATTTGTCGCCTCGCTGCGTTTTGGCATTTTTATAAATATTATCTGTACACATATGCATATTTTTGTCAGGAATTTACAAAAGCCGAAAAAAAACATTCAAACTATTCAGACTATTTAAAAATTGAAGTGCAAATTTGTAAGTCTTTGCGAGTTTTTTTTAAACTTTTTCAAAGGCTACCCTTAAATATTTTCTTTGAATACCCTTGCAGGGCAAAAGGGTATCATAATTTCAGTCAGAAGTTTGCACCGCAGTGGAGGAGACACCTCAGACCCCATAAAGTATATATATTCTTGATCAGCATCACGATTAGAATCAGAATACGTCTGTAGGTCTGTCCGTCTGTCTGTCCGTCCGTCTGTCCGTTTCCGCGCAAACTAGTCTCTCAGTTTTAAAGCTATCTTGCTGAAACTTTCCCAAAAGGTGTGTAGTTGTTGCACGCAGTATAAAAGTCGGAAAGGGCCGGATCGGCCGACTATATCGGATAGCTCCCATACGATAAAATGAAGTAAAAATTCTCACGCCGTTGTTTTTTATCAGATCGACTTGATTTCTTCAGGACGGCGTTTTCGAACTGTTATTGAATTAAATTTTATCAAAATCGGATAACTCTATCATATAGCTGCCATAGGAGAGATTGAAAAATATATATAGAATTAATGGAAATTTAAAATTACATTCTTTAACTCCACCCGGGAGCATAGAGCCTCTACAATTTCTTATAGAGGATTCATTTACCTTTGGTTTTCGATCGTACAGGTGATAAGCCAGTAGCGACTTATCCTAGCGGTGCGGTTGCCAGCTGGCGCCATCTAGGAGTGACGATAAGTTCTATTGCTGGGTCCATAGTAACGTGGACGAGGGGGTGTGCGGGTCCGGGGAGCCGAAATTTGTTACTAATGTTAAGTGAGCGATAGAGCATAGAAGTGGTGGAGATTTGGAAAAAGAAACCGTTTCTTTTTCTCGGGGAGCCTGGCACTCGAACCCGGGCCTTCCGGACCGGAGGCCAGCGCTCTACCTGCTGGGCCACCAATGGAAATAAATTGATAAAATCGTTGTTTTTTATCCCACGAGCATGATTTTTTGAATATCAAGTTTTTTTTTTACAAAAATCGTCTTAGCTTCGATGTTGTTTAGCCTTTATGTATTTTGTTTGACATATTTGATGACTGCTAGGGTATATAAGCTTCGGCTTGCCGAAGCTAGCTTCCTTTCTTGAGTTCTTTTTGTTAATATCACCTACGTTGTGTAGGTTCTCTGTTCTTTCAAGATTAATATCATATAGTCTGGGCCCTTCTGTCACGACATTTGTACCTGCAATAAGAACAATAGTATGGTAATCACTCACACATATCAAATGTGTCAATAAAATCGTGTTACACTCTATCAACTTTTATCAGTATTTGTCAAAAGACCTTATTTTCTTAAAACACAATTTATATGAAATTTATATTCATATTATTTTCCTAACCTTTATAAAAACTTTTTTTTTATTTTCAGACAGTCTTACAGCGCATCTGGCACTTAAAACAATTTACGAATTTAATTCATCTGAGACTAAGGATTTCCAATAGATTACTTTTAGAAATAGCGGAAATATTTTTGGATGGCTGTAGAACCAAAAATAATCTACGCCTTGATTTTTTCTCCTATATGGAAGTTATATAACTAGGATATGCAAGTGAAAAGTGAAAAAAAAACACTGATAAGTAGTTCCTTTACTCACGCGCCTACAGTAGCATCACTAGTATTACGAATAGCTAAAGTACAAGCACTAAGTTCTGTGGATAACTCAAACGATTTTATCCAAGTTCTCATAGCTTTGAAATTTGTCCCTGTAGTGCTAAGGGCAAGAAGATACTTAAGCACGGTAATGGCAGCAAAGGTGGATAAAGAATTGCCAATAGAAGATGGAACAGCGCCGCAATTAACGTCTTCAACCTCATGTCTTGCTAAAATAGAGAGCGTCAATGATGATCATCCAGACAAGTATGTATCCAGTGTGCCGAATAACCGAAAACGACAGAGGCTATCCAATCTCGATCTAAACAGCGGCCAGGGCGATAATGTGGACAACCAAATCGAAGAACCCGAATGCAATACGAAGGCTAGAATGTTAGACAGCAAACAAGAAGACTATGTTGAAATGGAAAAACTGCCAAGCCAAAACTGCAACAGCATGGTAGAGGGAACATTATCCATTGACAGGTTAAAAAGGAAAAGTCCTGAAAAACTGGTGGCATTCGACTGTTATGTAGCCCCTGAGCAGGCCTTGGTCACTAGCGTGGAACTAGTAGTTCCAGCTCCTCAGTCCCAGACCTCGTCGTCAGGCATGCCGGTGGGGCCATCCGAGGAGTCAAAGCCAGATACCCTGGGAGAGTCATCGGCAGCATCGTTGACAACCCTTGATAAAAAACAACTGCAATACAGTACGGCTGGTCTGTACAGCTCTAGTAGTTCTACGAATAAATTAGCAAACGATAAACTCGAAGGTTGTGCAATTGACTCTTCCAATTCGAACTTAAGAATTCCTAATAAGTTAGCAGTAACGACAGCAACTGGTGATATTTTACATGATGATAGAAAATCCTCTTTATGGGCGCCTCACCATGATCAGTCTGAACAGATGCAACAGCACATGGATTCGGCGGCGTCAATTGAGACTAAGCAAGAAATTGTGCATGTTAACCAGGGACTGTCATACGAAAATCAGCATCAGCATCGCCACTCGGAACTTTTGCTTCAGATCGAAAGGGAGAGCTCTGAGACGGGTGCATTCTCGCAAGCAATTTCAGTGCCATTACAACATCCGCTCAATAACGCGACTCAAGAGCAATATGGCCAAACAGAAACCACTCCTATCATGGATAATCAGTTAAATACTAATTTTTATACACATATGGCTCAGCAGCAGCACCTTCATCAAAACCAGCAACAACATGGCTTGCATGAACACATCCCACGTCATCAGCAACATTCAAGTTACACCAGTTACATGCCTCAGTATCAGAATTCCTCGTTGTTTAGTGGCCATCAAAGTGATCATCACCAACGACAGCAGGCGCTACAACATCCATTGGAGTGTCACGGACATATACATCAACTGGTGCCTATTTCCCAACAGCACCAGCAACATTTGCAGCATGAACAGCAGCAACAGCAAACTCATCAGAGCCATCATCAACCGCCCCAGCAACAACACCAATTGCACGAAACTTACCATGATCTTATTATGGATGATTTTCACGAGGAACCAACCACTGCTTTTAAATTGTAAGTACTTTACCCGCGTAAGACATCAGATGGTTTTGGGAAAACAAAGCATTGAAACATGAAATAAACATGTTTTAAATAACTACTTCAAGTTTCAATGTTTTGTGGTGTCTGTAAATAACCTAAAACAAGCACGGTAACTTAACGATTAAAGGAATAAAAAGTTGGAATCTGTAATAGGATGAGTTAGTGATTTTCACGGAGGATGGATGGCGAATTTGTCAGAATCTTACTTAGTCTCTTAGCCTCTACAGACTTTTTATGTTGGTGGAGTATCTTTTGATAATCGTTCCATCTTGTGTCTTAAGAATTATTTGCCTACACCATTTTGGGGTTCTTAGGGCATAGATCCTGTTACCCACAACTAGTGTATCTCTCTTGTCCAAGAAGTCCGGCTAAAAAAATAATGTGGTGCTGTTTAACCACTATGTAGGATTCCCTGGCTGGCTTGCCTCTGCTTTCTTCTGCGGTCCAGCTTGCGATGCATCTGGACATCTTTTATCACCGCTAAGGGAAAAAATAACAGTCGTTTCTTGTCAACTTCGAATTAAGTCCTTTATACAATCTTAACGTCGGCAGGTCCCGATGGTATCCGGGCATTTACCCTAGGTCGAGCGGGATGTCTTTAGCGATGTCTTTCGCAATTACGTTACTAACCAGACCCGAGGTTTCCCTGAATCCTGCGATCGAAGGCCCAAGGATCTTTCAATTCTTCAAAACTGCTGTGAAGAACCTAGACTGTGTATCACGTTTGGTAGCTTTAGCTAACGGTTGTACCACATTCACGGACTTCTCTCTATTCTTGGACCACGCGATGATTTCCTGGAAGAAGAGCTGCCTATTAAGCCGTGATGGGGCTAGGGTCAAAAGGTTAAGAATGATGGTGGGTGTGATACTGTGTTATTTGATAGCTTAGCCAGACTAACTCTCGTCCCGGTTTCCAAGGCATTCTGACCTTCTCGCATACGAGATATGTTTTACTCATTTAGATGTACGCCTTATCTATTAATAAGTACAGACTTTTTACTTGTAAATTTGATTTAATTTTTTTATTCGTTGCAGAACGCTGTCTCCCAGCACCGCAAAGCCTGAGAACCAAGATGATGGCTACGAAACTAGTGCGGGCGACGTTTTAACCCCGAATTCTCATAGCTCTTCCACCCACTCCCTAACGCCTCAGCATCAAATGCAACATCCTAGCATTATGCTTTTGTCGCAAAATCAAAAGAAACCCGATGAGCTTCTATTAACAAAGAACCTTCAGACTGGCGAAGTTCAATCTGAGCACACTGCACCCTCGTCCAAGGGTATGCAAAGACAGGTTTCTGCTTCCCAAAAACATATTGAACTGCCTGGAGGAGGCACAGTGTGCTCCAGTCATGCTTCTGTCGTCGAGGCTTACAGCTTTATGGGCGAGGAAATGCGCACACATTCGCCGTCCCAACGCCATATGGAGACTGTTACTCTTGGTTCAGCGCGCTATTTGACAGAGACAGTGTCGATGCCAGTCTCTAGTGCTACAGAGTGCCTAAGCGGTGAACTGTTTCAGCATAGCCCAAGTATATTGGAACAAACAGAGACCTCACAAAGCGGGTTGCTTTCTAAGCCTCTGCCGAAGAAAAGGGGGCGTAAAAAAAAGCTAACTCTTGATACTATTGATACCGCGCAGATGTCAGTTTTAGCGACACAACAGGAGTAAGTAAATCGACTCTTAGTTCTCTACATATTAAAATATAATTCATCTAAAAATAAAACAATTTTTGAAAGGGGAGTTTCTCGCTGAAACTCTACTAAAAGTATTTAATGCATGATAGGACGATTACCATATATCACATAGAATTGAAAAACTATGGAAAATAAGGCCATAATTTTTTAATAGCCTTGAAATATAATTATAATTTTAGTTAGAAGCTTACAACACAGTGAATAAGTCTCTTTTGTCCCCCTAAAATATGAGTGTGGCATTTGGTTAAACTTTTCCGTGAATAAAAAAGTTTACAAATGGTAAAAACTCTTCCAATATGGCCGGGACGATGACAATGAAGAGTTTTGCTCTGGACGCTCAAGCACGTTAGCATCTCATGAAAACGTTCAAGCAGTGAAGAAAATTGTTTTGGAAAAGGGTTGAATCACTTTCAGAAAAGTTGCTGAGGATGTCGGTATATAGCTTGGCTTGTGTCTTAAAATTTTTTCTAATGTTTTGGACATGAAAATTAAAAAAATTTTTTTTTTTAAATGACGCATCAACTATTGCATGATGATTGTTGATTTGAGTATTTGTATTTGCTTAATTAACCTTATATTTTGTAATCATGTCTTATGTTTAACAAGTAATTCTACATTTTTTAACAAAACAAATATTTATATTTCTAGCTTATCTGGCGGCAAAGCGAGCTGTGAAGGTGGCGATAGTCAGCCTCTGCATTCAATTAAACCCAAGGAACGTAAAAAACATGACCGATTTAATGGAATGTCCGAGGAAGAAGTTATTAAACGAACAATTCCAGATCATCTGTGTGATAATCTCGATATTGTTATAGTGAGTTGTAAATTTCGAATCGATATATTAATTTTTAAATGTATTACACGCAGACGCAAAAAGTAAATACCGGTTTTTGTTTTCAACCATTTACAGGTTGGAATAAATCCTGGTTTATTCGCCGCATACAAGGGCCACCATTATGCCGGCCCCGGCAATCACTTCTGGAAATGCCTTTACTTGGCGGGTCTCACCCAGGAGCAGATGAGTGCCGATGAGGATTATAAACTGCTTAAGCAGGGGATCGGATTTACCAACATGGTGGCTCGCGCCACCAAAGGTTCAGCCGACCTGACCCGCAAGGAAATCAAGGAGGGCAGTCGAATATTACTGGAAAAACTACAAAGGTTTCGGCCAAAAGTAGCCGTTTTTAATGGCAAACTAATATTTGAGGTGTTTTCGGGGAAAAAGGAATTTAATTTTGGTCGCCAACCTGATCGTGTCGAAGGCACTGATACCGTAAGTGCTATCTATTGTTATACCCTTGAAAGGTTTTTACGAAGTCCCAATAAATATTTTCTTGATCAGCATAATGATCTGAATCGAAATACGTCTGTACGTCTGACCGTCCGCCTATTCTCCTGTCTGTTTTTATGTAAACTAGTCTCTTAGTTTTAAAGCTATCTGGAAGAAACTTTCCCAAAAGTCTAGACCGATTCAGATGATGATGCTGATTAAGAATATATTTATATATCTGTAATCATACCATAATAAAGTCCGATCCCTGGCTTTTCACAATAGAAGAAAGCACTTGCTGCGACCCCATTAATCATATATGTATATCATAACCACTGATCGTCAGTTTGAACGTATGACGTATTTTGTTTTGATATTTTCACAGTAGTATACAATTTGAAACGTTTTTCATTGCAGTATATCTGGGTGATGCCTTCATCTTCAGCACGATGCGCACAATTGCCTCGCGCTGCCGACAAAGTTCCGTTCTATGCCGCCCTAAAGAAGTTTCGCGACTTTTTAAACGGTCAGATAAGCCACATGGATGAGTCCGAATGCGTTTTTACAGATCAGCGAATCCGCCAGTGTAGTGAGCAGCAACAGGCGGAAAATAGTAGTGTTCAGCAATTGCATCAAACTCCTTCTGGAGATCATAAAACCGGTTTAGGTTTCGTGGGAAACTGCAATTCTTTAACTGCAAAAACTGCGGAGTGTGGAAATGTGGCATCTGTTGCCGATAATGCAGAGCAGGCCCAATCTGAGGGCCAATCATCTCATAATATGTCGGACAGAGGATCGTTTTCCTTTACGGGTGACAATAGAGCCATGTTACCAGTTTCAAATCAGAATCCCCCCCGAACGAAAGCTCATACTTATCTGTGTTCGGACCTCAGCAATCTCTGCCACATCAACCTCTTGAGAAGAAAAAACGGGGCCGTCCCAAAAAGATTAAGGGACAAGACCTTATTGATAACTCCGTTGGAAACAAAATGACCATGGCAGGACAACATATAGCGCACCACGATCTGAACAACATACTTAACCTATCAGTGATTCCTGGCGGAGGCAGCATTGAAACACCAAAAAAAAGAGGGGCAGGCCAAAGAAACTAAAACCCGCTGTAGACAACATAATATTAGTCAAACAGCTTCAGCACGGAAACACTAACCCGAACACATCAGCAGGTTTGTCAGTGAGCTCAATGCATCCACTTTCAATGGAGCATATAGCAGCGTCCCCTCAGAGCAATCATCAAATGCCACCAAGTTTGTACAATACCCCACCACCGTCTCACCTTTTGTACACGGCCTCGGCATCACCAATGGCTTCCCCCGCCCTAAACTGCAACTATAGTCAAGTACACGGGCATGGAACGCCACCGGTGGGGCAAACAAATACAGTCGCTCAGGGCACGTCCCCTATTATCGATTCGCAAAACGAACACCTGTCTTCACAGAAGACGAGTCAGCATGGAAGCCTTGAGGTTGGTCTAGATATGCGGGACCAACCCCACTTGGGTGAGACTCCTCCACCGAGTTCGCCTAACATTTGTACCGCCATCGATTTCGATCCACCAGAAGAGCGCTCCGGTTGCCAAACGCGCTTGGCGGAGGAAAATAAAGTAGTTGAGCTAGGTGAACAGCAATCACAGATGTTGGAAAAAGACCAGTACGAAAGTCCCGCTCACGATGCCGGAACGCATACAGCCCATAGTCACGAGCACTATCAGCACTGGCTTCCCCCGCATCCCCACCACAGTGTTCAGCCAGCCCAGAAGCACCTCCAACAGCCGATGCACCACTTCCATGGAAACCAGCCGGAGAGCTGGCAGCAGCGATACGAAGAGGCGAATTCGAATCCGTATATGCTCATTTCCGGCCAGCCACGGTTGGGCAATCAGAGTCATCAGAATGCCTCACAATCGGGTAGCATTGGTTCAGATGTGGCCCGTAAGAGCTTATGTGGTCTCGAATCGCTAGTTGATCAAATACCCGCAATTACAGAGCACGAATGTGGCAACATACCGTCGGCGACTGCAGCGGCAGCAGCGGCCGCTGTTGAAAATCGTTTGTTAGGCTTGCAGCAACAGCAACAGCAGCAGCAGCAACAGGAGCATAATCAGCAACAACAGCATCAACAGCAACAGCATCAACAGCAACAACAGCAGCATCAACAGCAACAACAGCATCAACAGCAACAACAGCAACAACAGCAACAACAGCATCAACAACAACAACAACAACACCACCAGCAACAGCAACAGCAATCAAAACGTTGTGATCAAGAGAATCAGGGGCAGGCGGAGTTGGGTAAACATCCAAGAGAGAGTGGCAGTGTGAGCAATAGCAACTTCTCGGTGAGCAGTCTAGCTGCTTCCGCTTCGACAGCAAGATCTGACAACGAAGCTATGTATGGTAATGGTGGAGAGATTCGAGGAAACAGTGAAAGCAGTAATAACAACAATTGTTCTAACCTCATTGAGTATCCTATTCCAACCGGGTTTTCCCATCATGCAACTCATCTTATCGGGAGCGCACTGGGGGCAACCATTAACAATTCAGACCCCAATCATCTACCGCTTTCGCACCCTCATCAAACTCCGCATTCGCATCCGCATCCAATGTACATGGACCAGACGCACCACTTGGCCCATATCCCACCAGTTAATGTGAGTTCGATTTACGGTCCATCCGCCTACGGGTCGCATCCACAGCATAACACAGGAGACTATACAGCTGGCCACTATAGTCTGGGGAGTAACGTGCAGTCCACTGGTTCACCCAGCACTGCTACTTTACATGTGCCTAGTCCAAATTATCCCTTTGGACACCATCCATATGGTCACACACCGCCCCAAGCTAGTTATCCAGGCTATACTCACCCTCATACGCACCATCATTCGCACCACAGTCATCCCTCGCATCATCTCAACGTTTTCGATCACCTGAAGCCGTCGGACATAGGGGGGCTACGGAGGTTTTTGATTAAAAAAACAAGGGCAACCAGGGGAACAGCAACCGATAATGAGATCAGAATCGCAACGATCCTTCGTATACAGCGACTTGGTGTGAATAGAAATCGTTTACTTGTACGATTTTGCGTCCCGCCGCATCCCAGCAATATTTATCAATCTCCGGCTTTGCCGATTCTACCTTAAGAAATTTTTAGATCTTATATATATATTAAGATAACCAAAGACTCCGCCTAATATAATTATTTAAGAGTTACTTTCTTTAATTACGAAATACTACATATGATAATGTTTAACTAAATAAAATACGTAACCCACAGTAAAGTCTATACTTAAACATTTGTTTGTAATTAATATTACTTAATGTTAACGAACTTTATTTCATAATCGCAATAATAAATTGCTTACAATACTACAACAAATTAGGCTTCAGAAAAACACACATAAAAATGTGCCAGGCTTAAATATGTGGCCGATAGATGTCGCCACTATATTTTACAGTTGTTATTCTAACATATATCGATTTTCAATATGTTTTCTGCTTAATAATAATATTTGTAATCATTTTATAATGTATATAAACATGTAGAAACTTTTTGAAACTGAATTTATTTAAAAGAATAAAAAATTATTCGTGATCTATGCAAGTATTTAAAAGTTTTGACATAAACGTGAAAATAATGAAAATAAGTTTATTTATTATATTTACTTTCTTTATTTTCCGGTTATCACAAAAGTTGAACTCGAAGTTGTCTGTCAATATGGGTATCAAGTTTTTTTTTTATATTTTCAAATAATAATAATTCACCTAAAGCAAATATCAGTATAAAATAATTTATTTTCGTTATCGGTTTAAATTTTATGCTCTACCGGTTTTCTTTGTTCGGAAATAATTTTTACTTATGCCAATATATAAACTCTACTTCTAACCAAGCAAGTTATGCTCAATTTCGACTTCAATTTCGACTACAATTTAACATTTTTCTAATTACTATAAACAGACCAACAATGCATAACCGGTATTTTGAAAATGTAAAATATTTTTGCGGTAGTTATTTATTCTGTAATGTTTGCTCCTTGGAAAAACATTTTCAAGACAAGGGTATCGCATAGCTGTTATTATTATAAAATAGGCATCGAGATAGAATGTAAGCATAAGAACTTTTATTATTGTATGTATTTATTTTCATCAATTATATGGTTAACGAAAATATACTTCTGATTCGTAAGTTCTTTATTTGAACCCAAATGCTTTCTCGTGCATGTGAAGAATTTTAATAAAACTACAAAGTTAATTATTTATAAGAGATTTTTTTTGTTTTCAATTTTTGTGCACCTTAGTGTTTTTTTAATCGGTAAAGAAAAAGATTTGTTTTCAATTTTTTGTAACATTATAACCAGTTCTTCTCAGTTTTGAAAAAAATAGGTAATATTTGAAAAACCTAAATTACCAAAAAAAAAATAGTAATTAAATGATTTCACTTTTTTACTGACCTAAATCATACTTAACCGATTTTCGTTTAAATGGTTCGGAAATCTTTGACTAGGCAAGTACATATTATGCTGTGATATTCTTTTGTTAAATACAAAATCGACTAATATTTCTTATACTTTTGTATTTTTACCTTTTTAGATAAATACATACCTTTAAACGGGATTATTTTAGTTTAAAATTCTGCACAATGGGATATAGGTTAACACAAGCTGAAATATTTTAATATATATAAAAAAAACAGGGATTCCCTTTTCTTGTGGATTTTATTTAACAGTTTTATACATTTAAAAGTTGTGTTCTACTCGATATAATATCACTGCAATTATCGAAGATCAATATATAAATAATCCTAGCAGTAAACATTCAAATGCGTTGAAATATACTTATGCATATGTATGTGTCATGTTTTAATGTGTCATAAATATGTACGTATGTAATTAATACTGAAGACTGTGACGAATTGTGTATAGTGCGTGTAAACAAATATTTAATATAATATATATACCGTGTACGATAAAAGTTATTAGTTGAGCTTTATTTTAATGCCATGGCCCTTGCATTATTACTAGTAAAAAACAAAGGGGTTGAGAAAGTCGAAGTCTCGACTACGTTAGGTTGTGTCTTAAAAACTTAGTGGGTCCATTGTGATGCCTTAATTTGGTTGTATTATTCCCCTACCGCAAAACAGAAATGAAGTTAAATACCTTGGTGGGGCTAACAGATTTCAGTTCGGCAAGATTTGCGAGGAAAGATCTGCCCAACTAATTATGTATGTGCACGAGTTAACATACCCCTAGTTAACATACCACATGATAACAGCGGACCCGGAGTAAACACGCCATAGTTAACATACCCCTGTCACTGGCCAAAGAATAACAGCAGACCCGGCAACCCCAGTGCTGATGGACAACAACAAATCGCCAACATGCCATAACTCTGACGAACGCACGGGTGCATGATTTGATTAGGTGGGACACCACATTTGAAGAGCAGTCATGCTCAGATAATACTGAAGATGAAGATGAGGACAATACTTTACACTTCAGTCAAATGGTTGAAGTTGTTAAATGTATAATTTGCCTTAACACTCCGCGTGATGTGGTACTATTACCTTGTAGCCACTTCAAAATATGTTTTGAGTGCTACAAAGTGATGAAAATGAAAGCGGCGAAGTCTCTATTGCTCTGCCCATATTGCAGGCAAATAGTAGACAGCCAAATCAAAGTTTATCAATAATGTTTAAATGAAATAAATGACATGTTAACACAATTTTGTATTTTAATTTACTTTATTAAAAGCGCAAGCAAAAATTGTTTTACATAAAATCCATACATACATACCAGGTATTTCATTACTATTAGGTTCGGGCTGCTCCCTCCTGAGTCGATTGACTCTGTACCCGGCTCTTGGATCTCTTCTGATCCGCACTTACATGCACCCATTTATACCAGGTATTTCATTATTATTAGGTTCGGGCGTTAATGCACTTCTCATAGTGTCATAAGGCCCACAAGAAAAATGACATAGCGCCCGCGGGCGATATGACACTTTCAAAAAGTGACGGAACGCCCGCGGGCGCTATGACACTGGGCGTTATGCCATGCACCCGTTGCACACTTGTGCTGCAAAAGAAACCCCGACCGAACAAGAGTTATAAAAACTATGCTTTTTCTTTTCAGGAATCAACGAGAGCAGCTGGAGCCTGGGCGCCTTCCCTGCCTCCCTGGCACATAAAACCAAGTTTGGGCCAGATTCACAGCAGAGCAGGTCAGCGAGGGCTGCAACTTCTCCACTACGAGCAGAGCGAGGAGCAGATATTAGTTTTATGATAAGAAAATTTATTTGAATTGTACAAACCTAAAAGCATAATGTTTAATCATAATATAAAATAATAATAAGATGTAATAGTCACATAAGGAGCTTACTTATAATAATAAAAACTATACTATAAGTTAAGATAAACATATAGTAGGAAACTTAGCTATTATTATATTATGTCTGAATTATTGAATATAATAAAAACTAACTAATGAAATTATTGACTGTTTTAATGTGGTAGGCGGGTGGGGAATTTGAAATACCAGGCAGCCCCCTAATTGTAGCAGAAAGCTTCTGTTAGTAAGCAACTATTTGGTATTGATTTTGGCTGAAAATGAAATACCAGGCAGCCCCCTAATTGTAGCAGAAAGTTTCCGTCAGTAAGCAATTATTTGGTATTGATTTTGGCTGAAAATGAAATACCAGGTAGCCTCCTAATTGTAGCAGAAAGCTTCTGTCAGTAAGCAATTATTTGGTATTGATTTTGGCTGAAAATGAAATACCAGGCAGCCCCCTAATTGTAGCAGAAAGCTTCTGTCAGTAAGCAATTATTTGGTATTGATTTTGGCTGAAAATGAAATACCAGGCAGCCTCCTAATTGTAGCAGAAAGCTTCTGTCAGTAAGCAATTATTTGGTATTGATTTTGGCTGAAAATGAAATACCAGGCAGCCTCCTAATTGTAGCAGAAAGCTTCTGTCAGTAAGCAATTATTTGGTATTGATTTTGGCTGAAAATGAAATACCAGGCAGCCTCCTAATTGTAGCAGAAAGCTTCTGTCAGTAAGCAATTATTTGGTATTGATTTTGGCTGAAAATGAAATACCAGGCAGCCCCCTAATTGTAGCAGAAAGTTTCCGTCAGTAAGCAATTATTTGGTATTGATTTTGGCTGAAAATGAAATACCAGGTAGCCTCCTAATTGTAGCAGAAAGCTTCTGTCAGTAAGCAATTATTTGGTATTGATTTTGGCTGAAAATGAAATACCAGGCAGCCCCCTAAATGTAGCAGAAAGCTTCTGTCAGTAAGCAATTATTTGGTATTGATTTTGGCTGAAAATGAAATACCAGGCAGCCCCCTAATTGTAGCAGAAAGTTTCCGTCAGTAAGCAATTATTTGGTATTGATTTTGGCTGAAAATTAAATACCAGGCAGCCCCCTAATTGTAGCAGAAAGGTTCTGTCAGTAAGCAATTATTTGGTATTGATTTTGCTGAAAATGAAATACCAGGCAGCCCCCTAATTGTAGCAGAAAGCTTCTGTCAGTAAGCAATTATTTTGTATTGATTTAGGCTGATAATGAAATACCAGGCAGCCCCCTAATTGTAGTAGAAAGCTTCTGTCAGTAAGCAATTATTTGGTATTGATTTTGGCTGAAAATGAAATACCAGGCAGCCCCCTAATTGTAGCAGAAAGTTTCCGTCAGTAAGCAATTATTTGGTATTGATTTTGGCTGAAAATGAAATACCAGGCAGCCCCCTAATAGTAGCAGAAAGCTTCTGTCAGTAAGCAATTATTTGGTATTGATTTTGGCTGAAAATGAAATACCAGGCAGCCTCCTAATTGTAGCAGAAAGGTTCTGTCAGTAAGCAATTATTTGGTATTGATTTTGGCTGAAAATGAAATACCAGGCAGCCCCCTAATTGTAGCAGAAAGCTTCTGTCAGTAAGCAATTATTTGGTATTGATTTTGGCTGAAAATGAAATACCAGGCAGCCCCCTAATTGTAGCAGAAAGCTTCTGTCAGTAAGCAACTATTTGGTATTGATTTTGGCTGAAAATGAAATACTAGGCAGCCCCCTAATTGTAGCAGAAAGCTTCTGTCAGTAAGCAACTATTTGGTATTGATTTTGGCTGAAAATGAAATACCAGGCAGCCCCCTAATTGTAGCAGAAAGCTTCTGTCAGTAAGCAATTATTTGGTATTGATTTTGGCTGAAAATGAAATACCAGACAGCCCCCTAATTGTAGCAGACAGCTTCTGTCAGTCTTGTTCGGTCGGGGTTTCTTTTGCAGCACAAGTGTGCAACGGGTGCATGGCATAACGCCCAGTGTCATAGCGCCCGCGGGCGTTCCGTCACTTTTTGAAAGTGTCATATCGCCCGCGGGCGCTATGTCATTTTTCTTGTGGGCCTTATGACACTATGAGAAGTCCGAACCTAATAGTAATGAAATACCTGGTATAAATAGCCGCCCAGCATAATTTATCGTGAGAATCGAGTGCTCAATAGCGTAAGAAGCGCCGCAGGCAAAAATTGTTTTACATAAAAATCGCGCGATTTAAATACAAAATTGTTTTAACATGTCATTTATTTCATTTAAACATTATTGATAAACTTTGATTTGGCTGTCTACTATTTGCCTGCAATATGGGCAGAGCAATAGAGACTTTCATTTTCATCACTTTGTAGCACTCAAAACATATTTTTGGCTACAAGGTAATAGTACCACATCACGCGGAGTGTCAAGGCAAATTATACATTTAAGAACTTCAACCATTTGACTGAAGTGTAAAGTATTGTCCTCATCTTCATCTTCAGTATTATCTGAGCATGACTGCTCTTCAAATGTGGTGTCCCAGCTAATGAAATCATTTTTTTGATTAATTACGGTTATGACATGCACCCGCCAAAAACATGTAAAGCGCGATTGCAAACGAGATAACACATTAAAATCTATTATTAAAAACGGTACTTTCATTGATTCTTGATAAACTTTGCAAGTTTTAAGAAATTGAGGGGGTTATGACACAGGTTGATAAAGTCATAAGGCCCACGGGCGCGGTGACATTTTCGGTGCGGGCGATATGACACTTTCAAAAGTGTCAGAACGCCCGCGGGCGCTATGACACTGGGCGTTATGACATGCACCCTTTTCTAACTACCTTTGAATTTTGAAATAAATTTGATCAATCTTTCCCATGGCAGCTATATTATAAAGTTGTTGGATTTTAACGAAATTTTTTTTTTTTTATATTCAAGGGTTATTAAAGAGCTCTATATTTTGAAATGCTCGTGGGATTAAAAACAACGACGTTATTATTTTTTTTTCCATTATTTATAGCAGCTATATGACAGAGTTATTAGATTTTAATAAAATTTAATCCGAAATTGAAATTCATTCTCTTGTATGGGAGCTATCCTATATAGCCGCCCGATCCGCCCGATACTACCCGGCATTCCGAACTCTTTTTCCAAACGCTACTCACGTTGAACGAATCAAAAACATTTGTATTTCATATCTTTATTAAGTTATAATTTTATAATATATGCACATCGTTTGCAAATTATTAAATATATAGGAACTTTATATGTATACTTCCATATCTGCGAGTTTTACCAAATATTTTTTGTTACTATGATTAATACATAGGTTGTCATTAAAATTACTTTTTCGTTTATGTTTACTTACTCTGAAAGAACGAGTTAAGTGATTTTATGTTGTTTAAATCGATCGACTAAAAGCTATGGTTAACATGCACACATATGTCTCTATGTATATGGCTGACAAAAATGTTTTTTTTATTTTTAAATAAATAAAAAGTATAAGTTCGGAAAAAATGTAATGTAAGGGGAACAAAATGTACACAACCATTATAAATTATATTAATTCTTACATATGTATAAACAAAAGATTTTCATACATAGATTTTGTATATCAACAAAAAAGAAGGGGAAAAAAGTTTTTGTCAATGGTGATATGTTTTGTATTATATATATATATATCTATATATATACATAATACATGTACATGCATATGTGTTGGTTGTTGGTTGTCAGTTGAGCAACGACAGTTTTCATATCGCCTATGATACATATTTTCGATTTTTTATAGTTTTTAAAATTGTTGTGTCACCTTAGTAAACTAATGCATACAGTGTCATTAAAGATTTGGGTTTCTTTCTCCAACAAATACGTACAATACAATTTTTCAGTTGCGAGGGACTTGTTTTACGATTATAAACTTATATGAGAGTGTATGTTAGAGTTGTATATAGGTGTATATAGTTATGTGTGTGTGTTGGCAATTATGAATGCTTAAGTATATAGGTATGAAAATAATCATTTTATTTAATAATTATGGTGTTTCAAACAATTTACACATTTTGAATAATCTAACATTAATGTGGACCTATGTGGTTAATTTCTCATAAATAGTCTGTCCTAAATTTAAAATTTAATAAACAGAAAGTTATTTCATGTATAGTTATTTTTGAGCTTACAAGTAAATATATTTTTGTATATATTTCTGTTTAATTCTATAGGAACTTCTTAGTATATTTTTCTTATGTTTCGCAACGTATATATATTATTATTTGCAGTTAACAATACTCTTATGCTTATAGAAAAGCATATGAACATATATAATGCTTAAATGGCATTCAAGAAATTAAAACAGGAATAGTAGGATTTTTTTTGCAAAAGGAATCAGTCTAATACTATACATTTTTACCACGTGTATTTTCAAAATGTTATCGATTGGCGGAAAGAAATTAACGGTATAAATTAACGGTATAATAAGTTCTGATTTTGCCTTCTCTATATTTAGTGATGGAAGTTTCAGTAAAAAAATTCAAAATCAATTTTGAAATAGTAACCTCTTTTCCTTCCCAGAAGCTTACAATTATTGTTTTCCGTCTCAATATAAAAAAATATTGTAATAGAATATTTAATAAAGCATAAAATGAAAACAAAATTTTAATTTTCTATGAGTTTCATACCCAATAACAAATATTTAACAAGCAAACTATATTAAAGTTTTCAAGAAGCAGTTAAAACTTGGGATTTTCCTAAACTGTATTTTTTCCTTTCCTGTTTGAAATGTTGTGGATAATTTCACTATATTCTTAAAAAACGGAACGTATTCAATTTTGGGGCATATTCAATTTTCATAGATGCAATGTTTTCTATGCTATAAGCATGTATTGCAAAATATATTATTGGCACATTTACTCTCAGCATAATTATGACACAATTAAAAACAAAAGGCTGTTTCTTCATATAAAATTTCCGAAAATTAAGTAGGAACCACCATACATATGTCTTAAGTTTTCGAAATTATGTATTTCGGTATTCATAATTTATATTCTTATGTAGAAAACAAAGGCATAAAGCAATCATATGCTAGGAACTCAGTTTACGTTTCATTAAATCTAATTTATTATTTAGGTTTTAACTTATTTAAGTTAGGCCCTCCATTTAGATTCTTTTAAGATTGCCAAAAATGTGCATACTATATGATTATTGCTAATTTATATTTTGAATAGTTAGGAACACTGCCGTTTATTTAAGAAATTCTTACTTATGTATATTGAAATATGTATTCGCAAGAATTTCAATACATATACTATATCTGTATAGTGAATTGGTTCATGGAATGTCAATGTTTTTATAAATTTCTGCAAAATAGGAACTCTTATAGTTTTTGTAGTGTGGTTTATTTATGTTTCTTTTCGTTTTCGCGTAAGTATTTTTGACTATCATTGTGCGATTGTTCGTAGTCTGTAAGGCAAAATATGATTAGTGTTGGATAACGTTTAAATTTAAGAACTTACCTACATTTTAATCACTATCCATGGTATTAAGGCCATACAAACTCTTCCATTTACTTTCCACCTATAACTAATAGAATAAAAGTTACTGGTTTAGTTTTTAACGAATTTCGTGGGCCATTGATTTAGACTACATCAACTGAAAATTGTAAATTTTAAAGTTGTCGAAACCAAAGCATTATTAGAAGATAACAAGTAATAAAAATGCAACGATAAAGTAAATTTATTTTTTAAATAAAATATTTATTTTTGTACATGTTTCAGTATGTTAAAGTTATTCGGTTCTTGGGATAATGGGTTAACATTTACATTAAACATATAAAGATTTTTACGCACTAACGAAGTGTCAATATCTGTATTTGTAGCACCAAAAAATCAATTTCTACGAAAATAATTCGAATTTTAATGGTTGCTTTTAAAAAACATTGAAATAGTTATGCAAATTCAAAGGCAGAAGGTATTATATAGGAGAAAAAGTACCATGTACTGCTTTGCTGATTGAGCTTAACACTTAAAGTGTTCAAATTGGCTTGGGATGTCATAATTAAATAAAAAACATCTAAATTGAAGAGCCGTCACTTCTCTATAGTTTTACACTCACCTACATACATATACACGTCTATAAAAATGTTTGTTTTAGTATTTATGTAATTATGATTATTATTATATTTAAATTTGCGAGGCGTTTAGAACATATTTCTACAACTAACATTTCTATATATTTTTTTAAAAATACGTGCCTGCTCTAAACATTTTTCGAATGTTTTTCAAAATATGGACATCAAACAAACACAATGGTTACATTAAAATAAAATTGATAAAAGAAAATGTATAATTTATGTAAGAACCAAAAGCAAGCTGTACTTAAAAAGTGAAATCTGATCGACAAATCAAATTCATACAGTTTTTAATCTCCCCGGTGAGAAACTCTTACCGGTGATATGGTTTCGGTTGAATAGCTGCTGCATAAGTTCCTGATTACCAGTAATTTTTCGCACATCATCAGTGCCGACATCATCGGCAGATAAGTTGTGCTGGATGTGACTCTTTGAATCAATGCCAGCATTATCGTAGTTCTCTTCAGGAACTGAATCTGAATCCTGTCTGGAACCTGGGGTAAGATTTGCATTGCCGGCCGCATTGGGCACAACGTGTTGGAACAGAAAAGCCTTCGATAAGTTGTAGAACCTTTTCTCCCTGTCGGAATCGTTGTCGTCGCTGCCGCTGCCATTGCTTTGGGCGTAAAGCTCGGTGGTTTGTTCGAGTAGCTTCTTCATCTTGCAGATATGTTCTACGCTGAAAGCGTGCTTTCGGATGTTGACTTGGGTGACTTGGCAGAGATGGCAGTCCTGTAGATTTACCTCGAGGTCGTGTTCCAAGCCGGACACACCATTGGCCTTTAAATCGCTGGCAACCTCCTTGCCACTGGAGCCATCGTAGCTGTTATCGTCGGATATGTGAGCATAGTGTCGTTGATTGCGGGATTTTTTGTCTTTTGCCCGAGAGTTTTGAAACCAGACCTAAAATAAATAAATAAATGATGTTTCGTAACACTTATTTTCTTTCTGTGATACATGTACAACAAAACCTATTTTTTCACAGTTAAAATATAGGTGTATTTACCTTAAGTTTTATTGGCAAACAGGAAATTATGGCATAAAAAAATCAGTCTGTAACCCAAAAACGGGCTCGGGCTTTATGTTTACGATTGTCTAGCTTTTTAAAGGTCTGGTTTGCGTTCTCACTAAAAAAATCAAATAAAATACAATAAAAAATTAATGGTGTGGAAATCATAAAAAGGCTGAAAATAAAAAGAACAGAAAAATTAAAACAATGAAATTTTTCAGTGTACGAATCTCTTTAATCTCTTTTAGAACATCGCTAAATAAACTCGTCCGATGATCCAAGTTTTTCTTCTTAATTTCACCTCTAACACACCTTAAAACAAATACAGTAAGTGTTGTAACAGGCTGGGTATTAATTATGTATACTAACTTATATTATTATTATATTACTTTGTAAACGCTGGCCACACTTCTGATCTGTCGAGAGAGGATGTGCTCTCTCGAGAGAGTAAGCAGCTGAACAAAAACGGGCAGTGGCGTACATAGATAGCTTTTTGATATGGGGGGGGGGGGGGGGGGTTATGCACAGTCATCGCGTAAAAATGTGTGTTTCTTTTTCAATTTGGAGAGTTTTACCATTAATTGCCGTATTGCACATTGAGACAAAAAAAATATTGGCGCTTCAAAAATGTTATGCTTACATTAAAACACATGCCTGGAAAAAATTCGATTTTATCATCTAATAATTCTCAGACCCAAGGGGGGGGGGGGATTGATCCCCCTGATCCCCCCTATCTACGCTACTGTAAACGGGGGTTGAAAGTTAGCTGCCTGTGAGCAGCGAGTCAGTTCGTATTGAAAGTTAAAAGAGAACAAAATAAAGTAGATCCTGATACGGTGTATACTTAAATCGTAAGAAAAAACAACAAGTAATGGTGTTGTTCTGCTTATGCATATAAAGCACGCTTTCAGTTTTTTAGACTTAGTGATGAAAGTACTTACTTGCACTACGCGTTTCTTTAGATTTACTTTCTTGGAAATCTCCTCGAGCATCTTTCTGCTTGGGTTCGATTCGGATTGGTAGCATTCGTACAGAAAATTCAGTTGCTCCGGAAGTATGGTCGTACGAAGACGTTTGTTTTGCTTAGAGGAAACATTCACCGGTGACACAGCAGTCCGTTTCTCCAACTCGTTTGACTTATTGTTAGATATATTTGATTCCTCCTTTTGGTATGCTCTGTCTTCGTCATTAAATGTCAAGGTTTGAGAGCTGTTCTCAATCATTGTGGCATCAAGGAAGTCCTCAAGATTGTGTAGGTACTGTGACTTGTCCTTCTCAACTTTTTGTAAGGATTTTGAGTCTAAATATTTGTTATCGTCGTTATTTGTTATTGGTGTCTCTTCTATTATTTCAACTGACTGGCTGCCGTTTGCCTCGGATGCATCTGACTCAACCAGGTTGATATCAATGTTATTGTTATTGAGCTGTTCCACTTCCATTTTGTTCTCTGGCGACTTATTTTCCTCAGGTGGCCGGTCCATGCCCAACTGTTCCCCTTTTTGTAGTTCCGTTGCCTGCGCCAAATGTGTTTCGCCGATAACACTTATCGTTTCGTTCGCCGTTTCTTTCGGAATGTGCGACGGCTTGTAAAGTGGGCCATCAGGCGTTACTAGGGGCGAGGCAACTAACTGAAAAAACTTTTTCGACTCATTTAGTTGGTAGTACTGTAGCAGAAACTCAATCGTAGGCTTCTTTATGGAGCTAAAGGGGTGCTCGGCTTTTGTCTTTAGATCTGTCTCCTCTTGTGTGTGGTAGTACTGCAGTAAAAAATCATAATTACTGACTTTTTTCAATTCGCTCTGCTGATAAAAGTTAGTAAGAAACTCAAGTTCAATGTCGGGCACTCTTCCTTCTTCCTGCAATGCTTTCTTATGCTGGTAGCGCACTAGGAACTGTTGTTTTATCTCTGGGTTCGTTTCATTTTGCATAAAATATTTGTAGAGGAACTCGTACTTTTTATGCGAAGCCTCGAGCTCTGATAGTGTTAAAATTTCATCTGCGTTGGAGGAGCTGTCAGAGTATTTTCGTTTTTTTGTTGGCGGTGGTTGGTGTTTCGACTGTTGCTGTTGCTGTTGACCCGCCGCATGTTGTAGGCTTTGCAATATACTACCGAACGGACCGAAGTTGGTTTCCGAATTAGAGCTCTGCTGGCCTGCGTCTGTAAAAATGTTAGCGGAATTCATCAGGTGCAAAATTTGATGCTCTCGCAATTTTTCCAGTTGGTTAAACTGCAAATCGCATTTATCACAGTCAAGCTTCGGAGGTCGTTGTGGATGGTCCAAACTATTGCTGCGTTCTCGTTGGGGCGGTGTGGGTGTTGTGGAAGGACTGAAGTCTGTCAGAGAAGATGACTTTGCAAACAGAGGCTGAGGTGAAGGCAGAGCGCCAAAAGATTGCTGCACGTACTGTCCCGGCAAGGAATTTGCAGAAACGGTTGTCGACATGGGTTGCGAAACTACAGTGGAGCCTGGTGGCAATATACCTACATGGTGTATATCCATGGATGAGTTCGAATCCTCTGAGCTCAGGTTTTGAGCGATTTGCGCAGCAGCAATTTGTGCCTTGGCTGACTTCTTATTGTTTTCCTCCTTGAAGCAGTGATTTTTCTGATGACGTATAAGCTCATAGTACCGCTGGAACACCAAGCTACACTTTTTGCAGGCATAGTTAATATTCTGCTTTTTCGTCTCCTCATTTTCAAAGAGGGAGTTATTCGGTTGGTTCTCATATATCTTGCGTTGTTTTTGCCTGGCATTTTGAAACCAAACTACTATAACTCTAGGGGATAACAACAATAGCTTACTCAAATACTCAAGATCACTGTCTTTCGGGTATGAATTGTTCTCGAAAAATTCCTGCAAAACCTTGATTTGATAGTCCGTGAAACGTGTTCGGTTCGCTCGCTTGCCACCCGAGGTCGATGATGATGAGCTCGATGAGTTTGAGGAATTACTTTCGAATTGAGTGCAAGCACTCGCGGAGCTTGAGTTTGGAGTTGCGTTTTTATCGAAGGTTTTTCCAACAATTTGCAATTTTTTTGGCGGCCCCATATTACTTCCCATATTCTCCAATTGCTGGTTTATTAAATCGTTCATACTGCCGTATAGATTTCCGGCAGTTCCACTGCTGGGAGTTGGCGGTCGTGACATCACATCGGAGCTACCACTCTCGGATTTCGTTTCAAAAATATTTGTTTGCTGTTGACTTTGACAGTGAACAGCCAGTGAAGAACTTGCAAGAAGAGATGGATCCTGCGAAATGTCAGTATCGTGATTTGTTATCGACTGCTCTTGGGAGTCCACAACATCATGCTGATGTTTTAAAAAGTTGAAGTTGGGTTGAAGTTTCGCTTGAAACCCAAAGTCACTGGCCAAAATCATATCATCCTGAGGTTCTGATTTTATTTGATCTTCCACACAACAAGAGGTTCCCGGGTCCTTACCCCCTTGTTGTGCGAAAAGCATATTGTTGCTCAGGTAATCAGATATATTGCCGCTCGAGTTGGTCGATTCTGGGCGAGAAACAGGCGTCAAAATTGGAACAGTAGAGGGAAATACAACGGGCAGGGTTGCGCTTGCTTTCCCTAAAGTGGTTACTTTGGTATTGGCATTTTCTTTAGCAGTAAAGTTGCTATTCGCAGATGGTACTGATGAACTTGTCGAAGATGTCATTGGTGCCTGTGTGGTGACGCTACTAGGATCATTTAAGGGCGTAACTTTGGCTTGTCCTGTACGCTCATATTCTTCCAAATTTAAAGTTGTTGACGGTGGGTTATTGAAATTATAGGGCGAGTCCTTATTGCGCTGTCTTTCTTTGAACAAAGTGTTACGGAACCAATGTTTAACCACCTGCAATTAAATCAATTTTTTATACACATTCTTTAGTCACGCTTTAGAAGCTTTACCTTCATTGGAAGATTTGCCTTCTGGGACATTTCCATAATGCTTTCTTCGCTTGGGGAGTTATTTATGTCAAAGTGTGCCCTTAAGATCTTTAACTGATCATCTGTAATACGCGTTCGGGCACGTTTTTGGTTGCTGGCAAGCTGTAAGAATCAGAAAATGTTTAACAGTCAAGAAACTCTAAAACAAATATTCGTCTTTCAATTATTTACGGAAGATTTAGATTCAATTTCTCAAGTAAAACAACTGCAACGGAGTGAAGGATACAGCTCAGCAGTTTATATTTTTTAACATAAGAGTACGACATTTGAAAGTACTTTTTTTTGGTCACCTTTTTATGCTGTAACTATAGAGAATGTACAAAATCTAGCCCATCCCTTCTCAAGTTGTTAACTTTATCTTTACAAACTTTTTACATTTTCTTATTGGTTTTTTTCCTAAAGAAAGGGAAACTAGGAGACTAGTTTGCGTAGAAACATAAAAGTGGACACACAGACGATTGGAACATCTAGATCGACTCAGATGGTGATCATGAATATATATACCTTATGGGGAAGGTTAAGTCCCCTTCACTGCTTTCCAAGTATTCATTGAAAATATAATAGCTTCTGTGAAGATGAATAACTAAATTCTTCTAATGTATCATTCTATTAGTAAATATATTTAAATGAGTTCTCCGGATGTTATACTCAGTCTTTTCCTCCTTCCAAAAAAAAAGTGTTTTCAAGTTTACTCAATCTTATTTTGAAAACGTTGGTCAAGTGCCTTAAGATCTAAGAGCTGTGTTGTCTAGCAGATAGCGTGCCAACTATAGTTTTAACCTTCTATTGATCATATAAAATAGTTTAAATAAGTTGATCTAAATACAGTACCTGAGAGTTTGAGTTGTTATTCTGCTGTGGTTGAGCTAGGACTTTTAAAGAGTCAACTGGTAGAACGTTATTACCGCTGGTAAGCTGAACATCAGCTAATCCCGAAGAAGCACTCACTGTGGTGGGGGTAACGCTGTTATTTTGGGCGCTACACACCGGAACCGCATTGCCACCGGCGGCACTCGCTCCGAATACCAAGGGTGGTGCCAGGTTCATAAAGTTAAGGGACATCAAGTGGTGGAACTGCATTAGATTAAGCATATCTACCGGGTTAATCGGTAGTCCCGAGCCAGCAGCTACGGCACCAAATTGCTGTTGCATATGCTGAAGATTTTGCAAATTTTGTAGACCCTGAAAGAAATCGAAATCGAAATAACATTCAAGCATACAGATTTGATAATAGGCTGGTACTACCTGCAAGTGCTGAGAAATATCTCCAGAGGGCAGCGATGGGGCTTCGGAGAGGGCTCCCACACTATCTGAGTTACATTGCTGTTTGAGCAAAGCTGCTAATGTGGCGAGATATTGTTGTTGGGTCTGGTAATCTGGAGACATTGGGCTTGGTGTTAAGCGCCTTGGGTCTTTGCCAAGATCTGACTCCAGCCGTAGCGGAGACGAATCAGTTAAGGTGACCTCGTTTTCAACCACATGGGTTTCCGTTGGAGGAGGCTTGTTCATCTCATCGGCATACAACGTCGGCGTCTGTGGAATGTTTGACGTTGCCGTTGCTTCATCTTCCGAGTGCGCCTGCTCCATGTGCTTATGCAGTGCCTGCGTGCTGCGAAAGTTGCGTTGGCAAAGCGAGCACTTTGTAGCTTCCCGCATTGTGTGGTAGAGCATGTGCGTGGTGAGCTTTTCTTGGGTTTTAAATGCCAGAGAGCACTGCTTGCAGCGGTACTTATAGACATGGCGCTCCGAAATAACCGAGCTCATGTGTGATTCTTGGAAATGGCTAATCATAGTTGAAATGGTTCGAAAACTCATGTAGCAGGGGCGACTGGCGTGGCTCGACGCGAGACACAAGAACTCTCCGTTTTGAGACGAAAAGTGTTGGTTTTGCTGCGCGTGCTGAAGCAGCTGTTCCTCGTGCTTGAAGCTGGAGTCGCACTGCTGACAGGTGAATCCTTGCATTCTGAGAGGGGGGTTTGGGTCAGTGGCGATGTTGCACTTGATTGCGTTTGTACTAGAGGCCAAGAAACTGGATGTGCACTCCTTCAAACCTTCATTTACTGGTGTTGTTGCCTTCTCCGATACTTTATCAGAGTATGAGGCTTGAGTGCTAATACCTTCACTTTCTTTCTTCCACGCTTTCTGATCCACGAGCAACAAAAGCCGAGAAAGACCATCCCTAGTGACACTGTGAACACTTGTTAGATGCGCCTCCAGGTACTGTTTCTCATGGAAATTATTCTCGAGACACAGTGGGCATTGCATCCCAACTCCGTGAGATTCTGGAGCTGTTGGAGCCATTGCCTGAGGGGTAGCTTTATTGGCATCTTCTATAACCGCAATAGTATCGTCTTCCTCCTCCAACTGCTCTCGTTTGATGGTCGCAGCATTCCCACTAGCATTCTCGTCCAAGACCTTATCCGCTTCGACAGTGTCAGTATCTTGTATTGGTGCACTGATAGTCGCGCAACGCTGCTGAACGGCAGCCAGGGCAGCTGCTGCCACTGCAGTTTGAAAAGCCTGTAAAGCAACCGTGTTGGTCGGTATACTCATAAAGTCATCACTCTCGGCGCAGGGGTGCTCAGTCTCTATATGTGCAGCCATGTCGGTCTTCGATTGAACGAAGTATTCGCACAGATTGCACTTGAATACTGTGGTAGGAAAGGGAGCACCCGAATCAATGCTATTTGTACTTGAAGATGCAAGTTGACCCAAAGACTTTCCGCACAATGACGCGGAGCTTGAGGCAGATAGTTGAGGTAAAAATTTACTGCTATCGGGAATAGCAGGGATTCCAGTCCCAGACGACACCGAAACTCTACTGGCATCCAAGTCTCCGTCATTTGTTCCGATTTTGTCCAAGTTAAAGCCACTGTCAAAAGCATTATCTGAAATATTAATTATACAATTATACAATTATAAAAGACAGGCACGATTTTAAATAATCGAACACTAGTTCGATAGCCATAAATAAATAAATGAGGTTTTCAAATTTTATCGAACAAAGGACCTTTTTTTTGAGAGTCTGAATATTGGCTATCCCAAGGACTATGTTAAAACTCTTGAAAACGTAAAAAATTATCATGTCAGCTATTACGTGAAAACAATTTGAAATAACACTTATGTCGATTACCCTAAAAATTATATTTTTATATAAATATTGTATATCTGTTCTCGATTTGAAAGATCCAACTTTCATACTACCTGTAAATTTTGAAAAATGCATTCTGCTGCGTGTATATTATAAATCATCCAAATCCGAATCTTTTTCAAATCTTTAACTAAAACTTATTTTGCATCACTATAGTGTCTCTATGTTCAATTCCAATATTCAAGCTGTAGAAACATATTCGCGGACATCTGATGATCCAAATGAAGAGTACATATACTTTAAAGGGTCCAAAGTGACCTAGTACAAGCAGTTTTAAGAATTCATCACTAAAAAGCGAAATACATTTCTTTTAAGTCAAAATTGTGCATATGAGTAGAAGCTATCTTATAATCAAGGCATTCTATGTGAGTTTATTCTTGGTATATCATTGCACATTGTATTATAATTTAAGTATGAGGTTTGCAACGGAAGCTTGTAAAACGACTTCTTTTTCTTTTTGTTGGTCCCATCTTTACAATCTTTATTTTTGTTAATTTTGTAAAGATTTTTTGATCTGTCCTATATGGCAGCTATATGATATAGTTACCTGATTTGTATTAAATTTGCTCATGATTCAAGTTTGGTTAAAACAAGAAAGAAAGCTAGATTCGGCAAGGCGAAGCTTATATACCCTTGCAGTCATCATCGTCGAACAAAATGCATGAAGGCTAAACAACATCGAAGCTATGACGATTTTTCTATTCATTTTCCATATTGTTCATATCACAGCTATATGATATAGTCGTCCGATTTTGATCAAATTTCATTTGAAACTCAAGACTCATTAGAAAACTCTATGTTCCAAAATCATGATTGTCTGATGAAAAACAACGAGGTAATCATTTTATTTCCGTTATTTCTATATAGATTTTTCGATCTTTCCTATGGCTGCTATATGATATAGTACTCTGATTTTAATGAAATTTTTTTCTCGACTTAAGAGTATTTAAAAAACTTGATGTTTCAAAAATCATGCTCGTGGGATTAAAAACAACGACGTTATAATTTTTATACCCTTGCAGAGCAAAAGGGTATTATAATTTCAGTCAGATGTTTGCAACGCAGTGAAGGAGACACCTCAGACCCCATAAAGTATATATATTCTTGATCAGCATCACGAGTAGAATCAGAATACGTCTGTACGTCTGTCCGTCTGGCCGTCTGTCCGTCTGTCTGTTTCTCTTCAAACTAGTCTCTCAGTTTTAAAGCTATCTTGCTGAAACTTTCCCAAAAGGTGTGTAGTTATTGCACGCAGTATATAAGTCGGAACGGGCTGGATCGGCCGACTATATCGGATAGCTCCCATACGAGGGAATGAAATGAAAAATTCTCCCGCCGTTGTTTTTCATCAGATCGACTTGAATTCTTCAAGATGGCGTTTTCCAACTGTTATTGAATTTCAGATTAAATTTGATCAAAATCGGATAACTCAATCATATAGCTGCCATAGGAGAGATCGAAAAATATATATAGAATTAATGGAAATAAATTGATAGCATCGCTGTTTTTTATCCCAGGAGCATGATTTTTTGAGTATCAAGTTTTTTAACTAGCCTTGATTTATAAAAAAAATTTCATAAAAATCGGACAACTATATCATATAGCTGCCATAAGAAAGATCGAAAAATCTATATAGAATTAACGGAAATAAAATGATAACATTGTTATTTCTTATCAGAAAATCATGATTTTTGGAATATAGAGTTTTCTAACGACTCTTGAATAGCAAATAAAATTTTCGAAATATTTGATGACTGCAAGGGTATATAAGCTTCGGCTTGCCGAAGCTAGCTTCCTTTCTTGTTTTTCCATTATTTATATATATATTTTTTGATCTCTCCTATGGGAGCTATATGATAGAGTTATCTGATTTTGATAAAATTTAATCCGAAATTCAATAGTAGTTAGAAAATGCTATCTGGAAGAAATCAAGTCGATCCGATCAAAAACAAAGGCGTGAGAATTGTTTATTTTATTCTCTTGTATGGGAGCTATCCGATATAGTCGGCCGATCCGGACCGTTCCGACTTATATACTGCGTGCAATAACTACACAACTTTTTCATTAGGATAGCTTTAAAACTTAGAGACTAGTTTGAAGAGAAACAGACAGACTTACAGACGGACAGACAGGCAGACGTATTTCGATTCTGATCGTGATGCTGATCAAGAATGTATATACTGTGTTGCAAACTTCTGACTGAAATTATAATACCTTTTCGCTCTGCAAGGGTATTAAACTCGATATTCTATAAATCAGGCTCAGGCGTAATCATTTGTTTTCCATTTTTATAAACCTCCAGAGGGTAATATAATTTCAGTCAGAAGTTTGCACTGCAGTGAAGATATATAGTATATTCTTGATCAGCATCACGATCAGATCAGATCAGCAGAACGGGTCGGATCTGTATTATTATTTTTTTGTCGTTGTTTTTTTCGATCTCTCCTTTGAAAGCGAAATGATATAGACGTCCGATCCCTTTCAGACTTTTATAACTACACAACACTCTATAACTACACAACTTCGGTCAACTAAAAATATAATATATTAACTATATTTCTGACTACAAGGATATTATTATATTTATCTTTGATCAGCCGGGGTTTTTGCAAATATGTATTTCACAACATCTTCAAGCTTCACAAATATATGAAGACATTTAGAAAATTGTACTAAACTGATATTTTACTGCGAATAACATATAACTTAGCAATAAAAAGTGGGAGACATATATTAACAAAGAAACGAAGGGCACTAAGTATTCGGAGGAGAGAACACAAATCGAGCGACATATGGGAAAAATATCGGGCCAAGATCGGCAAGAACAGCTTTTCGAATCCGCAGGCACAAGAAAGAGTCTTCGGTCAGCACTTACCAAACAAAAGAGCACAGACGATTCAGGCGATTCGAAATTCGTTTGGTTCTTTGTCTACAGTTGCAAGTATTTCATTTTTGCATACAAGCCCGATTCGGCCCGACCGATTCACCCTACATTGATGCCGAGCAGCATGTGCAATTATCAACCTCTGAAAAGGAGTGGGCGCAGGTACGGAGGACGATGGTGGTGAGGGCAAGGGCAAGGGCGAACCTGACCTGGCTCCAAATTGATGTGGTGCGGGGAACTGCTTTGTGTATTGCCATACTGCCATACGAAGTGGCGGCGGAGCGGCAACTGTTTGTTGTGTCTCTGCGAGGTTCGGTCTTACTGTTTGGGGTTCGGAGTTCTGTGGTTAGGTGCTATGCCTGCGGTTCGGACCCGCACGACGCCGCGCATCTGATATGGGAATCTCACACAACCGAGTGGAGTGGAGTGGAGTGAATTTGTTTGGCCTTTCGGGTTGTGGGCATCCCATAGCCGTACCCAAGTGAAGACCGAAAGAAGGCTACCCTGTGCCTCAGCCTCAGTAGACTGAAGCTGAGACTGAGCCTGAGCCTGAGCCTCAGCCTGAGCCTGGTGTGGTGTGGAGCAAAGTGTGCACGTCACTAATTGCAAATTCGATGGATACACATAATCGTTTTTGCATTCTTAAGTAATTTGTAATAATTTCCTTAAGGGTCAGCGTCAGCGTATAAATCTCGAAGCGCATATAAGTCGCTGAAGGAGAAGAGAGGGCAAAGATGAGAGCGACGGCGAAGAAGAATTTACGTAAACGCGACGATGATTTCGAACGTGAGGATTGCTATGGTATGAGGAGGAAGCCAAGGCGAAGACGAAGACCAAGACGATAATAATCGAAGAGTGAGGCAGAAGAAATTGAACTGAAATCAGCGCTTAATGATGAGTTACGAACGAACGAACCGTATTATACATTGCAATATGGTTATGGTTTGTGGAGGGGGATTTTTTAAGAATCATGTGCAGCATTTGTAGCACGGAAACAATTAAAAATACCTCAGCAGGTCTTATTTATTATATTTAATAATATACAACAACACCATTGCTAGCTCTTAATTTAAATTATCTGCTAGCTCTTTATAAATAAATAAAATAAATAAATATACAACAAAAATTAAATACATATATGAAAATTGCTTTAAAGTTTCGCAAAATTTTATTGTCATTTTGTTAGCTCATATTTATCCCCTTTAAAAGTTATTATTATTATGATTATTTATGATTAATTATGGCTATCAAATCTCTTAGTTTCAAAGATGTCTTGCTAAAACTTTACCACAAGTATATTAGTATATAATATTCATGCAAATCTGACGACTATATAGAATAGCTGCCACAAAAAAGATCCAAAATCTATATAAAATTAATGGAAACATTATTAGAACGCCGTTGTTTTTTCATCATACAAGCAGGATTTCCATAATAATTTTAAAGGGCATTATAACTTTTAGTAGACCTCATAAAGTATGTAAGTATTTATCTATATATATACTTTATCTGGTTGTTTCTATGTAGGTATAACCGACTCTTGATTTTAAAGCCTTCTTGATGAAAATTTATTAAAAGTTGTGCAGTTATTGCACGCAGTATATAATTTAGATCAGACGACCATATCGGATAGATCCTATAGGAGAGATTAAACGAATAACGGGAAAAAGGTATTACGCTGATGATTTTTGGCATATTGGTATGATTTCTTCCAGATCGTGTTTTAAGGACTCCTGAAAATGTTAACTCCCACATGATTTTTAAAGTATTAAGTTTTTTAATAAGCCTTGAATCGAAACAAAAATGTTATATCATACAGCTGCCAGAGGAAATATCGAAAAATCTATATAGAACTAAGGGAAATAAATTATAACATCGTTGTTTTTCATCAGACAAATACAATTTTTGGAATATAGAGTTTTCTAATGACTCTCGAATTTAAAATTAAATTTCATGAAAATCTGTCGGCAATATCATTTTATTATTTATTTTGTATTTTGTTCGACGTATTTGGTGACTGCAAGGGTATACAAGCTTCGGCTTGCCGATCTTGTTTTTTGATTACGATAATATCATGAACAAAATGATAATTTTATTCGAATTTAACAATAGTTGGCGTTATAATTTTTTCGATCTCTCCTATAGGGAATTAATAATAAAAAAAATGTTAAAGTTCAAGTAAAAGACATGTGCATTTAAAATGTTACAGTTTTAGAGGCGCTTTGGTGACTGCAAGGGTATACAAGCTTCGGCGTGTTTTTTGATAAAGATGAAATCATGAACAAAATTATAATTTTATTCGAATTTAACAATAGTGGGCGTTATAGTTTTTTCGATCTCTCCTATAGGAGCTAATAAAAAAAATGTTAAAGTTCAAGTAGAAGACATGTGCATTTAAAATGTTACAGTTTTAAAGGCGCTTAAACATACCTATAGGAGCTAATAGCAAGAAAGGAAGCTAGCTTCGGCTTGCCGACCCTTGCAGTCATCAAATATGTCGAACAAAACGCATAAAGGCTAGACAACATCGAAGCTAAGACGATTTTTCTATTCATTTTCCATATTTTTGACTATAGATCATATGGAAGCTATACGATATAGTTGTCCGATTTTGATCAAATTTAACTCGTAATTCAAGAGTCGTAAGAACACTCTATATTCCAAAAATCATAATTGTCTGATGAAAAACAACGATGTTATCAATTTATTTCCATTAATTCTATATATAATTTTCGATCCCTCCTATGGCAGCTATATGATAGAGTTATCCGATTTTGATCAAATTTAATCCGAAATTCAATAACAGTTAGAAAACGCCATCTTGAAGAATTCAAGTCGATCTGATGAAAAACAATAGAGTGAGAATTTTTTATTTTATTCTCTTGTATTGGAGCTATCCGATATAGTCGGCCGATCCGGCCCGTTCCGACTTATATACTGCGTGCAACAACTACACAACTTTTGGAAAAGTTTCAGCACGATAGCTTTAAAACTGAGAGACTAGTTTGCGCGGAAACGGACAGACGGACAGACGGACAGACGTACATACATATTTCGATTCTGCTCGTGATGCTGATCAAGAATATATATACTTTATGGGGTCTGAGGTGTCTCCTTCACTGCGTTGCAAACTTCTGACTGAAATTATAATACCCTTTTGCTCTGCAAGGGTATAAGAATAATGTTAAAGGTTCAAGTAAAACCCATGTGCATTTAAAATGTTACAGTTTTAGAGGCATTTAGAGACATACCTTCACTGTCCAGGATCCATTCGGTCACTTTGAAGACCTCGCTCAAGGTGGGGATTTCCTGATTTTCGCTTCGACGCTGCAAGCAGATGAATTGCTCGACTTGCATGTGCCTCATGCCCTTCACATGCTGAACCATTTCATGGAGATTTTTGGCGGTAAAGTTGCACAGCTGGCAGAGAATCATCTTCCTCGCAGACTGCGATGACAGTTGTTGTTCTTCATCCGAGCAGGATTGAGGACACTGCGGATCATCTTCTGCCGAGCCCGAGGATTTCTTGTGCATTTGACTCTGCTGAACAATGTACGACAAGTGCTGGAATATCATTCGCATAGTGTCGTGACGCATCTGCTGGGTGTGCAGCGACAGCTTCTGAATAGAATTCGTATGGAAGTCACAGCAATTGCACTTCAGTTGAACCACATTGGCGGCCAGCTGCTGTTGGTACTGCAGCTTGTACTCATTTCGCGGTCCGCCCTCCCTGATGTGGTTGATAAAGTTGAGCTTTTGCAGATGCTTGTCAGTCTTGCTGTGCAGTTGGAAATTGGCCTTGAGATTTGTCTTGTAGTTGCATAGCCGGCATATGTAATTGTTATTGTGAATAACCATTATTTCGGTGGAGGCGCTGGAGGACTGCCTGGATCTATCGATCAACAAATGCTGGTTGAGATCGTCCAAGTTGTTCGTACTGAAGCAGTCGCAAATGAGGCAACTATAGAATGCCGTGGGCCACTTGTCCGTCTTTATCAGTGGATGGGGCTCGCCGGATAAATCTCCGGGCACCTCATTCGAGTGGCCCATTCCCATGTGCATTCCCAAGCCCATTCCATGACTGATCTTCATTGGCTTCGGAGAAAAGGAGAACTGATCCGCAGTGCTCACTGGCGAAGACGAGGGTGATAATTTGGTATTGGCTGACTGCTGTTGCTGCTGCTGCTGCTGCTGCTGTTGCTGTTGGTGGAGGAGCTGGATCATAAGCGCTTGGTTATAGGCCAGATCGGCCAACGCAACCTCGGGCATATAGTTCACAGAGCTGTGTCCTGGAACATTGCCACTGGCGCCTTGCTGCTGCTGCTGTTGCTGCAGAAAGTTGAACGCCTGAATGTGCTTGATGTTGTTCTGGAGCACCGCCATATTGTGGGTATGCTTCTCACTGGTCATGTGGATGCGAAGGTTGCGGGCCACGGATGTCTCATAGCTGCAGATATCGCACCGGAATGAGGGTTTTGGCTTGGCGCTGCCACTGTTTGTACTGCTTCCGGCATTGGCATTGGCATTTGGGATGCTCACGGTCCCAGAAATCGCAGCACTGCCACTCATCGATGCGTTGGCACCACCGTTGTTAGATCCAACGCCTCCCACGCTGCCTACGGACCCACCGGGGGCGCCACCACTGCTAGAGGGTCCGCCGGCACCAGCACCTTGGGGCGATGAGTTCGAGAGCAGCAACTTGCTGGTCGCCGCTGCAGCGGCCGCAGCTGCCACCATATTCTGCGAGCTGTTGAGTTCCTGCATATTATTCAGATGCTTGTCAGATTGCATATGAATCGAAAGATTTCCCTTGGTGGTGGTGGAGTAATTACAGATTTCACACCGATACGGTTTGTAGCCACAGGAGTAGGATTCCCCGCGTGCCAGTCGAGGATGTTGCTGTCCTGTTCCACAAGAGAAAAGTGATTAAATAAAATCTTAATGCAATAAACAAATGCTTATAAACCTGACAAAATCAGCTGGCCAAATCTATAGTAAAAAGACTTTCCCTATTGCTAAACTGATCCTTATGATATCGGCACAATGCAACTGCAATAAGTTTCCCAATTTTGTATATATCCACATTATTTATCTAGCTAAATGATAAAGTAGTTCGATTTTTATACAACTACACTTTTACACTTATTGTGGTAGAAACTGCTGTGAATCCTGCAATAGCTACAAAGCTTAACCTTTGACCTAAGAGACTTGAAACAGACAGACTGATAGACGTATATATTTGGCTATGTAGATGTGTTTATCATGAGCATGGGGTGGGAGGTGTCTTTATGAACTTTGTGTCTAAATAATATAATAATATACTATAAAACTCTCTCTTTTATTTGCCCAAAATTTTTTGTATAAAGATGACGAAATGTGTGATAATTTTAAAGCTGTAATTATATAGTACTATCAAGTAGTAATAGAATATAAATTGTTTTATGAAGTTGATCGAATAGTTACCTGCCAGGCAATAACCACAGGCACTCTCACCATCTGGATGCTTTTCGCGCATGTGGATCTCCAGGGTTTCCTGGTATTTATAGTGCCAGTTGCATTGCGGACACTTGAGAGTCTTGCAGGAATTTCGAGTGGACATTTGAACGCCACTGTTCAATCGAGCTGAACTCAAAAGCATTTCGCATCTGTGGACAGCAAAGCACACAAATAAAAAGATAGTTATTACGAAATATAGGAAAAAAAAGTGGATTTAGGATATCAAATATTATTTACTCCTTATACCTAAACAATTTTCTCTCTTTAATTTGAACAACAAATGATATTTGAACTATAAAGGAGCCTTAAGCGGTTTTCACATTCACAAGTTCACATTCACAGGCACCCATCCAAATTTCAATAATGCCAAACCCACAGTCGCCTCGACCCAGGCGACACCATTAAATTGTGACAATTGGGGACCGGACAGACATTTATTAAGTGAAATCAGCGCAATTGGTTTAATTTTTTGTTGGTTCAGCTACCATCATATCTTCACCCTCCTGCAATATTCGACGTGGCTACATAACAAAGATTTCCCAACAAAACATTAATTTAAATATGCAGGCATAATATATGTACGCATATGCCTGACAGATTTGTAGACGAGAACTGACATGAATCTCATTAAAATCAACTGAGTCCGCCTATAGATGGTCGCTATTAAATTAAACACACAAAATTAAAGCTCAGTGTATGTGTATTCTGAATCAGATACAACTAGTCTATCTGATTACTAGCCATCTCGCCGAAGCTTTAATAAAAAACCTGTAGATATGTTGGACCAAACGACGATCTCATAAAACTGCCCTAAATTGTAATAATATCTCCGTATCCGAAGCTTATGAATGACTATTTTTCTATTAACACTTTTGTATTATTCCTATATACCCTGGCAGTTAGAACCTATTCTAATAAAACGACAAGACAAATAAAAAGACAAGAAAGGAGGCTATCTTCATCTATCTATCTATCAACTATGTCTAACAAAATACATAAAGTCTGCTAATCAAGATCGAAGCTATGAGTTTTTTTTTTTATTAATTTTCCATATTTTTGAATATTGTTCATATGACAGCTTTAAAATGTTCAATCTTTCCTAAGGCTACATGATAGAGTTTTGCGTTTTTTTTTTTAATTTTTCTCGAATCAAGGGTTGATGAAAACCTTAATAATCTTAAAACCTGGTCGTGGAATTAAAAATAACGACGTTTTTTTTTTTTTTTTCATTATGTATTTATATATATATTTTTCGATCTTTCGTACGTGAGCTATATGATACAGGTATCCGATTTAATAAAATGTATTTCGAAATTCGATAGAAGTTAAAAACATTTGATAGAAGTTAGGAAATCAAGTTGATGTGATCAAAAACATCGGCGTGATAATTTTTTGTTCGATGTCTCGTATGGGAGCTATCCGATATAGTCGCCCGTGCAATAACTACACAACTTTTGGTAAAGTTTTAGCAGGATAGCTTTAAAACTGAGAAACTAGTTGAATTCGAAACAGAAAGGAGGACAAACGGACAGACGGAGAAACGTACAAACGTTTTTTGATTCAGATCGTGATGCTGATCAAGAATATACAGGGTGCGCCAACTAGACAGGCCCTATTTAAAAGTTTAATAACTTCGCCATTTTTTAGCCCATTTTGGAAAATGAACAAGATTCATTTAGGGTATAGAATGCCATTTATTGACAATTCACTCAGAATACAATATCGATCAAATGACCGCCTTTATTAGAAACACAAAAATCGGCCCTTTTTTGAGCATTTCGCATTGTATTTGACAACATTTCGGACGCGGTCGAATGGGTCGCGGGCGATTAGCTACAGACCCGTGTTCAAAGAAATTTTTCACCAAAGTACGAATTGTCTTGGCGGAAGGTGCCGAATGTCTCCCATATTTCTTACGATAGGCACGCACAGTTTTCACAATTGAACGATTGCTTTCGATGTAAAGCGCTACAATTTCAGCCCGATTTTTTGCTGTAAGTCGATCCATGTCTAAAATGGCATAGGCTGACGTTTCAGAACCTGGCTGGCTTGTCAAAATAGGCTAAAAAATGGCGGAGTTATTAAATTTTTAAATAGGGCCTGTCTAGATGGCGCACCCTGTATATTCTTTATGGGTTCTGAGGTGTCTGAAATTAAAATACTCTTTACAAGGGTAAAAAAACACAATATTCCAACAATGTTTTATGTAAAATGCTTCTATGACCAATACCATATTAATTGTTTTCTTTACTATTTTTTCATTCCTTCCTATGGCAGTTAAACGATAAAGTGATCCGATCCTTCCCTCTCGAACATGCACATATATCACTTACTATATCACTTACTATATCACTTACTGTATCACCTACTATATTACCTACTATACAACTTTCTATATCATTTACTATATCACTTACTATATATTACTTACTACTCATATGCTGACCAAGAAAATATGTTCTTCATTTATTCCAAGGTTTGACTTCATTTTAATACCCTGCGCAGAGGCATACAAAATTGCATATACCATTTTAAAACTGGAGAAATTAAATTGAAATCTTGGCAAATCGAAAAATGAGCATATTTTTTCCTAACTATTAGTTGAAAGCAAACATTTATTCGAAGTGTGGTGCACAATGGAATAAAACCAACCGGATTGGCGTTCTTTTAAATCCCAATTGTCATTGGCGTGTAAATGAACAACTAGTGAGCAGATCAGCATCAGCCTGTGGGCAAAAATCATTTGTGCAACCTAATGACTTATTGTTCAAGAGTGGCATGAGGCTGACAGTTCTAGTCAAAAGTTCAAAGAGCGGTAATTATTGCGCATATTTGGGCAGTATGGACGACGCGTACTCGTAACTCGTATCCCTTTCCAAGGAATTAACATTCGCACCCTGTAGTTAGTCTCTGACCGGACCGACCTTAACGACAACCCTTCACTAATCAAGCAAATAAACCGCTCGCGGCAAGACTCATGTCTGCTTAACCACCAGAAACACATCCCCCGAAAACCGAAAATTTGTTGCTCTTTATTATGTTGAAAGTTGCTGCTTACCGCGCACAATCTATTCCTTGGGGACGACCATTGATGTGCTCAGAACAGGCGCCGATGGTGAAGCTGGAGGTGGCGTTCGGCGTATTTCCCACACTGGCCACCGACGAGGCACTGGGTGATATGGCGAGGCCAGCACTGTTGCCGCACGGAGACCGATGGGGAAGCTGTTGGGTCTGCGACTGAACCTGCAGCTGTGGCAAGGATTGCGGAAGATTCTGGTGCGGCGAACTCGACCGCTGTTGGATTTCAAAGAGCTCGCAGGTTTTGCAGTCCACGCCATTGAAGTCCGGATGATCGGGACATTGGCCGGGAAATAATATGTTCTGCTGCTGATGTTGCTGCAGTTGCTGTTGGAGGAACTCGGTGATCAGCTTGACCCGGCTGTCATTTGGTTCGTTGCCAGCAGCCAGCGCTGCCAGAGACGCATGGAAGGAACTAACTTGAGGGGGGTAGATGCCACCGCCCGCCGACACCTTCTGCAGTTGCAGAAAATCTGGGCAGAGAACATCCGAATCGTTGGTTTGAGGCGAGGCAGACATTGAGGCCATTTTCATTTCCACTTCAGAGGACGACGACGAAGAGGTCGGTTCCTTGCCTTGGGAACAATTGATTGACTTATGGATACTTAAATTATCAGTACTGGGTAATGAGACCTCATCGGATGCGTATGCCAATGTAGGTGAGCTGCTTGAGGATACTTTCGATAGGTTATTAGTCTTCGCTGTTGCAGAGTTTAAGGAACCAATTTTCACAGCTGATTTCACTGCTACTTTGGGCGTTGATGATAGGATAGGATATGCACTAGGTGCTGCCATTTTAATACTACTAGTGTCCTGATTAACTTTAGGCTCGTGCTCCTCGCCTGGTCCCTGGTCCAGGACCCGGGCCTGCTCACTCTCCTGGTTATTCTCAACCTCCGATTCCGATGCCGACTCTCTGCCGATAACTGGCTGCTGAGAAGACGGGGAAAGAGAAGCAGCACGGTCCCCACCAGGTGCTATTTGGAGCTTCTCGGTGTCATCGCTGGCAGCACAAGTGGCATTGTTATCCAGAGGCTGGAGAAACGATATCTGCGGCTTCTCATCCATATTTCGCTGAATAATGGCACTGGAGTACTCGCGATTAAGTAGCTGGTGGTCCAGCTCTTCCAGGTTGAGTCGATGTTCAGTGCTCGCATGCAAGCTAAAAGACTTAACGTTGCCAAAGGACAACTTGCATATAAAACACATTAAAATGGGTTTTTGAATTTTGAACGCTCTAATTTGATCCTGACAAGCTGAGTTCGCATCTTGCGCAGAGACCACACGAAAGGAATGGATTTTCGGACTCGATTTGTAGGTTGGTCCTGCTAAGGTTTCAATAGCAGGACCAGCGCCTAGCTCCTCCTTCTCGATTTGCTCTTGAAAATGCTGCTGTACTCTTTCGTTCTCCTCCTGCCCTCGATCTTTGACTTTCAAGAGTTTCTTCACAGAATTCGAGGTTGAGGCATAACTTTGGACAGACACCGATCCACTTCCATGGGCATTGTCTGCGTCGATAATGTATGCGCTGCCATCGAGATTGTAAACTATTTTGCCGTTAAAAGTTTCCACATCAGAACTTGACATTGGAGAGCCGTGGTCATTACCATCATTGGAGCTAAAACTGAAATAAATGATATATTTTTTAATTGGTTAATATTAATAAATAAATGGTTTAAATGCATTTGATGCTGTCTTAATTAAATACTATTTTTATATATCCTTGCAATTGGAACTTAAATTTAGAATACAACTAGAGCCATCAAAAATCTACAGCATTTTTACTTAAGTACAATTGTACTTAATACTCTAAAAACAAAGATGATACCTCAAATATGTTGTACAAAATAAATTAAGGCTAAACAACATCGAATGACGATTTTTCTATTCATAATCTAAATAATAATAATAATAATCTATATAGATTTAATGGAAATAAAATGATAACGAGTATCAAGTTTGTTAACTAGCCTTGAATTATAAACAAAATCTCATAAAAATTGCCATAGGAGAGATCAAAAATATATATAGAATTAACGGAAAAAAATAATAACATCGATGTTTTCCATCAGACATATCATATCATATTAGACATTTTTGGAATATAGGGTTTTCTAATGACTCCTTTGCTCTGCAAGGGTATAATTAGACTTATAAAATATAGCATCTATATTAATTTATTTTTGTTCAGATTTTTCGATAGTAATTCTCATGCCTGATTATTTTTGTGTAATCTATAAGATAAAGTCTCCTGATACCAGAACTTTTGGTAAAGTTGCTATAGGAAACAGACAAACGGTAAGACTTGGAGAGTGATGCAGATCAGGAATATATATATTTTATGGGGTCTGCGGCGTCTGAATAGAATTTGTATGCCCTCTGTGAGGCTATGACAATCTTTAGGAGTAATCAACTAACCAGCACAAGTTATTCTCGAGACCTAGTGAATCCCTTATGGCATTTAATATAATATATAAGTCACAAGTATTAAAACAACTGAAACAACAGATGATAGATTATAGTTTTAGCTGCAAAAGTCATATGAAGAGCCCAGCTTTCATTCCTGTTTAATTATATAAACCCGATTGGAGCTTCGAAGCCTCCTGACACAGCTAATACGCATGCATTACAAAATTGTTTCTTCGTTTGGAATGGTGCAGGCACGAATAGAAGAAGGAAAGTTCACTGCCTCAGGGCTTTGCGCAAAACAAAGGAAGTCAAGGTTTTCCGTTGTCATCCCCACAACCCCGAATCGCACCCGACCTTCCTTTTTCTTTGATTCATTCTGAATATTCGCGCGTGCCTTTTTTGTTGTATGTCTTTATTTCTGTGGAGTCGTCGTTATCTGCTCTTCATATTCTTCAACTGGTTTCACTCAGTCGCCTCTGCTGAGCCAAAGCCAGCTTATATAGCCAGTACACCCACATACAAATTCCCCGGTGTATCAGACACTGCCATCAGGGGCATAAGGCACGATGGTTTTTAGTTTTTATTCTCCTTTCGAGTTCGACCAGCAAAGGCTTTGCTTTACACTGTGGCATTGGTTTGAGGTTACAGTTGAGTTGGTATGCAAACAACTCTTGACGTACTCTGAAAACCAGGACCAGCGGCAGGTCCAAGCCAGCCTTTGCCTGGGTTCTGGCCTGTTCTTCCATTGCACCTTTAGCCCATAGAGTCTCTTTGTGTTATTTCCTCTCAGGAATGCTCCTCTGCATTGAGGCTGAACACCAGAAATGGATGCCTTTAAACTGTTTACTATTCCGCAATATAATGTTATAGAATAGAATATATGCAGAATTATATTTATGCCCCTGTAGAGGGTTTTATCAAAATAGGATAACTCTATCATATAGCTGCCATAGGAAAGATCGGAAAATTGATATAGAATCAGCGGAAATTAACGAAAAAAGGTACTTCTGTTCTTGATAAAATGAGAATAAAATAAATTATGTGACAAAGAACAATAACGCTTACATTTTTGTCACTCTCAACTATCTGTCTTTTTTAATGAGAGCTATATAGTTCTGTCTTCTCTTTTGGATCGTACTGACTTACATTTATACTGTACTTTATACATTTCTGGATCGGCTCAGATGATGATGCTGATCAAGACCAAATGTACAGGATGGGAATAATTTCTGACCAAACATTATAAACAGATATTGTGAATATAATATCCTCAAGGGTATTCAAAATGGTGAATATTCTACAAAACTAGAAAAGATCGGTGAGTAAAGCTTTGTGATGAGTCTTAGGGTTTTATAGACCTAAGTTCTGACTGTAAGGTAAACGAACTTCTTTGAATGCCCTTGCAGAGGGTAGTTTAACAAGTTTCTGATTCGTATTCTTGGTTTTAAGTGTGCTCAATTTGTCTATCAATGCATGAAATTATTACAAATTAAATTCTCAATGGGTGCCCACAATAATGGATAGAAGCCAGTGGTCCGATCCCGGCGTTTTCGAATGACATACTATCTGCAATAGCAGCAAAACCTTTGGTAAAGTTTGAGAAAGCTTTAAGTTTGTGAGAAACCTTTGCAGGAGTAAACGGTTTATTGTGTAAGAACTAGGCAAGAAGTATACATATATGTATATATATGTATTTTCATGGTTAACTGACTGAGTTTGTTGTTATGCAAAAATACTTAATCAACGTTTTTCCAGTAGCAAAAGATACTTGATCAAACATAAGCTGGTAACACTAAAAGTGTTCTAATCTCTCTTTTCGTAATTCCTTCTTCTTTGAGTTTAACCATAGAATGGACAAGTTGATTTCTCAAGTGCATATTAAAGAAGATATATAATAACATAAAAGAAACACACGAATCGTTTTTATTAATTGCGGATTACCTGGGTGGCCTTTTTGCAATAGTTGTGGTTCTTTAAAACATATTTGAAAAATACTGTTTTGAAACTAAAGGGCCCTTATAAAAAATATTACAAAACTGTTTAGTTTAAGCTGCGTTCAGGAGAGAGAGAGAGAGAGCTTTCTGTACATCAACAATGGTTTTTGCTATGCATGTGTTAGTGTGTTAGTGCTGTGCTTACTGGTGTGCAATTGCACGCACACACAATATTTAAGTTGTCATCAGAGCCAGAGTTGCCATTAAGTAGGTATTATGCAGTTGGGAAACGCATTTCAGATAATTGTCCGGTCGGGCCGAGCCGGGTAATTACTTGGTTTACGTTGTTAGTGTTCTATTTTACCTTTTGTTGTCATCGCAGTAATTTGTAGTTCTCCGACATGCCGCACGAAATGCTTAATAAGCAATTAGCAGGGTAAAACTATTTAATTTTTGTGTACATAGGTTGGTTTTTTTTGTATTCATCAGACCTTAGCGATTTCAAATTAAAATATCTAATAATAAGGCGACTTGTTTCTTATACAAGTCAAGTTTAATTATATCGCATATTACAGAAGGCAACCGAACAGTCGAAGCTACACAGTACCAACTCAAAAGTTGCAAAAACAGTATGGGGTGGACCATCTTCCATACACAGCCGGTATGTCTGTGATTGTGTTAAATTGTTTTTTTTTTACCGAGAAATCGTCTTTTGTTCTCAGAGATCCAGCATAAAAAGTTGCGAATATAAAACAAAAGTGTCACTTGCCGAGGGTCGGGAGATACCAGACGATGTCCGAGGTTGAGCTTGCATTGTTATTTCCCTTTGTCGTTGAGCGAGGGCTCTGTGTCGATTCGAATTTCGAATTTAGGAGTATTTTATTCATGTATGTGTACATATATATATGCAGCCATTTGATTCCGCCAGAGCCCCACAATCATTCATTTCGGTAAGATCAATGAATCGATACGATATACCTGGAGAGCCGCAGAATTGCGACAAAAAGGAGCCCAGAAGGCCAAGCTTAGCGGTATGAGTTCCCGGGATCGAGACGAGATCTCCGACTTTCAGTTGACGAACAGTTTTTTAAGCGTACGAAAGAAGTACAGAAGAAAAGCAATAAATTTTTTTTAGCCTTCATTAAAATTGTCGCCGATTGCTTTCGCGTATGAATATGTTAATTGTGAGTTTACCAGACATATGTATGTAGAAAGAATAAGCATTTTTTTTAAGTGTGCTAACAACTGCCGCTATCTATAAGGATTGTGTTTTATTTATTTACATTTGGTGTGATATTGGTGCAACGTTTTAATAAAAACAAGATCTGAAACCTATATACCCTGAAATTAGAACTTAATGATAAAAAACGAATAGACTCCTTGCAAATCTCGAGTAACAAGATTTTTCCTATTGCTTGGTAGAACCATATTTTCCATAAATTATGTGTCCATTATTTTCCCCATTTCTATGCAGCTATTAGATATAGTAGTCCGATCTTTGTAAATGTCAAACAAAGAGCATGTATACCATATAAGTCGGGAGACCGTATCAGATAGCTCCATAGAAGAGATCGAAAAAATAACGGAAAAAAATATCGCGCTATGGTTTTTTATCATATTTACTTGATTTTTGGATATTGTGTTTTTAACTACTATCGAATTTCGAATTAAGTTTTATTGAAATTGGATGACTATATCATATATGTAGCTGTCATTGGAAAGATCACAAAATAAATCATTTTTTGCGTATCAAGTTTTTTAACCAAGGCTAGTCATGAAAAAATTTTATTAAAGCCTGACAACCCTGTCATTGTAGATGCCTTAGGAGAGATCGAAATCTAATTAGAATAATGGAACAACTTTATACAAGTGATTTTTTTTTTTATCATAAATTGATGATTTTTTTGGATATGGAGTTTTGTAAAGAATCTTGAAACTAAGTTGGAAATCGGACGTCTATATCATATAACTGAAATAGGAACAACCGGTAAAATATGGAAAAATTAATAGGAAAATCGTAATTACTTCGATGTTGTTTAGCCAGTATGCATTTTTCTCGACATTTGTGATCACTGCAAGGGTAAATTTTAGATGTCAGATAAAAAATATCACAACCTTAACTTTGCCACTCCAAGATTTAGCTTTGATTCGAACAAAACGCGACTCTTATAAAGCAAACTTGGGCTCACAATTTGAATTCATGAATACATAAATAACAATGACCAGCAGCACGCAGGATGAAAACGAGGATTTGCACGGGGATAAGGATTTTGAGTCAAAGTACCAGTATTCTGCAGTAGGGGCATCAGAGAAGAAGTAAAAGAGCAATAATAAAACGAATTTATGCACTGAAAACACACACACGCACATACACAATATCGAAGGGGACAAAAACAAAGAAGAGGAATAATGCATTGTATTTTATTAAAGGAATTGTTCGCTTTGCCTTATTTTTCTCAGAACAAAGTGATGTATGAGCTCCGTAGGCCTAACACAATACGGATTTTGAGAGCTGAGACCGGCAAGAGATTGGGCATTGTGATTCAGGCTGCTTTTGACGTGGAGCACAGCAGTGTCTGGATGAACACTATGTAGCTAACAGTATATAGAATCTCCTGCTTAATTTGACTTAAAGAAAATCTGGAAAAAGCACATTTTCGACGACTTAAAGATTGGTTTCTGAATAACTGCAAACCTTATCACATACAGGCACATATTCGTATGCTTGTCATACAGTGATACTTGGGACCCCAATATACATACATACATAGTATAGTATAGTATCCCTGCAGTTCCAAAATAGCTTTTTCCTATATGAAATCCGCGAGGAAGCACCGAGGAACCGGGGTACGAAGGTATGCCCGCACCGAGGAATTGCGCGAGGAATTTTGTATGGGATTCAAGTTTTCTTCATAGGTGCAGCTCTCGATGAACTTTTTGGCGGTTTCATCGAACGATTCCTCGGTGCCTTATACGAATTTTGTATGGAAAAAATTCGTATAAGGCATAGAGGAATTCGGAGCGGAAGTGGAAGCGGGGTTTTCCTCGAGGATCGCCCTTAGGGAAATCATATATGCCAATGTTCAAAATTTCATCCCCAAATTCATATGAAAAACAATATATATATATATTTTTTATTTATTTTATAAAATACCTTATTTTGTAACATAAGAGATAAGCACATTAAAAATATGAAATTCGAAAGTTTTTGTTTATCATTTATGTAGAGTATTTGCAGGACATCGGCTGTTTTGCGTCCATCTATGGTACAAAAAATATTTTCGTTATTACATATTATATATTACTTTTTTTAATTTAGCGCAAACTTACCTTTCAAACGAATTTATCGGACAAACATGTGTATGGCTTAATCCTAAAAAGATTTAAATAAGTTTGTAGTAAAAAACATAATATTTTTGTAATATTAACGACACTTACATGATTTTTAAACATTTCCGCTTCCCGTTGCACAAATGAAGAAATTTGACAACATATTGTCAACGCACTACGCAAAAGAATGACACAGTTAAATTTTATTTTTCACCCTTTTAGTATACCCTTCTTTTTGGGTGTAACCGACCATAAATGACACGCGAGTTATATTATATGTATCCACATACATTTGTAACCAATGTTATGGTTACCTCGGTTCCATAATTTAAATAATAATATGTGTACATATATATATATATTATATGTTATATTATATTTATATTTGAAGAACTTTAACATCAGAAGAGTATACATAAGTCGAGCGCCCCTCAGCCGTATTTTCCATCGAAAACTAATTTTTTGTTTCTAACGGAGAATGACAACAGTGCAATTAGAAAAACGAAAGAATAGAAGACAAATTTGGAGTCGGGCTGCCTTCGGGTGCAAGCAACGAAATCGTATTATAAGAGTGAGGAAGAGAGGGAAACTTAGGAATATCCCTTTCCCTTTCCTACACACATGATTGGCAATTGCCAAAATTCACTTGTGAACAGCCAGAACTGCAGGGATAGTATATTGTATATAGTATGTATGTATGTATATTGGGGTCCCAAGTGCTTCCTTCTACCTTAAACAAATACAGTATCACTGTATGACACTGTGTGTAACATACACTGCCACGCACTTGAATAGGGACAAGCCTTTTACAGTAAATGTTCTACAATTTTGCTGAAACAAACTAAATTATTCCAAGAGCGCTTAAAGCAAAATTAAAAATAAATGATAACGGTAAATGATCGAGGTCTACTTTTTATCTTCTTAGTTTGCCTATTCCCCATGTGTCACATACAGGCACATATTCGTATACTTGTCATAACTGTATTTGTTTAAGGTAGAAGGAAGCACTTGGCACCCCAATATACATACATACATACATACACTGCCACGCACTTGAATAGGGACAAGCCTTTTACAACAAATGTTCTACAATTTTGCTGAAACAAACTAAATTATTCCAAGAGCGCTTAAAGCAAAATTAAAAATAAATGATAACGGTAAATGATCGAGGTCTACTTTTTATCTTCTTAGTTTGCCTATTCCCCATGTGTCACATACAGGCACATATTCGTATACTTGTCATAACTGTATTTGTTTAAGGTAGAAGGAAGCACTTGGCACCCCAATATACATACATACATACATACACTGCCACGCACTTGAATAGGGACAAGCCTTTTACAACAAATGTTCTACAATTTTGCTGAAACAAACTAAATTATTCCAAGAGCGCTTAAAGCAAAATTAAAAATAAATGATAACGGTAAATGATCGAGGTCTACTTTTTATCCTCTTAGTTTGCCTATTCCCCATGTGTTTGAAAAGAAAGAGCTTCAAGACAAATGCAACTGTAGATCAAATGAGAAATAAAAACAAACTTATGAAAATGTTTGTCCCTATTCAAGTGCGTGGCGGTGTACATGATCAGAATCATCAGAAGAGTCGATCTGGGCATGTCTGCCTATACGTCTATCCATCGGTGTGAACGTCGGTATATCGATGTGTGTGTAGATTCTAGTTGGTCGCACGCAGCGAAAGACTGCTAAGTCCTTCGAATTTGTGTGCTTCTCATAAATACGCTGACTTAATAATTTTTAATTTACCACGCTCACTTTTACGCCACTAAGCCTTATAAACATGCAGGTTTACTACACTTGGGTTAAATACGGTTCAAATGATAACAGACTTATATGTTCTGGGTGTAAACTTGTGGCTTACTTACCAATTTATTGAGTCAAGGTCATGGTCATCTCTTAAAACACTGGAAGTTTTCTGCAAAAAAAGAGAAATTATTCATTTTAAATTGCGCTATGCAGCTTGGTATTAAATTTACGTATATTTTCTTTGTGCTATCCAAGAGGCTTTTCAGTTATCAACACCATTATACATTATATTATCCAGTTCAGGATTTGTGAAAATCAACGAGCATTATTAAGAGAATGTTATCGGGGTAAACAAATGCCCTAATGTACGTACATACATACATAAGTAATTGGGAATTGGTCTTCACAAAGCACAAAGCTCTTAAACTATTTCAAATTCACAGAGCACCATGGATTTGTTGACTTGGAAAAACACGGTAGGGTATAGGCAGAGCACGTAATTTGGCAGTGACACCCTTCGTGATATGTATACGTTCAATTTTGGTTTTTAAGCCAGTTTCACCGGGCTAAAGATCTGCTCCCCAACACCAGACACGTACCGAGTGTACATACCATATGTGCCCCAATATATACGATATATACTATGTGTACAATTTTATACTTTCGCAGCGGCAGAGACATGACCGCCACCATGAAGTTTATATAATTATTGTGTTAATTAAGTGCAGAATATAGTAGTACAGTATAGTATGGTAGTATTCTCTAATTGTGCCAAATTTTCATTAACAATAATCGTTACAAGTAGTGTACTGAATTTGTTAAAAGTTATGCAATTTGCGACCGTTAAGCATAAATATTCTTGATCAGGCTGATCAGATAGGTCGATCGGTGTGCATATATATGTACATATATCCATTGAACAGGATTTCGTGAACTTTGAGAAGTTCAATATGTAGTAGGATGTTTACCTACCATTCCCACTGTACCATAAAATAAGAATTACTGTTAAAGACCAGATATGTATAGCCACCTCTCTCGCGCTCATAGAATAAAATAGAATAGAATAGGTTTATAGAAAAGAAATAAAACGAAAGTCTTGTTTCTGTTACAATATTGGGATTAAACATGCAGGTTCTTGTAATTCGTAAGCAGCCCAAGATGTTAATTGTACGAATATTGCCCACTTTTACGACCAGAAGCCACCAAATTCAGTGGCGGCCACATTTTGGTTGGTTCAGCGATTTGGTTCGAAGATTTGGTTTTTGGTCACAGAAACAAGAGCGAAAGCAGTCTTTACAATTATATGGTAACAAGATTTTGGCTTATTGTTTGCTTTTGCTTCCGAAATCGAATTCAAAAGTCATTAGAAAATTCTATATTTCAAAAATTTAGACTTTCTTCTTCACCACTCTCATCTGAGTCGATCTCGACAATTATGTCTGTCCGTCTGATATCCGTCTGTCTCTACGCCAACTGGTATCTCAGTTTTAAGGTTTTTAGGGTTCTCGCTGAAACTTGACCAAAAGTCGTTCAGATATTGTAGGTCGTAATCGGAAAGCCAGGACCGAACGACTAGATCATAGGAAGAACATTTTAGGAAACATCAAAAAAGAAGTGGAGAGTCTGTTTTCATTTTACAAACATGATATTTTAGCAACTCTTGAATTCCAAATAAAATTTCATATTGAAATTTAAGAAAACACCTTAGACCCCATAAAACCAGAACCCTTATTTTATAAATTAAATTTATTGGTAAGCTCATCTATTCTTTGTTGATGTTTAAAATTTTTTAAATAGTTTGGTAGCCCAGAAAATAAATTTAAGCAATTGGAAAGGAAATTAGAAGAATTTTAGGAAAAGGAAATTTACAGAATTTTTTTACGGTGATTGCGTAAATTCAATTTACTTTTCAGATAAAAATGTCAGATTTTGCAGCTCAAAAACATTTTTTGGTGTATAAATGCCACAAAAGTTTCGTTGAAAACCGCTTCCACACTCCTAAAAACAAAAGAAAATTTTGGATATGATTCAATATTGTGAGCTAATATTTTGATACCCAAGTTAAGCTTATTACGTTTCAGCACTTTTTTTTACGTAGAGGAGCTTCATGACTCCCCAAACTTAACCCAACACACACTCACGGACACAAAAACAAATTAATAATCCAGCTGACTTCTTTCCAAGTTAGTTTTTGTGTTGAGAAACAAGTTTTCTTCTTTGGCTTTTTTCACAACACATAATGATGATAATGATTCGCCAATTTAATAATAATTTCTCTAATAATTATACGGTACTGTTATTATGGGCACATTAGAACCGAAATTCGTTGAAATTTTTAATTTTGTCTGTCTGTCTGTGTTCTCTTCAAACCGCTCTCTTTCGCTTTTTTTGATGGGTTGATTCCCAAACCTTAAAAGCTATTTTACGGCAAAGTGTGATTACGGCTGAATTAGCCACATATGTATATAAGTGGTAGTTTATAATTTTGTGTGCTTATTTTGCGACAAGCATATACATAAATCAAAAACCTATATCAGAGTTATTAAAAACGAAATATAGCTGTCATAGGAAAGATCGAAAACACATAAGGAATACACCTTATACACCTTAAGTCATCATAAGGGCTAAACAAGTAATATCATATCATATATCTACCATAGAATACGTCGAAACATCTATGTATATGGAATTAACGGGAATTAACGGAAAAAATTCAAAGTCGTTGTTTTTCATCAGAAGAACATAATTTCTGAAATATAGAGTTTTCTAATGACTCTTGAATTTCGAATTCAATTTTATAAAAATCGGACGACTTATCATATAACTTTCAAATGAGCAATCGTCGAAAATACAGAAACTGCATAGTAAATCGATATAGCTTCGATGTTGTTTAGCCTCTATGTAAAGGATATAAAATCTTCGGCTAGCCGAAGCTAGCTTCCTTTCTTTCTCTCTCTCTCTCTCTCCTATGGCAGCGGGCGGAACCGAGGAGCGCGAAAAGCATATTACGGTAAAAAAAAAAATTCCGAGGTGCGCGAAAACGTTTTTTGCACATAAAAAATGAATGTCCTCATTTGTTTTACTTGGTCTAAATCGTTACTTATTGTTCATCAAAATTTGTTTATTATTGTATTATATTATTTATATTATATTATGTATTATATATAAATAAGTTCATTTTTTTTAGTTTTAAGCTTATAGTGCGCGCACTTTTGAATTGATACATATACTAAATGATTAATTGAGGTAATTTTTCTAAAAAAAAAGTTTATTTTTTCATTTTTCAGTTTAGTTCTTTGTTTTTTTAATACATTTATTAATCTTATAGCATATGTGTCAATTCAAAAAAAAAAAACTAAAAACTGATAAAACAAATATGTATAATATAAATAAAAAATAAATAAATAATAACTAATATTATATAAAAATATAAAAATTTTGAAGAACAATAAGTAATGATTTTGATCAAGTAAAATGAATGAGGATTCCGATATGCCAAGGCGCAAATTTTATGTGCAAAAAGCGTCGGGCAAATAAGATGTTTTTTTTTACCGTAATGGGCTTGAGGTGTATCTCAGTATCGAGCGATATAATTACCCGATTTTCATAAAATTTGATGTGAAATTCGATAGTAGTTAAAAATATACCTGTGGCAACCACATTACAACATATTCAGATAATGCGTTTAGATCGAAAAATCTATATAGAAATACAGGAAATAAAATTATAACATCGTTGATTTTCATCAGTCAATTATAATTTTTGGAATAAAGAGTTTTCTAACTACTCTTGACTTAATTATTAAATGTAATCAAAATCGGACAACTATATCATATAGCTGCCATACGAACAAAAGTCGAATATATGGAAAATGAATAGAAAAATCGGTGTTTTTTTTTTTTAGCCCTTGATCGACATATTTGATGACTGCAAGGGTATATAAGCTTCACCCTCACTTTTCAGCACTTTTTGATGGCAGAGCGATGAGGTTTCATAATTAAGATTTCGGTAGCGATAGCCTTTATATAAATTTGCCACGTCCACAAGCCGCGGAATTCTGCATTTTGGGTAAATGTTTCGGATTCATAAACACGTCGCGAATTGTGTTTCACAAATTTTGTCGAGGCTGGAACCATATACTGTATATATAATATTTAAAATATATATAATTATATAAAATAGGTACATAAAGGCTAAACAACATCGAAGCTTTGACGATTTTTTTATTATTTTCTATAATTGCGACGATTGTTTATATGACAGCTACATAATAGTAGTCGGTTTTAATGAAATTTTATTCTAAATTCGATAGTCATTAGAAAACTCTAAAAAAAATTGTGCTTATCTGATGAAAAACCACGATGTTATAATTCGATCTTTCCTATGCCAGCTATATCATATAGTTGTCCGATTTTAATAGAATTATTTTTTCTCGATTCAATGATAGTTTAAAAGCTCGTGGGATAAAAAACAACGACATTATCATTTTTTTGCCAATATTTTAAGATATACTATTTGATCTTTCCTATGGCAGCTTATATTGTCCGATTTTTATGAAATTGAATTCGAAATTAGGTAGTCGTTAATATCTAGAAGAAATAAAGTCGATAAGATCAAAAACAACAAGGTGAAATTGTTTTTAATTTTTCGTATGGGAGCTATCCGATATCGTCGCCCGATCCGGCACGATCCAACGTATATACTGCGTGCAATAACTACACAACTTTTGGTTAAGTTTCAGTAAGATAATTTTAAAACTGAGAGACTAGCTTACATAGGGTTGTATAAGAAACAAGAAGAAACTAAGCTTCTTTCACTTCACGTAAAGAAGTACAAATTGTTTTTAATGTGACACCGAAGTCAAATATTGTACCTAAAGCAATTCGGACGCCTTACTACAACTACAGAGCGAAGGTGTCGTCTCTCTGTGTGTGTGTGTGTGTTATTCCAGAAAGTTATAACCTTAGAAGAGATACAGGAGTTCAAGAACACAACAACATAATGTGAGAGGGGGAACGGGGAACGGGGAACGGCCAAAACCGTTATTGACCGTAAAGATAAAAGCAGCACCAACTCAATGAAATGGGGGTAGGTGCTAAAACACACGCACATGCCCACGCAAACAAATACACGCCAAAGACAAACTCAAGCCAACGGCCAGTGGTCAAG